TTTCTGTAATTTTCAAAAACACAGCACAGTAGGGAACTACTATTCTCCATGTAGTGGAAGTAACTTTTCTCCGAGAAAGGGGTCAATTCAATCCAATAAGAAATCGGTCTTTAGCTTAGGTGTTAAGAGGTCATAATATCTCCACAGATCAAGGAATCCTTCTCTACAAATCAAAAACGGTTTGCAAATTAAAAAAAAACACAAACATTTAATCATCAATGAATCTGAACATAGTCATCCTTAAAATTCTTTACCCAGATGCATTTTTGCACCCACTGTAGAACAATTTACATTTATGGACCAGAATGCAGCATTATTATGAGGCACTATTTTTTTTTTGTGCGATTTTCAATTTTCTTTCTCTAATATTCTTCTTGTTGATTCTTGAACTCGTTTCACTTCGGTTCGGCCTCCCTTTCTACGGTGGTGGCATAGCCACTTGTTGGTGAGCCAGCCAGCTTCGCAGCATTCTAGTTTCTATTGCTGTTTACTTCTTTATTGTTGCTGCTGTTGTTGTTGTCGTTGTTGTTGGTGATTTTTGTGCAAATTTACCATATTGTACTCTCAATTTAATTTAAGACTTGAGGAGGAAAATTGCAACAATTCTCGGAATTCTGTTTCTTTTCAGTACTACCAGCTACACAACAAAAGGCCGACAGCAGCAACTGCAACTGGATGCACATGTTTAGTCGGGCAAACACACACACAAATCATATATATGTACGAGCGTTTGTATATTTACTCGAGCTAAACATTCATAATTTTTGCCTATGGGCCCCCTCTCCGGCTCATGCCTTCATCGAAATAACAACAACATCGAACCGTTTACATTTGGCACATAAAGTTCGGCATGCACTTCTTGAAAACATTAAAGCGCATCAAATAATAAAAATGACCTAATTCCATGCCAAAACGAACAGAGAGATTTTCCAATCAAATGAAATGACAAAATACAAGAACAGCAACAACAATAACAGAAAACTATTGCAGAAGACAATGTTGCTGTTGTTGTTGTATGAAATGAATTTGGAAGAAATAAAATTCTTATTGTTTTATTTACATTGGGTGTTACGAGATTTGATAGTGGCCACCTGAAAGAGATGTTGAAGATGTTATTTTCCGATTTATACCTAAGTTTATCAAATAATAATTATTTAATAAGTGTCAAAGGAAAACGGATTTATGTTCGGCAAGGCCAAATTTTGAATAATTTTGGGAATGTTTGGCAAAGCGTTTAATGTAATAGGAAAAAAAGTGTTATATTTATAAAGAGGAAATAAATTGTAACCTACTGGACACCAGAAATTCAATTGCAGGTACTTTTGATGATATACATATATAAATAGAATTTCCACCATAGCGAGATGGTTATATGGATATGCAAAAAATATGATCGTTTTTGAAGAGAATTTCCAAGGTCAACTTTTAATTGGAATTTTTCTACAATATATCAACACCCTAAAACCTTAAACGTGACCCTGAGGAAATCTCAAAAAAATATTTGTAAAAAATCCACTGTCTGAAGAAATCTCAAAAACATATTTTTCAACCAGTAAGGAAAGTAGTAAAGTCGGACGGAGCCGGCTATATGATACCCTTCACCACTTTGGGTATATCCAATAGATGAATCCTAATAAACGGCCCATTTTTGAAGGACCATTATCATGGTCCATAGACATGTCATTCTGCAATCTATAGGGGAGAGGGGGGCACCTTTGAACACTTTTTGCTTTCAAGCCTTATAAATTTTTTTATTTTATCATTTTTGGTTTCTTATAAATTTTAACTAATAGGTACATATGTAACCTTTAAAATGAATATACATATGGCATACTATAAGCTTGATAAATATATTTTATTACTGTTTTAATGGACGAACTCAAAGTGTTCAAAACTGCCCCCCCCAGGGGGGCACCTTTGAACATGGCTTGGCATTTTCGAACGACATGGTTTTTTACAGTGTTTATGTTCAAATATGTATGTATTTTATTCATACATATCAGAAATGCATTAATTCATTAAAAAATATATAAAAAATGTTCAAAATTTAAAAAATTTAGATCAAAAGTTATTAAAACATAAAATGACTTAAAAATACAAATTAATATGGTGAAAAATACAGTTAATTTCGTAATCTTATTAGCCCATTAGAAATTTTGAGAAATCGAAGCCAAAAGTTAAAAACTCCTTTTTTTACTCGAGTTTAATGGGCATGTTCAAAGGTGCCCCACCCATGGCATTTTACGGAAATTTAAAATAACTTTTTTTGTAATAAATGTATATAAAAGAAATTACATTAGTTATGTTTGAAATGATTGTTGGAATGCAAAAAATTTGTTTGACGAAAGAAAACTATCACAGAATTCTTCCTGCGCCCTTACAACCAAATGAATAAAAGTTTATAATGACACTGAGAAAACATGGTCACCTATGAACAATTTTTCGACAACTGAAAAAGCAAGCCAAACTGGTTTACGCATATAGAGAACAAGATTGCCATATACAAAAATGTGGTTGCGGGTCGGAAAAATATTAAACCAAGATTTTATGAGCGTTGTTCAAAGGTGCCCCACGTTCAAAGGTGCCCCCCTCTCCCCTACTAAATTGTTCATTTGGTTAGATATAGAGTTGCTTCTTACAATGGAACAAAATTATGTAAATCAATTTAAAGCAAATATTAATCGGACACCGGTTGATTATTTGGATAAATATCGGATAAACATGAGGAGTTTGGTGCATGGTACGGATCACTAATCGGAAGAAAATATATATCAAAGCTATATCGAAATCTGAAACGATTTCCCGATAATTGTCACATGTTACGTTATACTAATTTCAGTATGTTATATGCATATCGGCCACATACGATATGAGTTCTTGATGCATAATTTACTTAAAATCGGGAGAAAATATATATGGGAGCTCTATTCAAACCTGAATCGATTCCAACAAAACTTTCCACACGCTGGGTTATATTAACTTGAGTACGTTGTGCAAAAGTTTGTGTCAATCTGCCTAATTTTGGGTCTATATCCAAATCTGAACCGATTCCTACAAAACTTGGTGCACGTTAGGCTATACTAATTTAAGTACGCTGTGCAAAATTTTGTGTAAAATCAGATGAAAATATGTATGTAAAAGCTATATCTAAATCTGAACTGATTTCAACGAGACCTGCCAGAGATTTATCTACATTAACTACATTTCATTGTACAAAATTGTGTGGCTATCGGACAAACTTTAGATCTTTAGTGCACAATTTAGATAAAATCGTAAGAAATTATATATGGGAGCTATATCTAAATCGGAACGGATTTTCATGAAACTTAACACACATCATTTTAGACTTAATTCAGTACGCTATGCCAAATTTCGGCAAATCAGAAGATATATAGGGACTTTGGTACACCATTTACATTATATCGGACGAATATATATATGGGAGCTATATCTAAATCTGAACCGATTTTCACGAAGCTTGGCAGACATTATTATAGACCCAATTCAGTACGCTATGCCAAATTTCGTGCAAATCGAAAGATATATAGGCAATTTGGTCACCATTACATTAAATCGGACGAAAATATATATGGAAGTTTTATCCAAATCTGAACCGATTTTCATGAAACTTAGCACACATCATTCTAGACTCAAGATATGTAGGAACATTGGTGTACCATTTATATCAAATTGCTCAAAAATATATATGGGAGCTATATCTTAGTCTGAACCGATTTTCCCCAATTTCAATAGGGTTCGTCCTTAGGCCAAACAAACTACAAAAAAAAAATCCCAAAAAATATTTTTAAAAAATTCAAACCTTAATGGAATTAAAAAAATATTTTTTATTAAATCCAAAAAAATCTACGACCTGAGGAAACCTAGGAAATGTTTTTAACCTACGACTTAATTGAACTCCCCAAAAAGCATTTTTAAAATATCCCAGTTTCATTAAAATGTTTTTAAAAAATCCAATCCTTGGACTCCAAAAATATTTTCAACCATTTATGGTTGATATGAGTGGTACTTAAATTGATCGGATATTGGATGTCAAATTAATCCCAAATTTGGGAAAACTTTCAAATTCATGTAACATATCCCGGGCACCTTCCTGGAAATCCACCAGATTTATAGTGTAGACTTTAAAACTACCCAATGAGTCATGTTCTAACAACCTTTTCCACTATAAGACATTAAATGGTTAAATGCATACAACAAAAACACAACATAGTTAAAGCCTTGAATTAAATTTGTTATTACGTTTTTCATCCCCCCTCTCTCTTTCTAGCAATCTTTGTAGCAGACTCAAGTGAAAACTGGCTAGCAATGAGTCTGTGACACTGTGACTGTACAAAATGCCTAACTGTCTGCCTGCCTGCCTGCCTGTATGCCGGCCTTAAATCTCGTAAATGTGCTGCAACATTGACCTTAACAAACCGTCAATGACGAAATCACCTCGTTTCGATTTGCAGTTTTTTCTGCTGTAACAACGCCACAACGACAAACCTCAAACATTACGAATTTAGAACAGATTTCATTTCGAAAATAAACTTGAATATTTTTTGCACTACAAAAACATAGAATTGCAATAACACACCAACAACCACACCACGGCTATCGTCCAACTTTGTCATCCAACATTGTCAATTGATTGTCTTCTAGGCCAGTCAACAACACAACAACATATGGCGTTACATTTCAATAAAAACCACATTAGACCGATCCGCAGGAGATGCGAGAGATGCAAGGGGAAAAGGAAAACAAGAGTCTCGTAAAAACATCGCGACCAATAATTAAAAATTCGATTAACGTAACCGATTATTACCATTTAAAATTATTTTAAAAAAACAGGCTCGATACGAAATGGTACAAACGAAATATATTACACGATGAAAGACGAATACAGGGTTGCCGAACATGATGATAATAACGATGAGGCGTCTTCATTTCGATTCCTTGGAAAATTGAAATTCTAAATTACCGAACTTTGTTTGGGAAATAATGTTGAAATCATCAAAATAGCTCATGTCAGGTGTAACCACTATTTGGGAACTATACTATAAATGTGATCTATTAAAAAATTCCCCACTCTAATCATACGACGTGGGGTGTCTGGTACTCTATGACGATGTTATATAAGGAATATTTATTTAAATTTGATCGGATATAGAGTACATTTTACAAGCGTTATTCTTGCACCTAAATCGAGTAAAATTATATATGGGAGCTATATCAAAACCTGAACAGATGGTGTTCCACCCAACAGAATAAAGCTCTAAAACACTGCCACTTTCAGGAAACCTTTCAATTATGTTTTTCAAAGTACACATTTCTTTCAAAATTCAATAAAATCTAGTAAATTCTTTACCTAAGAAAATTTATTTTTAATTTGATAAAAAATGGCAACCCTATTTAGAACTTGAGGCAACACAATTTGGCTCCGTACAAAAACGAAATAAATTGCGCATGCGTAACCGTCGTCATTAGGCCAATTGCTTTCGTTGTCATGCTTCTCTTCGTTTTTTGTTTTACACACCAAGTAAAGAAGTAAAACATTTAACCGGTTTAGAATAGCAAACAACCAGCCCGTCCCACTAAACGGCGTAAACGTTTTATTGGTTTGTTGTTGTCGTTGTGTTTTTTATTTCTAAGAATCAGGTCAAGGTTAGTGAGACATAATAAAAATAAAACACATCATTCGTTCCTTGGTTTAGCTATGTTTTTTTTTCGAACACAGCTCCATCGGCAGCAATCACTGCTCAATACACACATGCGCACTATTCCGGTTTGTTTAACCAATCAGCGGCGAGTTTTTTGTTCAGAGATTGAGAAACTATTAAAAAACATGTTGCAAGCAACTTGTTTGATGAGCGATGTTGTATTAAAAAAAGCTCGGTCATTCTCTTTGGAAAATTATAAATTTAAGAGAATTTGCTACAACCTCCACTATAAGTAGCCTCCACTTAAGTGGCCCACACACGTCAAACATGTGCGTTCGATCGGTGTGAATCGAAGCAATGTTTGACGTGTGTGGTACGGTGTTCACACCGATTTGCCGGTGCGCACACCGATCGAAAGAAATTAAAAATTTTTCGTTGTGCGACGCGCACATGTTTGACGTCTGTGGCCTGGTGTGTGGATATTTTCTCATTTGTTGAGAAATTTCGTGGAGTGCGGATCAGCGGATAAATGCAATACATATGTATTTGGAAGATTTTTTGATGTTTTTAAACATATTCTACTGTGTGGCAAATAAAAATGTTTTTCCCGGAATAAAATAAAAGTATTTAATACATTTATATTAAATAAAAATATTACGTCTTTTTTCCGTCATCACTATCGCGGTCCATCTTCACGCTTCAAAAATAAATATGAAATGAAGTTTAATGGATCCGTTTGACGTGTGTGGGCTAGGAGCTTCACACCGATCGAACGCACATGTTTGAGGTGTGTGGCCCACTTTAGCCATGTCCGTTTTTCTATTTAAATCACGATAGAGATCGCAATATTTAAGGAAAAGTTTTGACATATTGGGAATACCATGAGTAAAAATATTTGGAAGTACCATCGAAGGGGACGGTTATTGGAGACTAAAAAAAAATTCCACAACATTTTTCAATATAGTTCCGTTTTCGGTACCATGAAGCCTATTCCATGAACCCATCTATTGATACAGTTCTAAAAAATAATTTTACGAGGAAACAAAATTTAACATGAGACAGAGATGGAAGTTTTCAAAACACTTAACTTTTTCTGTTTATACCGCGATTTTTGTGCTAGGCTAAAAACTTTCCGAACTGCCCTCGTATTAAGCAAGAAAATCCCTGAGTATAACACAAAATTCAAGTTTACATCGATCTAAAACAGTTCTGCTGATGCTCGGGAGCTAGGGTTATAAACTCGTTATCTTCTTACCCTTCACTTCACTGTGGTGCAGGGTATTACGTATTTGTGAATAAGTCTGTAACAGACAAAAGGAAACGATATAGACACATGGTTCCTTTTGAGAATATGCATAGAATCTGAGTCGATTAATACCCGTCCGTCTGTGCATGTTTAATTGCACAGACGGATTTATTATCATTTATTATCAGAATTGGATGAAATTTGGCACAGCTCATTTATTCGGTCCAAGGACGTCCGATTTCAAGTAAATGGTGCACTGAAGCCTCAAATTTACGCCGATTGACATGAAATTTTGCACAGCGTACTATATTAGGTCCAGATTAACGTATGCGAAGTTTTGTTGAAATCGGTTCAGATTTCCATATAGCTCCCAAAGTTCGGCCGATTAACACGAAATGTTGCACAGCGTACTATAGGAGGTGATGCAAATGTGGTATACCCATTTGTTTTTAGATTGCCAAATTTTTATTTTTTATCCGATTAAAATGAAATTTTTCACTTAACATGCTACATGTGTTGTCTTCCCATGTATCAATTTGAAAATAATATTATTCTAACAATTTAAGAGATATTTGAGAAAATATTAGAAATTCCATAAAAAGCGATTTTAAAAAAAAGTGCAGGTAATGTGGTATACCACATGATGTTAATGTGGTATTGTATAATTTTCACTTCCAATTGATATCTTATATAATTTATTGTTTTTAATGAATGCGAATTAGCTCGAGATTTATGTCTGTTAAGATTTTTAACGGATACGTTGAGTGGAACTTAATTTTTTATTATATAATAATGTCTACACTTGTCAATATTTAATTTTTGTATGGAGATGTTGTTAAAACTCATAGCCTTTGTTTTTCATCCTTGTGATTCATGGTAGACTCTCGTAGAGTACAAATGTTTCACATAGTAATGAGATTTTGTCTAGTGCTGGCCTTTTTTCATGCAGAATCAAGGTATACCACATTACCTAAACTTGTGTTTACTGAAGAAATGTCTAGTTTTTTTTTTCCAAACTGGTGATTATGTGGTGCAATCGTGCATATTATTTGATTTTTAGTTCATACTGATTATTTTAATGCTTTAGTAATAACGATTAAAGTACATCCGCAAAACAAAAAATTATTTTTAAACTTCAACCGAAAAAAAGTCAATTTCATAAAAAATTTTATTTTTGGTACTGATTCTCAACGTGATTTAAATAAATTAAACAGGTCATTGTTATCTTATTTTTTTGAGAACAGCAAACTATAGAACATGTTTTAGTTATTCTAAAATTTTCAGTTTACAAAAAAAGTGACTATACCACATTACCAACCTATACCACATTTGCATCACTTCCAATAAATTCGGTCCAGTTTTAGGTATGCAAAGTTTTTTTTTTTTTTTTTTTTGAAATTGGATCAGATTTGATATAGTTCCTATCTATATTTTCGTCCGATTTGAAATAAGTGGTGGACCAAACATCCAAAGTTTGGCCAATTGACGCAAAATTTAGCATAGCGTACAAAATTAGGTCCAGATTTATGTATGCGAAGTTTTGTTAAAATTGGATGGAATTTAGATATGGCTCCCATATATATTTTCGTCCGATTTGAAATAAGTGGTGGAACAAAGACCCAAAGTTTGGCCAAAGTCCCAGAAATAGGCTGAGTAACATAAAATTTTGCACAGCGTACTGAATTAGGTCCAGATTGATGTTTGCGATGTTTTGTTAAAATCGGATTAAGATATGACTTCTATATATATTCGTCCGATTTCAAGTAAATCGTGCACCAAAGTCCCAAAATTAAGCCTATTAACACAAAATTTTGCACAGCGTACTGAATTAGGTCCAGATTAATGTATGCGAAGTTTTGTTGAAATCGGTTCAGATTAAATTGTGTATCGAAGACCCAAATTGGTCGATTGTCGTAACATTATGCACATAATGATGTTACTATAAACTAACGTGTGTAAAGTTTCGTTGAAATCGGTTCAAATTTAGATGTAGCTCCTACATATATTTTCGTCAGATTTTAAATAAAGACCCAAAGTTTGGGTCTTTATTATGTCAAGTGGATCGCAGTTAATGAGTTTATACCCAATTTTTGGGTAAATACCTTTGTATGGGGCTACCAGTAAACGTGGACCTACATACATAAATTTTTGCATGGACATTTGGTACCCAAAAAGAACACTCTGTGCCAAATTACAGTCAATTTGGTTGTAAAATGTGTCTAATAGACAAGAAATATCTTAAATCAGGAGATACGGTTAAATCAGGAGATACGGCTTTATCAAAACTTGCACCCAGGGACCCCATTTCGGATTTCTATATTAACTTTGACATTAAAAACATGTATGCAACATTTTGTCCGCCTATGTCAAGTGGTTCCGCAGTTTAAAGTGGTTCCACGTATTTAAAGTATCGTAAAACTATCCATTCTTAATCGATTTGATAACAGAAACTCGGAAATAAGGTGTAAGATGTTGTATTACTTATTCAATATAGTAAATACCCAAATAAATACCCACAAATGGGTATTTACCCAATTTACCGGGTATTTACCCACTGCCCATCTCTAGTTATGATGCATCATCTGTTGAATATACTCAAAGTTTTGAAGGGTATCATGTGGTCGTCCCCGTCCCACATTACTATTTTCCTTACTGGGGTTTTAAGTAATTTTTTATGGTGGATTCTCAGTTACTCAAACACTGTTTTATTTTTTGAACTAAATTTTGAGCACCCCTGACCTTAATCAAACCGCACGCTAACCGGCCACTGGTCCCGCGAAATCAGTGAAATACTACTTCAGCTGATCTGTTATGAAATTCGTTGTGAAAAGAATAACGAGGAGTGTTTTCAGCTTCATACATATTTACATAACTTAAGAATTATTACAATAAACAAAGTTGACGTATACATTTGTGTAATGTATGTCCAAATGTTTGTTGTTCCTAATTAGAAACAAAAAATATATTTTTTTCTAAAGTTTATTTTATTACAGGTTAAGCCCTTTTATTTGTTTTTTATTTTATTTTTCGTTTTATTGTGATGATGCTATAAATAATTATGTATGTGATTTCTTATAGTTCTGTTTTTCTTTTTTTTCATTCTTAGTCAATGTTGGTTACGATTAAAAAATATATATCTATATATTTTGGTAATATATATATATATATATATATGCATTTGTTCACTTCTCGGCCGATCGGTATATTTTCTGTTTTTGTTTTTTACTATAATTTTCCTTCGAAGACAAGTATGACTACAGGTGTTTTTGTCCTCTGCTTTAAATTACATTTGTTGTTAAAACTAAAATAATAAATAATATCATAGAACATATTAGAAACTTCGGTGCAACCAGTATTAGTAGTTGGTTTTTTTTTTGGTTATTTGTTTTTTAGTAATGAGATGAGAATATAAATAAATATCAATATATATATACGATTAGGATAATTAAGACCAGGAGACATCTTCTCTGAATACAAAATAAAAATCAAAATTATGATGCTTTGAAAGCTTTCGAAGCGTTAATTGTAATACAATAGTTAAGATTTGAATGATAGTTACACCAATTAGATTTGATTCGTTTGTTTTTTTTTCACTGCCTCATAAATCAAAAATTAACAATAATTGTTTATAGTTAACTGATGTATAACACACACACACATTATACATTATATCTGTACATATGCGTTGCAATTGCCAATTTTTTTTTTTTTTAGCCTGTTTGACATTGGACCCTTTCAAAGTGAGGACCACCCTCGTATTCATCATCATCGTCCATACCACCATAAGCGCCCCGCCCCTCATAATCCTCTCTGGGCAGGAATTCAACTAATTGCACTTCTTCGGCTTCCGGTGGCATTGTAAAAGGCTCTCTTGGTGGCAACAATGTCTCAAGTGTAGCTAACTGTTCAGGCGTTGCAAAGCCGTTTTCGGGAAATTGTATGGAAAATTGTACCAAAAGGTCGCCACGGTCGAAGGGATTATTACGCAAAGGCATACCCTCGGTGGGTACGACTTTCAGTTCACCGTGACGTATAACCTCACCCGGTTTCGTGGAAATACAAATGTTACGACCATCCAAGTGCTTAAAGCAGTGGACGAAACCACATAGGGCCTGTGTTATATTAATGCTGACGTTACGCATAAGTAAATCATTTTGGCGTCTTTCGAATACTGGATGCTCAGCTTGAATGAGGACTACGACCAAATCGCCCCGGGATCCTTGCACACCTTGATTTCCTTCGCTCACAAATGGTATTTTCAACATATTGGGCGCACCCTTTTCAATGACAATTTCCCTTTTGACATTCTCCTCGACTAGACCTTTGCCGACGCAAGTAGTGCATCGCATAGACTCTGGAATAATTTTGCCATGTCCGTGGCAAGCTGTACAAATCTTTGCACAGAAAAATAAAAAAATAAATAAATCATTTTTAAAACTGCCTGGAATATCATATGAAATTTACCGTTTCACCAGCTGTAACGCCCAGGAAAAGATAACTCTCTGTTCTGCCCCGACCATTGCAATGACTACATATTTCTTGGCATTCCTTGGGGCCGCCTTCACCGTTGCACTGCGAGCAAAATGACGTTCTCTTGTATTCGACTGTCTTGGCCACATTGCCATTGTACATCTCTTCCAAAGTCACCTCGAGGCGAATGACAATTTGTGCCGCCTTCCCCCTTGCCTCACGGCCGTGTCCTCCCATAGCCGTGAAGGGGAACCACTGCGAGAAGAATGCATTACCATCGGCAAATCCATCGGCTCCTTCCTGTAGACCTTTAATTCCGTATCGGTCGTATATTTTTCGTTTCTCAGGATCTGATAGAACTTCGTATGCAAAAGATATTTCCTTAAACTTGTCACCAGCATCAGGATTCTTATCAGGATGGAATTCTTTAGCTAATTTACGGTAATTCTATGAGAAACAAAAACAACAACAAATAAACGGAATTTCATATTTAACGGTTTTCAAAGCCACATCAGAGTTGTATAAAATAGTAGCAGCGACAATGCACCTATCTGTGCAGTAAATGTCATTTCGCAAAGAGCATCTGCATGAATCAGTAGTTGCTCTCTTTTACGATTACCTCCTCTCATTTATCCCTTGTTATGGCTAACAATAAAAACAACATATGAAAAATATTTTGGAATTACTTGGCCAATTTCGGACGGATTTGTAGCATAGACATTTAAACAAATAATTAAATCAGCTACACCAATTGCCTCACCGGATTTTTTATGCCCGCACTATTCGAATGTTATTGGTCGGTGGTAATTTTCCGATGCCACCACCCACTCCTCCAATATTTTGACGGCAAACATTCTGCCACAATAATATGAATGAAGAAGACGTCTTACATGAATGAACACCATTACCTTTTTAATTTCGGCGTCCGGCGAATCTTTGGTTACACCAAGAATTGCATATAAATCTAGATTATCCATTCTGCGCGCTTGTTTTACACAACTTTATTTATTATTTTCAATATTAACTACAAAATAAAATCACCAAACGTTGAATTTCCTTCGACTAGGGCGAAGAAGAATTTGAAATGGGGATATGTAAGGCCAGATGCAAAATAAATGACCGACCTAATCTAAAAACGTTTCGAACGCTGGCAAATCGGGGAGGCAAGAGAGAATAGCCGATAAAGGCCAGATAGAAACGAAAATGGAAGGCACCCAACATGTTTAGAACGCAGGCAAGGCATAGAGGACAAAAATTGTTTCATTCCGTTCCGTTCCATTATTTTTGTTCGTTCGTTTTTTTTTGCGGGTTGCCACACTGTCAAAAATTTGATCATGTTTATTTGATGTTTATACATTACGTTCAACATCATGGCATAATTACAGAAGGTAGTCTCATTTGAGAATTTTATGAAGGCAACCCTTTTCTAATAAAATGAAAAATCATTAAGTCCTGTTTACTAAAAAAATTGTGGAAATTTTTGAATACACATTTAATAATTAACTTAGACTCATAAATCATGGAAAACGTTTAATAACCACTAAAGAGGTCATGCGGGTCTAGAGTGAAAGAAGCTGTTCTACCATGGAAATGGCAAAGAGACTTAAATTGTCCTAATTAGTGGCTATATGGGTACAAACACGATGTTCCGTTGTCCCCAAACCTAAAATTTAAATAAAGTTTGTACACCGCTTCTAAGTTGTGTGGACCCACGGGAAAAGTGAATTGATGAGTTTTAATACCAAAATATGCTTCGTTAGTACTCCTCAACCCTGTTATTCGGTGAATGGCGTGAAGAGCCCTTCCCGACATTGGCTATAGCAGCAGTAAAAAAAACCTAAAAACCTGTATTATGGGAAAAAAAATGCAAAATCAGGTTAAAAAAATGTCAACGAGCCCAAAAGTTGAAGAGTGGTCGACTGATAACGTATGTCTTGGACCGATGCAAAAAATTGACAATATAATAATGAAAGAAGTATATTGAAATCATTGTATAGTCATATCAACCAGACTTGGTATATAAGAACCTGTAGGAGAAGTAATTATGAGCAGGACGGTGATTAAAGGCACACGTCCAAAATCGTGACAGAATATCTTGGTGAACAAAATTTCCAAATAACACAGTGGCCAGCAGAAAGTCTCAATCCGAAGGATAATTTGGAGCCAATCGTAAAAAGACAGGTGGACAGAACCAATCAGCCCCTAATGATTGAGACTAACATTGGCATCGAATCTGATGTAATTGGAAGAATATTTCAAATGAAATTGCACAAAAATTGGTAGAAAGAATGCCAAATTGCATCGCCCTAAAAATGTAAAACTACTGTATAGGTAATAATATTCGTTTTCTACATTTTTTTCAAACGTATGGCATTGCATTGCGTATAAAAATATAAAGTTGAAAACTTTAAACATTGACAATGCGTATTTTGGATTTCTGTTTTTGAAAATAGAATTACAGTCATTGAAAAATTTGCTTTTCTATAAATGTAAACATTATTAACTTAATTAAGAAAATTTTCGCCGTTTTCAATTGACACACAATTAGAGGAGAATCTAGGTACGGGCCTTTTATTATTTAAAAAAATAACAAATACAGTCACACATTTTTTAACGACTTTTGCATAGAAAGCCACAACAAGATTTTCTTCTTTTAATTATAACTTTTTATTCATTTTACGTGTTTTTAGTTGTGTTGCAAAATTTGTAAATAAACACAAGCACTCGTTGTGCAGATTTTTTATATTTGACAGAATAAGCCACTACCCACATAGTTATTATTATGTTATTTAAGTCGAGTTTTCCTACCTTGTTTTATTGTACCATGGTTATATCATTACATCATGTTAAAAACCAAATCCATGGCACAACAAACAAGTTGGGATATTACTGCGCTGTTATTTGAAACACATTTTTCAACAAAATCGTCGGATAAATAAAAGTCCGCTACTTTGTCAATATTGATCGGTGTTAAGCCCTTGTTTGAATAACTGATTTTGATATGATGTGTCACTGATTTTGATATGACCTTTACAAGTTGAGTTTCGAGCAGCCACACTGTGAAGGGCTAAACAGAATGTTCGCGTTGAGCGTTTTTTGTTATCGCGTTAACGCATGCAAAAAGTTAAAATATATTTAACTCCGTAGCGCAGCGCACATCAACATCGAGCGTTTGTGTTATCGTTTCCTTGCGGTTGTTGTATTTTCGATAACACATAACGCAACGGATGGCTCAACGTGAGCATTCTGCTTAGCCCTTAAGGAATAAGAAAAACAAATCTGCATGGTAAGTCTACTTCCGTCAGATAACTGCAGACCTTATAATTTTCGACAGATCCTCAGTAAACATGGACAATTTATGATATTTAAAAACTGAGGAAGGTTATGTCTTATAACTACACCAAAAAAAAATTTACCTTAAATGTCTTTTTTTGAAAAGACTGTTCGAAATGTCGAGCAGTTGATATAAAAAACTCTTAATAATTAGTTTGCAGTCATTAATAAGACATATATTTTTGTAAAGCATACACATTAGGTATAAAATAAAATTTGCTTAGTTTTTTTAACTACTTTAAACATTATATAAAAACAATGTTGAAAGAAGACAACAACTTCTACAAAAAATAACGGCATATGCAACAACAAATCTTCAAAAACAACTCTCTTCAAACAATTAGATTTTTGCTTTGAAAAAAACTGGGGGAACCTTCAGACCAATACGACTTTAAATTTTTTCCTCATTTTTTTAAGAAACAAGACAACTATTATTTTATATTATTATTTTATTTGGAAATATAGACATATATACAGATTTTATTTGATCTCCCTCAATGTTAGTAGATTTTTTTGCCTAGAAATTTATTTTACATATTGGCAACACTGTCTGTTATACAATCATCTAAACTGCCACAGCAAGTAATTAATTAGCAACGGAAACTAGTTCCAGCATAGAAAAATCGCATAAACTGTTAAATAAATAAAAATAAAAAAATAAATTTACTTTTCTAAATCAGCATTTTTTGTTTAACTTTAAAACTCGGTATAAAAAATTGAAGAATAAAAACATAATTCCGAATAGTAAATGCGCATCCAATATTAAAAATCGTTTATGTGGCAGCTATACACGAAAAGGAGAAAAAGAGATAGCAATAGCATTGCCAAGTCGCTTGTGTTATCCACCGAATATCTGCCTACCAAATACTTTTCTTGTTCGAGTACTTTCATTCTCCATACAGACAGTTGGTGAATGACGGACTCGTCGCCATCTTATTGCTGTGTATTGAAGAGAATAGATGAGAAAAAAGTAAAATATCCGAAATAAAATAGAATAAATTGTATAAAAATATTACGCAAATAAATATTGTAACATTGATCAATTAAAAATAAAAAAAAAACATTGGACATTTTTTTTGTTGGAGTTTTATAATTTTTGATGAATCATCGACGGCGTACGAACTAGCGACGAAAAATTATTGTGTATGTACCAACGAAAATTGAGTCAAAAGCAATAAAAAAAGTAAAAAGTCCATTTAGCACCGAGAGACGGAGCGAGATAGCAACAAGGTGTGAAAGAGATAAAAGATTGTACTCGTGTTTTCGTATTTGGCTAGCAAGGATTTGGTGGTGGTGCTGCTACTGGTAGTTTCGAGACTGAGGCGCTAGAAAATGATGGACAACTATGAACAGGCACGATTGCCCACAGAACGTCTGAAGGATATCGGCGATATTCATCAAATCAACTTCACGGAGGAGTCCGTATTCGAGCATGTCGATGTAAAAACACAAAATTTTAATTTTGGCGCCAATATTTTAAGCACAACAACAATGTCATCGTCTACACTAATTTCGGCGGCGACCAGCGAAGAGCAGATCAAAACAAACGCAATGAATGAAATACAAACAATAACATTGCCGCCAACGCTAACCACAGAAGATTTACAAATAGTTGCCTCTTCAATCGCAGATACACCACCGGTCAGTGTCGACGAGGAGGCACACGATTCGGAAGAGTGCACCGGAGGAGAGCTGACAGTAGAAGATATAATTCACGGCGGTTCCAGCCACACCACAGATGACATTGACAACTCGCAACTGTCACAGGAATCGTCACAGGCCGGCGTGGAGGTGAGTGCCAAAAGCTGTAGTATCAATAATGACGAAGACGATGCAGATGGTGATGAGGACGATGAAGATTCAGATGACTCCTCATCAGACTCAGACTATTCCGACTTAAGTGGTCTATCAGATATGTCCGGAAAGGAATGGAAACCAATCAGCCGGCCGCTGAACTGGGTGCAGAAGCAAATACATTCGGGTGCAAATCCTCGCGAAATATTGTCGAAGTTTTTGCCTACATCCGCCCAACGTATAAGTCCCGAGTTGACCGATATGACATTGTGGCGCATATTGGCCAGTATGATGGCCGAACCACCAAGGCGTAAGAAACTGTCGTACGTCAACACTTTCAATGACGTTATCGACCTGTTGCAGAAATCTAAGAATATCATTGTCCTTACTGGAGCCGGCGTTTCAGTGTCATGCGGCATACCCGATTTTAGATCATCGGATGGTATATACTCACGTCTGGCCAAAGACTTTCCGAACCTACCCGATCCGCAGGCAATGTTTGATATCAATTACTTCTCTCGCGATCCGAGACCGTTTTTCAAATTTGCCCGCGAAATATATCCCGGCCAGTTTAAGCCGTCACCTTGCCATCGGTTTATAAAGATGTTGGAACAAAAGCAAAAATTATTAAGGAACTATACCCAAAATATTGACACCCTGGAACAAGTGGCCGGCATAAAAAATGTCATTGAGTGCCATGGTTCCTTTTCGACAGCATCGTGTACCAAGTGTAAATACAAATGTGACGCAGAAAGTATACGGGCGGATATCTTTGCCCAGCGCATACCTGTATGCCCGCGTTGTCAGCCCAATGTGGAGCAGAGTGTGGATGCGTCGCAGCCGGTATCGGAACTAGAACTACGACAACTAGTGGAAAATGGTATAATGAAACCCGATATTGTATTCTTTGGAGAAGGTAAGTTAATAGTCGACACCAGGGCTATTCAGGGCGTGGTGATATCACATTTCCTATTTTCATTTTCAGGACTACCAGAGGAATTCCACACTGTAATGGCCAGCGATAAGGACAAGTGTGACTTGCTAATTGTTATGGGTTCATCACTTAAAGTGCGACCGGTCGCATTAATTCCTAGCTCAATACCGAACAATGTACCACAAATCTTGATAAACCGCGAACAATTGCATCATTTGGAATTTGATGTGGAACTTTTGGGAGATGGTGATGTGATTATTAATCAAATTTGCCACCGTTTGGGTGATGATTGGAAGGAGATTTGTTTCGATGATCAAATTCTACACGAATCTAAGGAACTAATGACTCTAGGCGAAGATGAACGAGCTTGTGAAAGTGGTGTGACGAAAGGTACTTCACATCCGTCAACAGATAGTATCTCTGTAAAGTCTAACCAGTCGAACGACTTAAATCTACAGTCCGGTACAACCTATTCCGATTCTGGCTTTGAAACCTCGTCGACATCGTCTTCAAAACGGGATGGAGAGTTTTTATGCCCCGAATATATAGAGGAACCAATGGAATCCACAGATTTTGGTGGTTCTTGTGATTACCGGCACTTGTCCATCGATTCGTCCAAAGATAGCGGTATTGTGGGCGATGGTTCCAATTCGGCAGTGACTCCCGTCTTTAACAGTAGTTTTTCGGAAACGGGTGACACAAAGAAATGCCTCGACATGCCCGCCACATCAACACAAGCAATACCGAACAAACCCACAATGCCTAACAATTTTGATGGCCCCAAAACCGTGGCGAATACAGAGGAGGATTGCCAAGACAGCAAGCAGAGTATTCGCAGGAAGCAAAAACGCCAAAGTGCTGGTGAACGCCTGTACAAGGGTACTTATTATGCACATGACCTTTCGGCATCTTATGTATTCCCCGGCGCTCAGGTTTCGTGGTGTTCAGACTCTGAAGAAGACGATGATGATGATGACGACGAAGACGATGATGATGAGGTTTGCGATAATACCACAAAGATTGATACAGAAAAACATTCAGTCAATATCGAAGAGGAAGATGAAACTGCAAATGCCGCTACACCATCATCTGCGTCAATTAAAACAGTCCCGACAGAACATGAAACAAATACCTTCACAAATGTCATTACCACAAATTCCACACCAACAACAAGCTGTTCAACTTCGTCGCCGGAACAACAGCAACCGAAAAAGAGGCATTCGTTGGATCATCCGTCGGATAACTCCTCCTATTACAAGGAAGAAGCCGATAATGCATCAACATCAACTTCATCGGCAACAGTTAGCACACACAGTCCACCGCCACACAAGAAAAGACGTGATTCGGCCAATACATCTTTGTCGCCCCTATCTACAGGCCCTTCTTCGCAATTTGTAAATACATTTAATCACAACAACCACCAATAAGTTCTCATTTATAGTAAAATTTTCATTTCTTATTGTTAATGTAGTTGTAAAAAAATATTCATAGGATTTATTTCTGCATTTCGGTAAATCTTTGATATTGGAGAATTGTATTTGATGAAATCTCTTTTGCAGAGTTTCTTTTTTTGTTTTGTTACAGTTTACACACACACACGTCTGGTATTTATCAATATAAATCCCTTTTGAATATGTTGATAGTACTTGATCTTCCGTTGTAATTTAGCTACTGCTATAAGGAGACTTAAATGTCCCAGCTGCTGATCATCGAGTTAAACAATTCTTCGAAAAAGAGCATTTATTATTTTGTTTCTGTTTTCCAAACCAGAAATGCACGCAGTTTTCATTTATTTTCTCCCATAAGAATCTTTTTTTGCTTTTTTCTCTTTTTACAATGGTTAAATATTGTTTAGTAATTATACAACAATGCTACAGAGGTAGCATTGCAAAAGCTATAAATAATATATTATAATATATAAAAAAAAAATGACCCGCGCACATACAAACAAAGTAAGATATATATATTAAAAATATTTAGAATTTAGAAACTAGTTTCTAACTTATTTAAAAATAGAAATAAGAACAATTAATACTTAAGCTTTCTGAGAATATAAATATTAATAAAAAAGAAAACAAAACACAAAAACAAGCAAAAATAAATGAGAATAATAAAATCGTTATGTTAATAAAAACAACAGAACAGAACACATACGTATAAGCATATACATATAGACACATTTATTTTTCTAATTCCAATTATGTAAGGACATCTAATGGCGGATAGCCACCCATTTCACAAAGCTAAGCGCGATCTATGTTATGTATGACATATGCGGTGTATACACCAATCGATCAGCATATTTCAGCATTATTCACGTCCTTTGCATACTTTTCTAATAAAAAAAGAAATGTGTCCCCTTTATAAGTATATAAGTAATTAAATCGCCCTTTATATAAACTTAATTTTACTCTATATATAAACAAATTTAATAATTCATTTGAACAATATACATATACATACCGATTTCTTTTGTGTACATATGAAAAAAATTAAATTTTTTCAAATCGGCATTTGCTGTGCTTTTTACAAAATTTATACTTATCCTCGTAATTTGTTTTGGGTTATTTTGGTTTTCCTCTAAAATTGATGTTTTTTTATTCATTTCGTTTTATTAAAACTTATGAATACTTATATTTTTTCCTTTTTTCAATAAAACAAAATATATCCACAACTCAACTATTTTACATGGGTTTTATTATGATATTTGGTTTTGGGTATGAGCAGAAATAAATTCAAATAATTTGAGGTGTTTGTTCAATGACGATGCCAAATTATATTTAATAAACTATATATCAATAATTAAAATCAATAAAACAATTTTTATCTATTTATTATATTGAAAAATAAATATTAATAAGTTTGTATATTTAGGGTAGATATTATCGAACGACTGAATTCTACAGTCCGGTACAACCTATTCTGATTCTGGCTTTGAAACCTCGTCGACATCGTATTCAAAACGGGATGGAGAGTTTTTATGCCCCGATTATCTGGAAGAACCAATCGAATCTACAGATTTTGGTGGTTCTTGTGATTACCGGCACTTGTCCATCGATTCGTCCAAAGATAGCGGTATTTTAGGTGATGGTTCCAAATCGGCAGTGACTTCCGTCTTTAACAGTGGCTTTCGGAAATGGGCAACACAAAGAAATGTCTCGACATGCCCGTCACATCAACACAAGCAATACCGAACAAAACCGCAATGTCTAAAAATTTTGATGGCCCCAAAACCGTGGCTTCCACAGAGGATGCCTTAGCCAACGAAATTCTAGTCTGCTTATATTTTGCGACAAAATGGTAGTCATATTTTTTAATAGTAGATATACTCTCCCTCCTATGTTACTGTATGGGATCAAAGCGTGATCTAATACATATCTCATAAGCAATCTCGTCAACATAGATTGAGAAAAAAATCCACTTCCACTATTTTATTTCATTAACATTAAATTATTTATTAAAAAAAAAAAAATACTTTAACAATACAAAAACGCCGATTACAAAAAAATACATCAAAAAGACATGACAGAAAAAAACACAAAAACAACATAATTCATAAAACGTATTGCCCCTGCGGATTTTTTTATGAGAACTTGAGGGCTTACAAAAATTTTTTTTAGCGAAATAAAAAAATGGCGCCTTGTTACTTTACATATTGTTCCACTCTCTGTTGCAGCAGCATATCATCAGCGCCGGCAAAACTCGATAAACGTTTCTTATTTTTAATAAAAACAAATGTGGGCATACTCTTCACTTTATAATAGTCACTGATTTCGTTGAATTTGTCCACATTGATTTTCAGAACCATGGCCTGGTCTTTGTACTTTTGTGTCAGCTTGCGAATATGGGGATCCATTTCCTTGCATGGGCCACACCAGGTGGCATAGAAATCGAGTATAACTAATTTTTCTCCGGCATTTGCCAATTTCTTTTCAAAATCTTCCGTATTCTTTATTATGGAGACCATGTTATGATTCATTAATTCAATTAATAATGTCTTAGGCTATAATCAATATTTTTTTAGATGTTAATTTCTTGGTATGTCTGTAGCAAATGTTATATTGTCATAAAAAACAACAACTACAATTACTCGTATGGCTGAATAATTAGCGGTAATTTGTTTCAGCAATGCTTGAAGAAAGAAAACTCAATCACCAAGATGATAATTGTGATCATCAACGAAGAGGGTTATTCAATTAGGACACAATTCGTTTGGTAAAGAAAATGTTGACATTACCCCAGCAAAAAAATAGTTTTCGAAACTAAAAGTCAATTTTATATTTGTTATATTGAATATTTATTATTATCTATTCCCAAGATTTACCATTTTACAATTAAACACTTATATTAAATTGGTCCCAGACATAACTAATTTTACATTACTTCAAAAATAAATAAATAATATCATTAGGTTTATGCTTAAATTTAGTATGTCTTTTTACACAATTAACATTTACTTCGATTGGTAAATATTAAAATTTCTACTAGGCTTAAAATGGATATGTTTCAACAACAGTTGTATACTATCTAATATTGTTCTATAATGGTTTTGTTGCAATAGCTGGAGATGCCCTCACATTGGACTCTTGCATGTATTTCTTGAGACGCATCATCAATTGAATATTTTCCAAAGTCAATTCAGCCACCTTCGTCTCTAAACTTAAACATTTGTCATTGGCCTCTTTTAGTTGGTCTTCCAGCCGGGTATGAGCCGGATTATTGCAGATATATTGTTGTTGGCTTGTTGATGTATCGCAACCGGTGCAATAAGTTTGACTACTTTTTATCTCCATTGGACCATTGCTAGGTAACGTTGTGGTGAATTCTTTAAATGTTTCCCTTAGGGATTCTAATTGTTGTTCCACGGATATATCATTTGTGTGGTCAACATCGATACTTGGCAATGGTGAATGGAGTTCGGGTAATATTGTTAAACTATCTCTTATATCGCTCTTATGTATGTTGTGTATTTCCTCCTTATCGCTTGAAGGCAACGATGAGCTAAATTCCAAAAATGTTTTCTTTAGTAATTTCAATTCTGTCGGTACATCATTATCGGAAGATTCACATTCTGTATCGAAATTATAATTATCATTCTCACTGGGCATTGATTTATTAAATTCTGGACTTGTTTTTGTTGCTACATACGACTCGGCCTGCCCAAGCTCAATCGCTGTAGTCAAGGCATAATAATTATCTTGGCGTTCCGCTTTAACTGTAATTGAAGTAGGATCACGTTGGATTTGTTGCAAAAGGTCCTCTGATGCTCTAGCTGTAGCCATGACATAATCATTTTCTTGGCGTTCCGCTTTAACTGTAGTTGAATCAAGTTGAATCTGTTGCAAAAGGTCCTCTGTGGAGCTAGATGTTTTAATAGGTCTCTCGACAACGGCATACTTTCCTTTAGTCTTTGATTCTATCTTTATGGGTGTGGGAGCATAAATAACAGGCTCGTCTTTTACCACAACCTCCTGGATTGGTTGAAACGTCTTCACGGCCGCATTAAGCTCCGTTTTATCAACCGCCAAGGCAAAAAGTACTTGATCCAATGATTTTATGAGATCTGCCAAGGCTGATGCTATTGTTTCATCGGTCAGTAGAGCCCAGTGACTGTAGTGGCTATGTAGCACCCCTCTGTCCGAAAGCCAAGTAAGTATATATCTGTGAAGGGAATGTTCATTAAGGGAAGCACGTATAAATGCACGACCCTTACCCCACTTGGTCCAGGTTTGCTTTAATTGCTCAAATCTCTCACGTTCATGTGTTGTAAGAAATTTTTTGCAAAAGTCCCAAAAACATGGATTTGTCGATGTCATCGAAACATTGGAAGATTTTGCAATTCCCTTTGATGTGCCCGTTACAATTTCTTGCATATTTTGAAAGAGATTTGCCGCCGCCGAAGCAACTAGATTGGGAAGTTGTTGTTCCTGCTGTTGTTGTTTCAGACCGTATTGAAATGCGATTTCCAAATGATCGCATAAATTGGCCACACAATAATTATCCTCTGTAGCCAATTCTTTACGCCCACTAAAGTTTGCCCTGCATTCGGAAACAACAACTTGCAGGCGCCTGAATATGTCATGTTTTCTTTTATGAAATGTTGGCAGTTCAGGTGATGATAAAATACTATCCGAAATCACAGCATATTCCTCGGTGGCTATACATTCTTCTCGTTTCTCTTTATGTGGTGTCACCACCACATCCTCCTTGTCAGACATTTCCAAAACTGAAATTATTGTGTCAAACCACCTTTGTCGATCTAATTAAAAATCTAATCTAATTTAAAAACGTTCCACATGCTAAGAATAGGAGGTGTCAAAAGAGAATGACTGAAAAAATAACAAAATTGCGAAATACAAAATAAAAAAAAATCAGTCGATAAGGCAATATTTTACCTTGTAGTAATTTTCCATGGCTATAACTTTTGATTTTCTTGTTTCCAACAAAATTGTACAAAATAATACTATATAATTGTTCTGGAACACAACTATAGTTGATTTTTTTCCAAAGGTTTCCAAATAGGATTTTGATTTCAAAAATATCTCTTGACAAGAAATGTACGAGCAGATTAGTATTTTCTATTGAAACCATATACTGGATAAAAAAATACTCGTTTCATATCAAAAATATTTGTGTACAATATTTGAATTCAGTTGTTCTGCTTATCTCGGCGTTTACACATGCAACTTTCCTAACCAACTCTGCTAAGTTCTTAGGAAAAAGAACCAAAAAAAAGTGAGAAAAAGAAAGAATTACAGAAGAGAATCGTAAAGAGCAACAGCAGAGTTGACTAAAAAAGCTGCATGTGTAAACTCGGAGTAAATGCTTTTTAATTTAAGCTTAGCCTTTTTGTAAGGTGACCATACGTCCTCTTCTTTTAGAGGACAATCATCTATTTTAACTGCCTGCCTAAAATTGATGTCCTCTATTTGCCATCAATTTCTATAATATGTCATCTTTGTCATCTATATTTTTAAAACGTTGATTCGTTTTATGATTAATAAATTTTATGAATTTTCAGTGAAAATTGAAATTGAAAAATATTTAGAAAAGGAATTTTCAGGATTTGAAATTACTAAATGTTGGTATTTTTGGTTCCTGGACACGTTTTGCAACCGAACTGGCAGTAATTTGATATTTTGGGTTCTATTCTTCTTAGTGTCCCCAATATAAAGAAACCCACGTTTTTATTTTTATAATTTTACAAAAATTTGCCTCCAAAAGTGAATGTAATTTACTGTTCCTAGTAGTCGGCATATGTCTACTTCTTTGCAATGTTCCTTATATAAAGATCCCAAGATTATTCGCTTAGGGCCAAAATTTGGCACTTTCGTAATTAATATTCGTAAAAATATTTATAACTAAATAAAAATTTCCGTTTTATACACATATCATTATTTTATTATTATTTTTGACAGCTTTACTAAGTCTGCTTTTCCACAGGCAAATTTTTATTTGGCAAATACTGAGTTTGTAGGCGAGAGGGGTGCGAGGAAGAAAAACAAAAATTTGCCTGTTCAGAATTTGCCGTACACGCAAATTCTGCTTTGCTCTGTTCGTTGAAAACAATTTTGTTGAATTTCCTTTTGAACCTATTCGCTTTACTGACACACAGCCGGCTTTTGTTTACAAACCTGTTGCTTTAATTTGTGCAAGTGAAATTTAATTTTTAATTTTTGCAATTTATATAATAAAATATATAAAAAATAAATAAAATATTAAAAAAATCTTTATAATGCCAATACTTTTGACTTTTATTTTCTTTCTTTTGTATTTTGATTCGCAAATTTGGCAAAGAAAAATTGGCTAATGGAAAAGCAAGCGAAAATTTCAAAAGAGAAAACAAAAAATTTGCCAAATAAAAATCTGCCTGTGGAAAAGCAGCCCTGGCCACCACAATTACAATTAAAAAACAAAGAAACGGCGTTCGTAAATCGAACATTACCGCCATAGCACTCTTTAAACGGCGTCAGACTTGTGTTTGACGTTTTATTTTGATCCACAAATTATAAACAACATATGACGTCACAAATCGAAAGATAAAATACCCGCCCATATCCCCAACTATAGTTGTTTATTATTTTTATTATTTTCGTTGCTTTCTGTCCCTTACCCAAAAGCTTCAATCAAAACAAATCGATGTAAACAACAACGAAGTGAACGTAAACAACACGACAACGACTTCGTATCGGCAAATAAATGTGAAACGACGCGAACGGAACCAATGAATGCGATAAAGTCGCGCAAGTAAATCATTCAACAATTAACAATACAAGCGATAAGTTCAGTGAAAAGAAAAATAAAACAGAAAACGACGAAGTAAAAATAAAAAATTGACTTCTTCGACATTATAATAATAGCAGTACACGAAAGACATAAAGAGAAAGTGAACAATATAAATTCAATAGTCGTCTGTCACCCCAACAGGCAAAAGAACAAAACTTTTACAAATACCTGTAGACGATTTCAATTTTATTCAATTTGTGAGTTCTTAACAAAGGAAAAGAGGAGAAAAATAAGTGAAAAGAGACTATTTTGATTGTCATCAAATTCCTTTAGTGTGACGAAAAATTTTCTGTGTTCGATGAACAATTTACGTTATCGTAAAACTCTTGGCGGTGTTGGCATAATAACAACGTAAGTATTTTCATAAGAAATTAATTAATTCTTACAAGATTTCGAATTCAGTAACGACATATTGAAATAATTTTCATGAGTAGCAAGCAAATTTCGGCTCATATTTTTCAGAAAAAATCAAACAGAATTTTTTTAGCATTTGCATTGTAAAATTGCATTGCAATGACTCAGTGTGAATAATAACATGTGTGGATGTCAGCATTTGTATAGTTGACACATATATGTATGTGTGTATGCATATATACTACGCAATTTGTGAATTATGGGGGCTCGCCTCTCAATCTCTGCTGTGATCGTTCTAGTACACAATATTTTTTATATTTATTTGTGACCGAATAACTTCCGTGTGTTTTTTTGTTTTGATCAGATTACGTCAACTTGTTGTTGTTGTTTACAATTCTCAAATTGTAAAATAAGTTTCGAAAACAAGTTGTTATCGTCAACAGCAACTAGAATTCGGTAAACATTTTTTTGGCATGTAAAAATAGCCCTTTACGAATTATAGATTTTGCTTAAATTGTATTTGTTCTGTTGCTGTTGTGTTGTTATTATTCACTAAGAATTTAAATATCGTATGATATCTTTCCGCGCCCGCCCATTACTCATTGTTTTGAATATTAGTGATCAAAACAAAACATTCGATTTTGTTAAAAAGAGATAGACAAAAAATCATATTTCCTTTCACACACTTCGCTTGCCGTTACTTTAGCCCAGCTCGAGGCCAAAACAAACAGAAACACAAACTTCCAATGAAAAAAAGAGGTGATTATGACGGAATTGTTTGTCGATGTGTGTGACACACTGAAATTTAATTTGCCCACACTTGATTAGATTGATAATAAAACTTCGACCTAAGCTAAATGGGTTTTATGAAAATCCATCTGTTTTGAAATGAAATGGAAAGTAGTAATTAAATGAATTAAATTCAATACTACATACTAGAATTCATGTCTAGCAGATTTTAATAAAAAAATGATCATAAATTAGAAATATATTTTTTCAATTCTATAAGTTTTTATGTAGCCCTCTTATTTGCAACATGTAAAAAAATATGTACATATTAATGTATATATACACACACGCGCATCTATATACGCTCGCACGGTACTACTTGATCTGACGTGTTATTTTTAGATAAAGTGGCGTGCTTTTTCATAAACAATAACAAACTATTGCTGTTGTTGTTTTGATTTAGTTGTTGGTAAACAACATGATTATGTTTTTGCGCGTTCATGATCATTATTGTTATCGTCGTGTTTTTTACAAGAAAAATCCGTGGTACAATTTATTACATATTTTTATTTCTCTTTTATTTCAGATGTGGCCTTATTTTATACGAAAAACATAGAATTCAAAAGTTCCTATCGAAAATCGTCGACAACAGCAACGGAAACAATGGTGACAAAAAATCTGAACCCGACTATATCTACATCAAATATCACATCTATAGGGAATCGATGAGAAAATTGAAACAAAAGGAGGAGGACGACAAGAAATGGATTAGTGTAATTGTCAATCCCGTTGGTAAATGGTGGAAGGCTTTGAAACATTCCGTTGCATGGCGTTTATTGGACATTGCCCAGAATGGTAGTCATCATGATCGTTTGAAAGCCGTCCGACAATTGGCCAGCATCGACCATTTAAAAGATTGGGATTTTCGTCACTTGGCCCAACTCTGTGATGCCCGGACTGCTGTGTCATTGGCCCGATCAGGTGCTGATAAACGTTGGTTTGTACCGGTCCACATGAAAGGTTGCATAAAAAATCCCAAATTAGTATTATCCGAGTTGCACGATTTGCTGTCACGTTTAAATTCGGCGAAATCCTGCGTTAAACACTTCTTCAAGAAATATTTTCCGGAACAAGATCCTGTGGTAAGTACAAAAGTTAGTCCAAGCTAAATTTATCTTTGCCATTTCATTTTCTATATTTGTGTGATAAGATAAATTGTGTTCTGTTCACGCCACTCACTCGAATATAATATACCAATATATATTGACGACAATTGCAATCGTTTTGTACTACCCGAACAAAAATAAAATGAATATGAGGTAATGTGGATATGAGACCATTGGTCTTTTTATTTACACTGTCATACAGCAATCTAAAGAAAAACAAATAGTTCACTCAAAATATTTTCTTTTGTAATCTAAACATATATATACCTATAGACATTTTTTTAACCATGTTCCTTTCTATATTTTTTTCAGGAGGATGTCTGCGAATTCTTCACCCAAGATCACCCGGTGTCATTCAATGTCCATGAAACCGATTTGCTTAAGGAAATTATTGCATTTTTACATCATGTCACCAAAGAACCTGAAGTATCTGAACAAATAATCAAGGAAGGCGGTTTGGTACACCTAATGGAATTGGCCAAAATATTTGCCGACGACAATGAAACCCTTTCGACCCTGTGTAAAGTCTTGGCAAATATGTCCTTAGTAAAGGATAGTGTAGAGCATTTCTTTGTTAGTGGTTGGATCGGAGTATTGGCTGAATGGCAACAATGCCCTGATCTTAGACTACAAGTTATCTCTGCAAAGACCATGGCAAATCTGGACCATGACGATCCCAATCACACAGTTTATCCACCCAATGTATATCCACTGCATCCACGTTTGAGAACTCGTACCAAGCCAAAGGCCGATATCGTTTTTATACATGGACTTTTGGGGGGAGTTTTCATTACGTGGCGTCAGAAGGACCGCAAACCCACCGAATTGGGCCTATACGGCAAGAATGCATTTTACACCAGTGAAACGGATGATGTTTTCTTGGTTGGCGAACAACGCCGTTTGAATCTAAAAAAGAATGCAAATGGAAAAAAGAACGATGAAGCGTCAACTGCCGCCCAGATGGAGGATAAAGAACCAACTGAAGAGAAAAAGAAGGTATTAAAAGCCCACACAAAATCATCAAACAAACCGATTGCCATCAGTGATGCAGCCACTTTGGAATTGGTCGAATCGCTGAAAAGTGAACCTGAATTAGAGGCAGATTGGGAAGTTGTACACCCAGATGTGCCGTTGGCTGCAAATGAAAATTGTTCCGGTGAGTTTAGTGTATCCGGCAACGAATGGATAAATCAGGATAACGAAGAGGACTACACCAATTGCTGGCCAATGGAGTGGTTGCCAGAAGATCACCCAAACACCAGAATCATTGGTATCGATTACACATCAGCGGTTACAGAGTGGTCTGCCAACTTTACAAAATATTGTCCCTGCGAAAAGGGCCAAGGTCACATTGAAACACGAGCCAATTCGCTTTTGGAACGTATTTCCATGTCCGATATAGGCAGAGATAGACCGGTTGTATGGATTGGTCATTCCATGGGTGGTATTCTAACCAAACTAATTCTTATGAAGGCCAAAGATAGTAAAGATCCGCAGGTGCAGCAACTAGCCAAAAACACCAGCAGCATTGTATTCCTTGGCACACCGCATAGAGGCTCTCCTATAGCCAAATGGAAGCAACACATGCAAATGATTCTATCTCCATCCATAGAGGTAAAAGAAATGGAAGAGAATGCCCCACGTCTCCTAGAATTACATGATCAATTTATGAACTGCCTGCACACCTGTTTCCGCAACATCAAAGTGGTTAGTATTGCCGAGGGGAAACCCACGATGCTGACATCTTTCAAATTTCCCTTGCGCATTGTGACCGAGGAATCAGCTCGCATAAACTATGGTGACTTTTATGTTCTGAAAGATGACCATTTAAGTCTCTCCAAGCCCATTTTCCGCCAATCGTTCCTTTACAAGCGTCTATTGCAAGTTATAGATGAAACTGTAAATGAGGAGGGTAATCCAGGTCTGAAGCAAGCACTGCCTAGCAAAAGTTCAGAGATTTTATCGCAAAAGTCACCCACACCCTATGTACCTAGTATTGTAGAACAAGCTAAAAATATCTTAGCACTGCTACCACAAATTGTCCTGAAATTTTCAACATCGTAAACGACGATGTCTCCCAAAAAATTATGTACTTATAGTTTGTGACATTGTATATTATAGCATTCCGTCATCCCATTGTGTGCCTATTTTTCCCACTGTATTACTTCAATCGAAATTTTGTAATTTCAGGAGCTTGTCGTCCGACCAAATTTATTTTTATGCCCCTAGTATGTCGTCTTTTATTTATTTATAATCCGTAGCTATATTCAAATCAAATTGTTGTGTATCCTACACTCGATCGAACTGAAATAATTGTATTATCACCCACCACCCCCTTCGAATCATGTAAATATAAATCGTAGTAATTAGCATTATTTTTGTATATTTATTATTACCATGAATATCTAACTTTTTAAAAAATAAAATAAATTATTTTCAATGTATAATAAATGCGAGTAGTTTTCTTTTTGTTACTCATCCAATCATTTAGAACCATTTAGAAAACAACAATGCTACTAATTCCAACCCAATATAATGGTGGTATGGTGAGCATCAGTCGTTTCCATTAAGCTCTTGGGTCTTTTGTGCCGCTAATTTTTTGGCCGCCAGTCTCTCTTGGGCTAAACGTCTGTTTTCCGCTATGCGTGCCATTTGCTCTGCCGTCAATTGTTTGGTTGCGGGTGTGGATGGTTGACTTTGTGGCAGTGGTGTGGCCAAATCACTCGTATCATTAAGGTTATGTATACCGGAGTACGGTGTTGACATCACGGCATTTCCTCTTGAAAATGACGGTGTGCTAAACGACGAAGAAGTGCTCATCCCTGTGTTATTTGCATTGTGCGCCGCATATTTTGAGGAGCTGGGCGCGGGAGTGCGTGGAGCAATTTTTGAAATGGCAATTTGTTCATCCAATAAAGCATCAAATTCATCAAATGGCTCGTCGGCACCGGCTTCAGCCGCCAGCTCATCTCCATCGCCGTCAGCTTCGTTCATGTTACCATGCGTCTTCGTAGCTTCAAGCATGCCTAGCCGGTAACGGGACATGTGTACCTGTAGTGTTTTCTTTTTGCCCAAACGCTCAATATTGGCCAGGACATCATCAAATTTATAAGTGGGATACATCCGATGGCCCCAGTGTTGTAACCGTCTCATTATTTCATCTAAATCTTGTTTTTCATAGCCTTTACCTTTGAATTTAATGTCGCTGAAGTATTCCTCTATTGTGTGTAGACCTCTGGGTCCACGTAGTGTTTCCTCTGTAAGGCGAGGCCTTGGGTTGAGAACATTTCTCTTCTTCGGCTGCACCTTTACAGCTGTTCCACTTGATGCGGGTGTCTCACCATCATTCTCGTTGTTTTCTTGCGCCTCATCGTCGCCAAATAATTGTTCATTGTTATCGAGGTCATTACCATTGAGCAGATCATCAACGCCATCATCTCCAAAGATGGACATACTTGTTATGCCTATACAGGATATTCAGGAGGTACTAACGTTGGGTGTTGCGATAAACTGTAGTACAATTGACAATCGGCCAATTTCTAGGTTTCGCGCTATTTTCTTTCGAAACGATTACCAACAGTTTGGAGTTGCAATTTAAAGAGGCTCGTAATGGCAAATATTTGAGCTTTACTTGGATCACCATACGTTTTTAATTAAAAAGCAAAAATAAAAATAATAAATGCACCACACCACCACTCCAATATACCAACAATCAATTTAGTTTTAAACAAAGCTAGTTGCGGCAACAAATATTTCAAATGAATGATTCTGTGAGACGAACCGACGGAACTATTTTCCAATAAAACATGATAATGATAAATAAAAAAGAAAAGAAAATATCCAAATGGAAAAAAATCTCTCTTTTTCCTTGGGTAAATTTACTCCGAACATGGTTTGCGGAAATAATAATCTATATTTCAAATATTTAAAAGATTGGAAAATTATACAGCGATATCATAAAAAACGTCCGGTGTAAATACGCCCTTTTGAGCACCACACAATGATTGCGTTACGCGTTTTTACACTTCGCGTCAACGCGCAAGTTACGTATTTAAACTTCACATGAAATCAATTATGTATGTACTAAATTTTATTTCGAAATTTTGATCAAATCTCTGATTTGGTCTCAGTTGTAGTTTGGAGTTGAAATTTTAAAATATATTCAACTCCGAAGAGCAACGTACATCAATTTTTCAGATTAGATGTTACCGTGCATTCTGCTTATGCGAAGTCAGATTTAATAAGGTAGCTGCATGAGCCCAGCTGTTGGTACAAATAAATGTCAAAAATGTCAAAGAAAGAATTTGTAGAGAGTAACCAAAAAATTGTTTGTTCTCAAGAGAGAAAATTACAAAAAGTAAAAATATTGCATCTACACAGCTGATTAGAACATCAAACAATTTAGCGCAAACAAAAAAAAAGCAGCATTTTATTAGAAAAATGGATAACAAACCGAAATTGACGTTGTTTACAAATACTTGCGTTTTCTTCATCCATTTTAATGTATAATGATACAAAATCATAATAAAAATTAACAAAACAATTTGCTTGAGAAAAAAAATTTTGTTTGCTTACAAAACGTAACAAAACAGCTGATTAAATATCAGCTGATGATACAAGAAATTCTTACTGGGTAAAATTCCCTTTTAAGACTTTGCAAACACTCAGTAACACAACTGCCAAATCTGTTCTCTCAATTCACTCTCTTTTACTGGACTTTTGAGTTATGGAACAGAGCTTTTACTACTAATAATAATATTATATATGTATATATATATAAATTTTTATTAACCGTTGGCTGCGCTTTTCGCTGAAAATTTTATATGCATACATCTGGCAACCCTATTCAAAGTCTGTCTCTGATCACATGTTTCTGTTGTTATTGTTTATTTTTTTTTTGTCAACTAGACTTCCAATTAACTAAAGGCCAGAGATATTTGTGATTGTGTTTTAAACTTTTGTCGAGTGGCATTGGAATAGCGCATCCACGCCATTAAATAAACAAACAAACTGAAATAAATTATTTGTTTAGAAACAAACAACAACTCCAGTGGTAAGATGATGTAGTTGTAAACTATCTATTTTTGTGTGAGAAGAAACCAAGAGGCGCATTTAATTGAAAATGTTAAGCAGATGAATGCATTGTGGTGGCGGTGGTGGGATATTGAAAAATTAGACAGAAATTTGGGCAGTGCTTTTCAATAATTTCTTCTTCTTTCAATTATTTCTGGGTATGACTGATGATAGACCACAACCATGCCCAGATTTTCAGTAAAGGTAGATATTGTGGCACTGCATTTTTGAAGTCGGACATACAATTATTTGCCTTAAAATACTTTAAATTTTCATTCCAAATTGATATTTGCGTTCAATAGCTGCACTCTGGAACTACTTATTTTCTATTTTGATTACAGTTTAGATTTCATTCGATTCTATGTTCTGGGCGTTGAAAGTTATGGAAAAGAACAACCATCCAATGTTATATATAGTCAGATAAACAATATCTGAAGTAGGATGAAGAAAACTGTATTTAATTGCATTGCTGAAGAGGGTACAGAAAAGCTTTCACAACCAAACACCACAAGCTCCAAGTAGAAAATATTTGTGAGAATTAATGATCCAAACAAAAGATAAACCCAGTTTGTCATGGTGTTTGTTTATTCCATTTTTATTTATTATCAGTTATGTCGTCTTCGTTTGTTTAACTGCTTTACTGTGTACAAACGTTCGCGGATGGTTAATCTATTTAACTGCTAAAGTACTCATTTCAAGTCTTTGTGCATTCTTAATTGAATTAAGACACACCGATCATAGAGTTCTGCTGACAACAACGAACGACAAAGTAACACCATAATTGGTTTTTATTATAGAATATTTAACTGTGTACGTACCTGCCTGTAACCAATTAACATGGATGATACGTGGAATAATGTAGAATTAACAAATATCTCAAGACGAAAATCGTATACCTTGAATCACAGTTACGATTCAACATCTAAATATTCGGCATTTAATAACAATGAAAATGAGAAGCCATTGCAAGATACGGGATCTTCGTCTACCGGTCAGAACACAAATGGAGGATCTGAAGACAAATGCCTTCAACCGGGCTCTGACATTAAACCGAATGTGCCCATTGAACAAGTGGAAAGTTTGCTACGACGTTTATTTGGCATAACCATTGGAGAGATTAAGGAGCTAATTTCATATGATGATCGAAACTACTATATTAAGGAGGATCCGTAAGTATTAAAATTTTCATTAGCTATATATTCATCAATATTAAACACCGACTTCCTAACAAACTCAAGTTGCAAAGCACTGTTAAATTCTAATCGTACATAATAGCATGTGCCTCATTCCTTATTTATTCAGCTCGTTGTGTATTTAGAAGTTATGGATATGCGCTGACATACATTCTAGTATGTATTTAGTTTTGAGTGTATTTGAAGAAAACAATCTATGGTAAACAATAAAAATAACTATCATCAACTGACTGTTAAATAATGGCTATCTGTTTCGTTGCAAAATGATGGACAATTTCCTAAATTTTAATTTATTAAATTATTAACATATAAAAAAATAAATTACATAAAACTATTTTTACTTACACGTCTATTTTAAAGTTGGCCGTTTCTGAAAGCCGAACATGCTTAATGTGGACTGTTGTTTAGAATCACTTGATGACGTTACTTTATTACTTTTACTAGATTTTTGAACCTTTTTGGGTTTTGAAAGACCGATACTTCTTTGACTATTCGATACAGTACTCATTGAGCGCTGAGATTGTTGTGAAGACATACGCACAGTGGTCGCTGTTATTTTACTATTGACGTTTTCCTCTTCAACGTCTGATAAAATTTCCACAATTTCCTCCTTTATCGTCAAACTGGTTCTGTTTTCTATATTTTGACTATTGATTTTTTGATTCTCTTCTGATTTATTAATTGAAGTATTTTCACTGGTGGTCTGGTTTACTAAATTTTGACTATTGCTGCTGATATGTTTCTCTTCGGATTTTTTAATTGATTCCGATATTACTTTCTTGGCTTCTTTTCCACTCTCCGGTGATGTGTCAGCATATAGGCGGCTTTGTATAACTAATGTATTTTTGGATATCTCTTCTATTTGAGTCATTTGCTGAGTTAAATCTCGAGCTGCAAAAGGCTTCTTGACAGCCTGTTTTATGTTTTGTGCAAAGAATCGGGATTTAATTTCGACTTTGGCCCTATTATTGTTGGACTTATTATTATTAACTTGGTCGATGGCGTTTTTATTTGGACTCAATAGTTTCAAAAGTGATTTATTCGCACATATCGGTGACTTTGGTTTATCTTTCAGTGAAGTATTAATAATGGCAAATGGATTGTGTGCTTTGGACGGAGTAATGGGAATTCCTTTGGATGATTCTTCATCCTCGCCACTCTCGGAAGGTTCTCGTTTCCGTTTTACATTTACTTTATTAAAACTATACATAGAAAAAACCTCAGCCTCCTCGAGTTTTGAGTTCTCGTTGGCCAATTGTTCTTGAATTTCACTCTCAGCTAAATGCTTAAATTCTATTTTTTTAAACGGCAGCATGGGTATTTGTTTTTTATCATCTTTCTTGTGCTCTCTGTCCTCCCCAGTGGCTGTTTTAAGCCCCCATATACTTTTGTGCTTCCCTGTGGCAGTTCGATTTTTGGATGTATTTGACCAATCAGCTTTGTCGGGATGCCAATCGTGTAATTTTTCTAAAGTAAACGGATTCAAGTTGCCCAAAGCCAATTGAAATGCTTTCTCATTGTCATCGAGTAATGTACCAGCATTACTGCAGTATTTCTCATCAGTTCCATATTCTTCCAGAGCATGTAGCCGTTCCATTCGTCTTTCCAAGGGATTGTAAATGTACATGTGTTTGAATGTGGCTTCGGCCTTTAAGAATTCCTCTATGTATTCATCGGTTACCTCCAATTGTTTCATTTTCAGATATTGTGGTAGCTTCTTTAAGGCCCTTGTCATGTCATCCTCTTCGGTGGTCATCATAAATTTAAGAGCTTTCTTTAATCCAATACCCGGCAATGAGTCTAAATAATCACAGCCCGATAAAATACACATCCTACGAAATTTATCAAAGGTGTATTTCTCCGGTTTGCAGTCCATGGCCAAGTGTAATTTGGTGCTTTCAACCAAGAGAGCACTTCCTTGAAGATCAAGTTTGAATAGAACTTTTAAGGCGCCGAATAAAGTTAAATCCGAGTCTTCGGTTATAATGTATTCCGCCAATCCGTTTTTATTCAGCCATGCCATTTGTGCGTCTGCTTCATATGGAGCGACAATACATTCCACACCTCTTTCTAAATTAAAGTAGATGTGATTATTTTAGGGATGGAATTGGATTTTTTGGAGCATTTACCTCTGCATGCCTTTATGAGCCGTAGAGCCATTTCGTGGGTAACATCGACAGCTCTCCGCATGTGTGAGCGGGCCTTATCTATTTCGTTCATTCGCAGATACTCCTTGGCTAATTTTTTGCTTTCACGACGAGCTTCCCGTCTACGTCGCTCGGTTTCGGCCTTTGCTGGAAGATGGTTACCATCAAATACCATTATAATTTTGATTTTATTTGCAAGCAGCATGTCGACAAATTTTAGGCAGTACTGAATGTAAATATCTGTATCTTCGCCCCGGACCAGTTTCTCGGCACAAGCAAAAACTCCTTTATGAAGCCAGCAATAGCTGTCTACGGCAACGGAAGTTCCTCGTAAGTCTCTGATATTTACCGGTCTGGAGGCTTTTTCCAGAAAGGGAATTAAGCCCGAAATTCCCATTTTTTGTGTTACTGTCTGTCGTCTCTTCACAAAAGTTAAGTTTGTCCAAATTAAAGCAACTACATTTATTGTTTACATTTTTTTCTGTTTGATATGTGAAGGAAAATTGCGCGCGCGACAACAAACGTTGCCATATCAATGAAGTTCTCTTTTCAATATAATTGTGGTGTTACCTTATCTGTTATCGAATAGGGTTACCAAGCTAAGTCTCAATTTAGATTGGGCGAGTTTACTTGCCGCAAGTCTTTGTTTGTTGGAGAGAGGGGCAAGGGGAATAGAAATTAAAAAAAATTGCCCGTACCGACAATTTTCTGGCAATTCGTTTTGTGTATTTTGTTTGTAGTGTCAGTAATTTGAAATACCAGAACATTGTCACAAAATGTAAAAAAAAATATTTTTGAAACCGAATTGTCTTGTATAGACGCCTGAAGCAAGGTCAAAAGAGAAAGATAAGAATTGCCGCAAGTAAACTCGCCTAATCTAAATCAGGACTAAGTACAAAAATCATTTATGATAAAATTGAAATTCATAATTAGGTTAATATTCATGACATAATTAAAAATTAATTATTAATTATGCCATGTTTAATATTATTGTATTCATAATTTGCCATGTTAAAGCATGGTACAATTATAAAAGGTAACAGCAAATACCAGCTGATTTGATTCCAACGTAATACTAGTGTCAATATGCATTTTATTTATTTATTTAATTCATTCATGTAATACAAAGCCTTTAAGGCCAAACATTTACACTATAATATAATAACATCTGAGGTTAAAAATATCGTATATATATTAAAATTAATATATTAATTGATGAGATAAAGTTTGGGTTCAGTATTAGGTATGGTACATTTGACAAATTATGTTTTTAAAAATCACCCAACAGGAAAATTGGGAACTTATTCAATTCGAAATTGTTCTTTATTAAATGTCCTCCCGTATTCAATTTACTCACCCTGCCTGCTGGGAAAGTTTGAGGAAGCAAATCTTTCTTCAAGGAACAACTCGCTATTCCCAGCATTTGCATATGTGTTACACAAATATATGGCAATGGCTCAATTATAGTAAAGATGTGGAAGCGATGGAAATATAAATTTGATATATTTTCATTCATGTTTTTCAATTTTTATTTTGAGGATTCAAAATAAAAATAATTTGATTGAAATTTGTTTGTTTGTTTACATTTTTCTATCAAAAGAGTTGACACTAGTAGAACTTACAACAACAAATTTCCATGTGGTTGTTGTATCGTTTGTTGTACAACAACACTTGCTGTTACCTTTTATTATTATACCATGATGTTAAAGGAATATTTAATGAAGAGAAACATGAATGATTGCAAATACATGGCGAATTACGTAGATTTCAATGTATAATGTTACAGTACATTAAAAAAACTAAATACTGAAAAAAAAATATTTTTTATAAGTATGCTTGTTTTTGCAATATATTTCACAATATTTCGATATGTTTCGAAGGGTCAATGGATCATCATTATCTTTTATTTTTTTTTTTTCAGCAATATTAAAAACCCCCTTATTGCATCACATTGTCCCCATGGTTATGTTTTGAAAATACTTAATGCCTTGGATTCGAAAAAAGAAGATTTTGTAGATGCTCAAAATCAGCTAATGTTATACTTATGTAAGATCGCCTCTACATATTCACTTTACTAACCACAATAATGCTAACAATGTCTTCTTTAAAACAGCAAAACATTTACAGTGTCCTCGTCCGGTGGCCAATGTTAATGGTAAATTGTATAGTGTTGAGAACATTGGTGGAGTGCAGCATATTGTGCGGTTATTGGAATTTGTGCCTGGGAAAATGTTTCACGAAGTACCCATAACCAATTATTTACTTTATCAGAGTGGTGAATATTTGGCCAAAGTTGTTAAGGCTTTAAAGGTAACTAAAATTTTCCTTTTTAATTTTCTTATACCTTAATGTAACTTTTCTATTTTTTTTTTTTGAATAACGAAGAACTTTAATCACGATGCCTACGAATCGCACACAAGTACATGGCAATTGCAGTCAGTACCACAAATTAAAAAATTCCTCTATGTCTTGGAGGATCATTCTCGCAAAGCTTTGATTGAAGAAGTAATTGAGGCCTTTGAAAGCAACGTTCTCGCCAAGTTGGATACATTTGAAATGCAAATTATCCATGGAGACTTCAACGAACAAAATGTAATCGTAGAGCAATGTTCAAACGGACAAGATTACAAAGTCAAGGGTATAATAGATTTTGGCGATACAAATAAATCGCCAATTCTATTCGAAATCGGAATCGCACTTACTTATATGTTGTTGCAAGCAAAGAATTTAGAAAGCGGTGGTATTTTTCTTGCCGGCTTTGAAACTATGCTGCCGATAAGTGCCGAAATAAAATCATATTTGAAATATTGTGTTGCCGCCCGTTTAGCCCAAAGTTTGGTGTTGGGCGCTTACACCCATTCACTACATCCATCTAATGAATATGTTTTGGTAACTCAGGAACAGGGTTGGAAACTTATTGAAGAATTATGGCGCGAAAAGTTTGAAACAATCGATGATATATGGAAAACCACTTGCGATAAATATTTACAAAGCAGTGTCAAGTAACGTGTGGGTTATAGTCGTTGTGGAAACGCGCTTGAATTCCATTTTATTTTGTCCTTAATTTGTTTTTGTTGAGTATTTTTATATGTATTTTACTAACAATGTTCTTTTTTTAATTTAATAATTGTCGAATTGTCTTCCCTCACCTGATGTCAATTATCTCTTTGTATTCAATCAATTCTATTACATATATTTACAAATAAATTTTATCCCAAATGTGTTAACAATGTTTTTAATTCTCTTTGGTAAGAAACACATATAAACGCATATACCGATTATGTGTAATTCTCCATTAAACAAACAGGTGAAGTGTGTTTTATACATTTTATTTATGTATAACATTTCTCTATTCAGAATTTGCACATTTTCCAAGTGTCTCTTCTTTTATTTACAACACTATTGTGCTCTATACATATATTACTACTACTCTTTCTTTTACTTACACATTAAAATTAGAATAGCTTATTCCCAGCGATTTTAAAAACTGTTTTATCACAATAATCTTCGGTTCAAACTTAAGCATTTTACATAATAATACAAACAATATATAAAAGTGTGTAAAATTGTCGAATGCATTAAAAATAGAACAATTCATGCTTTTACTTTTTTCCTTACACTTAATTTGGGGAACTATACTTTATAGCTTAACCTAGGGTTTTGAATTAGAATTACTGGTGCACTGTGTTGTTGTAATGGTAACGGTTGTAGATGATGACGATAATATCGCTTGAGTTGTTGTTGTAACTGCAGTGGTGTTGTGCATCGAAGGAACAGAGGAGGTGGAAGTAAATGCTAACTTCGTTGTCGCCGAACTACGTTGCCGCGTCGAACTATGATGAGATGATGCGCCAAAGGTGGAGCTTTGTTGCCTCCTGCGTTTCTTGAGCATAACAAATGAGGAATTCAACAATTGATTTTGGATTTGTGTTGACGTATTTGTTTCTGCCGAACAACTAAGTGTTGTCACTGTAGGTTTTTTGCTAGCGTTGTCTGTGGAATTTTGCATTTGGGCTCTTTCCAACCATGGCAAATTAAATTCTCTGCGATCTCCACTTGTTCCCAATATTTTGGGGATCATTTCACCAAAGGCCTGTACAGGCAAATCCTGCACATAGCATATTGATTGCAGATTCTCAGTGGTTGGATAAAAACTTTGCAGGGATACCGATTCCTGTACATTCTGAATTTCATCCTTGCAGTGCCTGCGCTTCAATCGTTCAATTCGCCTCTGTTCTCGTATCTGCTGAACATCCCACTTCTTGCGTCTCTTCTCGTCCACTTCTAGTTTGGCATGCCTTTTGAAGAACGTATCGTCGGATAGATCCTCCGTGCCTTCAATACAGTAGGATGGGGTCAATTCGTGTTCAGTCCACTTTGGTATCTCCAACTTTTCAGTTTCCGAACTTTTAATGACTTCGGAGTCATAATCGAAATGGAACGGCTCATCCTCCCACTCTCGTGTGCTGTATAGCTGGGGGGTGGAGATGTAAGAGCATTTTCTGATTTTAGTCCTAACGTGTGTATGTTGGCTGTCATGACCACCGTGGTTATAGCGTTTCTTTTCATTGGCGCTTATTACTGCGGATGGCTTAGGCGGCGAACAAGAAGCAACGGATGCAGATCTCTGAAAATTCCGATATATAAGTAAATGGTTTGCATATAGTTTAATCCAATTTATATTTACCTTTTCTGTTTCCGCCGTGGAGTCGCAACTTACAGATTCGTCTGTATGATAATCTGGCGCATGCCAGCGCATTATGGTCATTTGTTTCCCCCGACTAACACTCACATTTCCCGTATTAACAGATGTAACAGCCTTAAATGTCGTTTGTCCATCACTGGTGGTAGTTGAGGCTGGCGAAACACTTGGTTTAGCACCTCGGGGCAGGACTAATGATTGTTTGGCGGCTTGTTTCAATCTCAGACGCTTGCTCTGGACGGCCAGAACTTCGTTACTATCTTCTGTGCTGTTGCCTGTATCGTACATGTCATCTATTATGTGCTGTTGCATTGATATATCTTCCTGTGCCTTGTTTTCGTTTGCGGTCTCTGCACGATCTTCTTCGTTCTCACAATTATCCTGCCCGTTAATACTAGGATCTTCTTCGATATCTTCATCGTCAATAATTTCCTCAATATCTACATCATCAAAGGGTTCCCGTTCTTCTTCATCGTCATCCTCATGTTCAGAATCTGTTGTTTGACTCTGTGGGCTTTGTGTCCTTTGCTTCCCTCGCACCGATGACAGTACGATTTTGTTAATTAACTTCCCATTACACACACCAATTATATTCGAAATGACTTGGGAACCAGAAGTCGTTTGCTTTGCATTGGTCGACTGGGCCAATGCCGGCGCATTTCCTCCTATCCCTGGCTGTATTTTCGCTAATGGCGGCAACGGCAATGTCGGCATTTCTGCCGATCGCTTTTGCTGCTGTAATTGTTTTTGCAATTCTTGGATGGTGTTTTCCAAAGCATTGTTTCGGGCTCTCAGCGCCATTAGCTGATCACTTTGTTCCTGTATCAGGTCCAGATGCAATATCAACATCCCTTTGAGTTGTTTGTTTTCTTTCAAGAGCGCCAAAACGTCTGCATTTGTTGACGAAGAACCACCACCGCTGCTGCCGGCAGTTGCCATGTTATTACTATACACCGATTTGGTCTGAGTGGGGTGACAATAAACGTGGTCCAGATATTTACTTGTCGGGGCCTTATTACACTTGCCCTCCATTTTATGAATGGTTTAGAATATGGACTGTACGAGAAGTTTTGGAAATGTCTTCTTCTTCTTGTACCGACCGAGTGTATATAATTTATACACCGAGTGTATGGAAATGTCTTCTTCTTGTACCGAGCGTATATAATAAATTATAAATAATTTACTCTCTTGGAATAACTTGGTAAATGGCCTCAAAAAGAGGCAGTCACGGTTTCAGCACGGATGCGACTCGTAAATTTGCGAACAAGGATACGTTTGTAGTAGCGATAAATTTAAAAACGTTCCACATGCTAACGAATGGGAGGAGATGACAAAATGGCCGATAAAGATGGTATAACCCGAAAGTTTACGAATGAGGTGGGATGGAGACTAAAGGAAACCGACCGTGTTGTTTACAACACATACACTCACAGCAGCTGCATTCAGAGAAACGAGCCATACTGAAATTCTGTGTGACGGCGTTGTTATATGCATGTTGACAACGAAAATCAATTTTGAGCAGGTTTGACAGAATCTAAAGATCGAAAAGTCAACTTTTAGTCAGGGGCACGAAAAGTCGACTTTTACTCTCGATTAATTTTTATGACGCCGTTGTGTTTTTGGGGGTGGCTTCTACTTTAATGAAGTGCGTTACACACAATCAAGAGGTTATGTGTTTATTGAACGTTTGCACAAGACAGATCATTGAGCTCAGAAATTTCATATTTACAACGTTAACTAAATTCCAGCGAGGCGTACAAAAATATTCAACTTCCCCACTACGGCAAAAAGTTTTGTACGGCCGTATTACCCAAATACGTCGAATCCATATCTCTTAGCAAGCTACACAAAATCGCGAAACAAAATTAAAAAATTATACAATGTGTTCAAATATTTCACATTCTTATTTAAAAATTTGTATTTTATTTGTTTTTTTTTATTTTCAACGAAAGAAAAAAAAAATTACGTTCTGTCATAGTTGAATTTTTTCCACTTTGAAAATTGGTACGACGACGTATTTCGGTAACATTCATATAAATACATGTGTTCAACTTTTGTAATGAATAACGTCGAATTTTAGGTACGCCTGTTAGATAGCCAGAGGCGCGTTTAGACTATAGATTTCATTATAAAAATTGCATTATTAGTCAAAGAATATGCAACTGAAATTGAGTATGTGGTAATATGTAGAAATCTCTTTATTTGAACTTAAAAAATAAATCGAACTGATATTATTTCAACGTTTTAGGTTCAATTGAAACTGTAATTGTAATTTTTTCCAGAAATTTTTGGTATTTTGCTGAAAAATTTATAAATAAAATTGATAACTCGATATTAGCTTGGTCAAAACATATGAAACTCTGACGAATTTAAGAAATACCGTTATTATAGGTATCATCGTTTATATTTGTTAGCAAAGTTCAAGTATTCTTGAGTGCTAACAGGTAATTTTAATAAATTCGGTATGGGGTTAATATAACGCATTGTGTGCAAATAGAAAAACTCATTGTTGACGATTTTAGGATTGGAATGTCATCAAGAGATATGTTTGAAGAATATAATGTCTCCAGAAGTTCAATATCACATACTGTGAATAAGTATAAAGCCACAATCCCAGTTTCGTTGACACATCTAGGAGGAAGTCCACTAAATAAAAGCGGTCGTATTTATTATTTATCTTATTGCATGTTCCCAACTAGCAAAAATCTTTTAAAAACCAATAACTGCCAGGACCACTTATGGATACTTGTGGATATCGATATTTCCGGAGATATTAGTGTCCAAAGTTCCGTTTGGACCCCTACATTTTCTCATGATTTTTACTAAGGCAATATTGGTATCAATTTAAAGCGTTTGAAGTCCCGATTAAAAAATATGGAACAAATGCACTTTACGGACACCTCTCAGATAATTTTGAGATTTTTACCATAGGTAGCCCTTCTGATGCTGATTACAGCAACATAAATTTTTTCGGGGGGAAATCAGTACTTCCCGAGATATGGGGTTCCAAAGTTCAAAAAATACCCCCACTTTTTATTAAATATATTTAAGAATGCCACTCCGAAACGTTTAAATTTTTTACAGCACATAGTCCTTATGGAGCTGATTACAACCACATATTTTTTTTTTGGGGAGAACTTTGTACTTCCGGAAATATGGGGTATCAAAATGTAATAAAAACCTACATTTTATACCCTTACTTATTATCCGACAACAAATTGAGTTATGAGAACAAAATTTTCTTTAAATTTCATTTTTTTTGAATAGACTTTCTTCTATGGACAGGTGGAAATTTGGGCTACGCGAGCAGCATTCTCTTTTAATGTCACGAAGTTTTTTAAAATGCATCTGCATAATTACATTCATAATGTTTTATTAGCGTTAACATCATTTATTTATAACTTGTTTAAAAGTGGATATATTTGAGTAGTCATGATGTAATGCAGATTTAAACATGTTTAAAATATTTATTATATTATATTTATAAGAATTTGTTTTAGAGTAGCTATGATATAAGGTGGATTCTTTGTAATTATACATAAATTGGCCATTAAATTGTAATTTGGCTTCAATTACAAAGTAAATAAAGATAAATTAAAAATTAAATTAAATTAATTTCAATTTTTTCTGAATAGCCGGCCTTCGGCCGGGGATTTAAGACTTTCTCCTATGGACAGATGGAAAATTGGGCTACGCGAACAAAATTCTCTTTTAATTTAAATTTTTTTCTAAAAGTTATACGTTATTGAATAAAATTAAAATCATATTTAATAAGCTTCATTACTAAATCCCCGGCCCCTGCCTATTTTTTCCAACCTCTATTTCTCAAGAAGTATGGACTTCCTCCCATATAGTAACATATTTATGTAATCATGTAAATTATACATATCTCTGCTGATCCAGAACAATCCGAGTGTCCCTAAAGGAAAAAATCCTTAAATCAAAGAAATAACCATATAAGCTTATTTTTAAAATTTTGAACCCCATATTTTCGGAAGTACGAAGTTCCCCCAAAAAAAATTATGTGGTTGTAATCAGCTCCAAAAGGACTATGTGCCGTTAAAAAAATTAAACGTTTCGGAGTGGTATTCTTAAATATGTTTAATAAAAAGTGGGGTATTTTTTGAACTTTGGAACCCCATACCTCGGGAAGTACTGATTTCCCCCCGAAAATACGTATGTTGTAATCAGCATCAGAAGGGCTACCTATGATAAAAATTTCAAAATGATCTGAGAGGTTTCCGTAAAGTGCATTTAAGCCAAAAATATAATATTCATATCAAATAAGTCTATACTTTCTGAGTTATGAATACTACTCCTTCACAAAATTGTTCTAATCAAGGTTTCCATTTTATAGCAGCACACTGGGATTATGCTGAACTTATCACAGATAAAAAAATATTTCTTTTAAACACACATATAATTAGTCACATTCTCAACCAATTTAACTTTCATTTTTAATTTGGCATATTTTTCAATATAATCATCAGCTGATTTATTTTTCAAAAACCTGCGTAATTGGTCGCTATAAACAATATAAAATCAAGGGCAACACTTTTTTCGGGACTTTTAGATACTGTCGTTATAAACGAATTTGACTGTTGTTATTCTGTTTGTAAACAATTGCCAATCCATATTCCGTGACCATTCGTCACTTCGAAAACATTTAGTTTACAATATTTGATACAACTCATCCATATTTTTGTTTTACAATAAATTCTATTTATTTTTACAAAAAAAGACTCATTATAATTTACTTAAAATTGGTTGGGTATAATTGTGATATTAATAATCTCCGCCACGCAAAGCCAAAACTAAATGCAGAACAGAACCACCTTGAACTTTATAGTCTGCTGCAGTTTTGTCATCATTCCTATAAATAAAAAAACAAATCAGCAATTCAATAAGCTCCGTGACTATATGACCAAAAAATATAAAAAATTTACATTTGTTTCCCAGAAAAAATCAAACGTTGTTGTTGTGGAGGAATGCCTTCTTTCTCTTCTACACGTTCCTTTATACGATCTACTTTGTCTGTGGGCTCAATGTCGATTTCAATTTCCTTTCCGGTAAGAGTCTAAAATTATTAATTTATTATTTAATGATATGCTGCATGATTTTATAGAATTTATTGATACCTTAACTTTGATCAACATTCTGTATGATTTTCCTAATTATTTCCAAAATTGCGAGAAAAAAAATTATTTTTGCACTACAATAATGTCGCCGGCTCAAAGTATGAAGCCAGCGAGTCGCAACGCCGTTATAACTCTCAGTCGACAGTTTGTGGATACCTGCGTTGGCATTAATTGTAATGACTCGTCATTGGTGAAAATTTATACCTCAATCACATTAGGACTTATTTTATTTTGAATGTGGTTGGGATTGATTTTTATGCCATGTACAGACGAGCGTTGTTCGCTCTCTCATTCGTTGTTCGACTCTTAATTATGAAGTAATTACTTAGTTCCCCATACAAAATTGTCTGAGCGAACACCGACTTTTGTACGTTGTTCAATTCGAATCATTCTGAATCACCAAGAAATTTGTCCCATTCCTAACAATTGAGAGTATTATCGAAAATAAATTAATTTTGACAGGATGAAAATATTTATAAAATTTTCAAACTTTTTCAGTAAAATTGAAAATGATGAATGAAAAGTAAAAAATTATATAGTTTTTATATATACAGCAGGTTGTAAATTTTGTTTTCTACATAATGCAATATGCACTTCTTTTCCCTTGGTTCTAATTAGCGTACAATACAAGAAACAAATTTGGGAAATTCAAACAAAAAATTCTCCAATTTTTTATATGTGACAGTATGTGACATTTGAATTGAGAAAATATAAAAATGTATTAAAAACAACAAAATTTTCAGAAAAAATGGAAAACATGAATGGAAAGTAAATATATATAGGTTCTTACTATGTTCAGGAGAAAAATAATATTTTTTTCTATTTAAATTCATAGGTAGTACACACAAATAAGTTGAGATTTCGGTGTAAAAAGAGAAACAACAAATTTGAAAAAGAAAATTCTGTTGACATGAATTAAGAATGGTGTTGTATGAACGGGTTAATTCACGTAGGTAATTCTGAGAGCGAACTACGTTGTTCGAATGCTCGTCAGAACATGGTATTATCAAATACAATTATAATTTTATAGTATATTTGCATTGTAACGGATTGAATCCAGTATATCTAATTTGTTAATATATCAAATAAATCCTCATAAAGGAGGCTAACCCTGCAAAAAATGCCGTTTTAGCAGCCTATAAATTACAATTTTTTTATACTGTGACTCGTTATACCAAAGTCATATATGAAATATATTCGAAAATCGATTTGTGTGAAGATGAATTTTACAACATTTGTAAGAAAAAATATATGATTTGTGAATGAAACAACATGTAAATCATATCCCCAACTCGATTCTGAGAAGAAAGCCTGACATTCCATTAATTTTTCGCGTTTTTGGGAAAATGTTAAAAATATGTCAAACGTCATTTATTCTGACATTAGTGCCTATAAGGTAGAGGTGTATTTTCTCCTTTCTGACAAAAGCTACCCTTCCTTGTATAATTGTACCATGTGCTAACCTACTTATTTGTAACATATCCAGGGAATTGACAATTTAAACCCACTGGGTTAACAATTTCCAGTACAATGTTATTGTGATATTACACACGTATACGAACATTAATCGGCATTTACATTAGAATTTTTTTTTCGGGTTAACCGGAATTGACAATTTTGATTTAGTAAACTTAATGCACTATGGAAATGACATTTGAGATCGAGTGGATTTCGTAAATCTAAAGCACTTTTATAGTACGTTTACATTTAACCGGATTTCGTTAACCCAGTGGATTTCAATTGTCAATTCCTTTGCATATACAGTAAAAATTCGCTAATCCGGATAATTGATTGCAGACCCCAATCCGGATTACCGAGATTTCCGGATTATCGAGTTTTATTAATTGGTTTGAATTTATATTAATTTGGTGATAATTTAATTATTTTTATGTTTTTATTAAAAATGAAAATTATTCATTTCAAAAATATGAACTTTGAATATAATAGGTACCATTTTCAATTAAATTTGCAACGATTTTTTTATTAAAATAAAAAGTAACGTATCTTTACAATCCGGATTTTTGAGTCAAATAGGTCAATCAATTCGGATTATAGGATACGCAATGGGTTGTGAAATGCAGTCCGGATTACCGAATAATCCGGATTGTCGAGGTCCGGATTATCAAGTTTATACTGTATGTCAAATAAACCCTCATAAAGTAGGTTAACCCGGTAAAAAGTTCTAATGTATATCAAAGACAAAAAATGGCAAAAAGATTGTATTAGTATTAGAAGGATCAGAATACAATAATGTAGAATGAAGTACCGCTTTTATTGAGGACTTATTTAAATTGTCTGTTGAATTAGATTTAAAAATTGTTAATGAGTAAAATGAGAACGACATTCAAACTCGAATATATAATAGGTTCGTTTCGTTTTTTAATAATATTATAATTTTTACAAATTATTAAAAAATGTTCTTCGTTTACCCAAAAGTCCAGTAAAAGAGTGTAAATTGAGAGTGCAGATTTGACAGTTTTGGTACTGAGTATTTACAAATTCTTACAAGGAAAATTTACTCAGTAAGAATTTGCTTGTCCCATCATCTGATATTTAATCAGCTGTTTTGTAAACAAACGACAACATTGTTCTCAAGCAAATTGATTGGTTTGTGAATTTTTTTTATTTTGATTTGTATCATTAAACATTAAAATGGTAGAAGAAAACGCAAGTATTTAAAACCACACCAATTTTCCGCTTGTTATCCATTTTTCTAATAAAAATTCAGCTTTTTTGTTATGTCGATACAATCTTTTTAGTGTTGTTCGTTTACTTTTTGCAATTTTCTCTCTTGAAACCAAAAATTACTCTCTGGTAATTCCTCCTGAGTAAAGGGCTAAGCAGAATGCTCGCGTTGAGCCATCCGTCGCGTTATATGTTATCGAAAACACAACAACCACAAGGAAACGATAAGCGTTTGTGTTATCGTATCCTTGTGGTTGTTGTATTTTCGATAACATATAACGCGACGGATGGCTCAACGCGAGCATTCTGCTTAGCCCTTAAATGTTACTGGGAAAGTAAACGAAGGAAAGTAATAATAAACAATTAAGTGAAGTTTGTCTAAAATCAGAATATTTTCGGCAAAAAGCAAAAATCGTTGCGTGTAAGGGAATACCACTCCATGTGATTTACATCGCCGTTATCATTTCATTTTAGCCAAGTGGCAACTACGTTCTAATGCAGAAAAAAAGCTTTCGCAATGTTTGTTTTTGTGAACTGCGATTGGATATATTGCTTAGTAAATTATTATTAAATTGTGCATTTACAACTTAACAAAATCAAGTAAGCCAACCAATGTCGATGTGTTGTAATTCTGCATTAATATTATTTAAAATATATTTCAGTGTTTGTTTTTATAATAATTAGACGTAGATTAATTAAAACTTGATGCCGACAATTGTACACTAGGACGTATCATTTTTTTTTTGTTCTAGAAAGGAGGATTCGGTTTGACTCCACTTTACGGCGTTTTTGAGTAATGAATGTTGTTGCTTGATCAGCAAATTGGTGACCAATCAACAAAGGCATTGTTTAGTTGTCGTCTATATATTGGCATATGAGTGATTGTCAAAAGCTTCTCATCGCATAATGAATCACAATATTTACAACTTTGAAAATATTGAGTTGGGAATATTATATTGAAGCAGTATCCGAATACCTTATCTAAATCTGTTCATAGATATTCTTAGCAGCACAATTTTTTGATTGGCAATTTGTTATCAATTTACATTTAATTAATTAGAAATTATTAATAACCACAAAAAATAATAACCACAAAAAAAATAAATGTTTTAAAAAAATATTTGCAGGTACCTTTTTGGCCATGGAACAAGGCAAGATATTAGTTAAATGTGGAGGTTTTTCCACACAATTGGCGAAGCATGTTGGCAGTAAAATAGATGGAGATCCATTATGGGGTTCTCGTTTTGACCATGAAAATCCTTCGGCCGTAGTGAGAACACATTTGGATTTTTTGGAAAGTAAGTGATTAAAAGTTAAGTTCGTATTGGTATCTCCTATTAATAATTAATTGTTTTTTATTTTTAGATGGCGCTCAGATTATTTTATCAAACACTTACCAATCGAGCGTTGAAGGTTTTATGAAGCACCTGAAACTTAGCAGAGAAGAAAGTATCGCTTTAATGCGAAAAAGTGTTCAATTAGCCAAAGAAGCTAGGGAGCAATACATAAAAAGTGTTGAGGAAAAAAATGGTACTGCAGAAACGATTCTAGTTATGGGTTCGGTTGGACCCTATGGAGCTATGTTACATGATGGTTCTGAATATTGTGGCAGTTATACCGATAAAGTATCCAAAGAAGAATTTCAAAGTTTTCATCGTGTACGCATAGATGCATTGCTGGCGGAGCAGGTTGATGGTTTATGTGTTGAAACTATACCTTGCCAGAAAGAAGCAGAGGCTGTTACAGAAATGCTACTAAAGGAATATCCAGGTGTTAAGTTCTGGGTATCGTTTCAATGTAAAGATGATTTACATTTGGCTCATGGCGAAAATTTTGCAAATGCTGCAAAGGCTATTTGGGATATGATTAAAGAACATCATGGAGCCAAAGCCCGAGATCATATCTATGGAATAGGTGTAAATTGTCTTAATCCCAATGTATGTATGTCAAAAAAAATCGGAAAAATTATTAAAAAATCGTTTCGAATGCAATTTCAAATTTAATATACAATTATTATATTATTTATTTTACTGTCTTCAAGTTTGTTGCTAACCTCTTCAAATCCCTGCACACGCTTTTGGATAACGAAGATTTGCCGCCATTGGTTGTTTATAGTAATAGAGGTGAAACGTATGATGCTGATAAAGGAGAATGGACCGGACGTGATAATTGCATTCCAATGGAATCGTATGTACCTACATGGATTGGTTTGGGAGCATCAATAATTGGAGGTTGTTGTCGTGTTTATCCCGAAGATATCCTACAGATACGAAAATGTGTTGATAGTTTTGGTAACAACAATGAAATTGTTGCATTCAACAAAATAAAATAAAGCCTGGTCACAGCCATTTTTAAAGCATTTTTAAGTATTGAGTATTTAAAAAAATTTAATGAAAATCCAAAATTAACTTTGAAATAAAACCAAAATTTATTATTATACTAAACTCAGATTATTTTAAATATTTTCAATGTATTACTACAGATCGCCAAAAGAAATCGTTATGATAAAATCTTATGAGATCAATGTAAATTAATTTTAAATTGGCCACATGAATTTTAAATTGGCTTAAATTATAAAGGAATTAAATAAATAAATAAAATAAATTAATATTCATATACAATTTAATTTAAAACTTGCCATGTACTTACAATTAAATATGAATTTCCATTATTTTACCAAAATGAGATACCGTTGTATTCTGAAAATAAATTTGTAGGTTATTGATCTCAAATAAATTAATTTTTTTATTTCTTTTTAATTAAAAAATAAAATAAAAATAAAAACAATCATACAAGAAAGCAAACACGTCTAGCCGTTTTTATCAATACGGTCTTGTGTGATGTCCAACCTATAGGATTTGTATGTAGTACCCTTATCATGCCGATGGTAGTAGTCGTGTTATGAAAAAAATTATATATACATACGAATATATAAAACAAAGCCCAGGGAATGTAATATAAAAACGAATTGATAGAGAGATTTATGCTGCACAAAGTATTCGCTTTTAAAAGGAGAAACACATACCGCTGCTGTTAAATTACAACAAGCTCTAAACATTTGAGATAGTCGCTATAATATATAAACAAACGTATTTTGAACTTTACTTTGAATTGATTACAATTGTTTGTTTATTTTCGAACAAAGACATTACTAATCGGGATCGTTTGTTTTCTAAAAAAAAACGTTAATTAATTTATTACACTGAAAGGCTGCACTATTAAGAATATTGTACATAGATTTTTCAAGGTGAGTAATACGAACGTCTATAAAAAAGAAGTATTTAATTCAATGTAATTTTATGGTAGAACAATCGACATAGATCAGAACTCCTTAGAGTCCAGGTATTTTTAGAAAAAAATAGTTAACATGGAAGATTTGTTTATTATTTAATTTTCAAGGTCATATCAAAGTACATCAAGACAATAAGTAATGGCATGAGATAATACGTGATCGGTTGTAAACAAACGATTAAGGGCACACATTAGCTGTGTGTGTCTACTCAATATTTTTTTAGCGTTTGTTGTGAGATATTTTTGTGTAAATTTCAAAGATAAATGTTTTGAGTTTGGGTGAACTGAGCATTCAAAGTAACGTCGGCATATTCATACTGGATGTTGGGAATGAACTGTATAGTAGTATTTTTTTTTAAGTGTTACCAAAGTCCCTAGAAAAGCTCTGTCCTTTAACGATAAATTTCGCAGTTCTCTTGGCCGTAATTATAAGCGATCTCGACTGTAAACAGATAATCTTATTTGGCATAATTTTAGGTTATTACCCTAATTTTGTGATACCTCACTGTTATAGGGGTTGTGGAATGGCCGAATTCCTTACATAGTCACAATCCATATCTCGAAACCAAACAAACAATGATGATGAAACATTTTAAGAAAATGATAACATATGCCGAAATAAACAATATGCCCATTAAATATAAATATACAAAATTTTCCACAACATAAAAAAACAAAACAAATACGTTCGACTAAATATAAAATTGATTGTTGGGTTGGAAAATAACAAATGTTGTTTTTCCATTCAATTTATTTTCTTATAGGAGAATCTAGACCTAAGGGCCAAAAGAGCGATTCAATATATACACTATTCCAAAAACTTAAAACTAACAATGTAGCATGGTACAATAATAATACAATAATTATACCATGCAATGAATTAGCTTAATAATAATAATAACTTAACGTCTATTCAGTTGGAAGGAGTCAGAATCCTTGTACTTCAAAAACATGTTTATTATTATAATTAGATTATTTGATGTAGCGACCTAGCACATAGGACCAATGTCTTCATTTTTGTACCTATTCTCAATATATATATTTCAATTTTATAACTACTTCTGATATTTTACCCTTCAACACACTGTGGTACAGGGTATTATGTTTTATTTTCTATTTGTCCGTCCACAATTGCAAAGCATCCCCCCCACACTAGCATAATTAATAAATTGCAAGCTGCAATGCATACAAAATAGATAACAAATTTGAAAGTGCCAATCGCCTAACAACAACGACCACGACGACCATTTTAATCTGAAAATGAATACCTTATCAATTGCCTTACACGTTCAAAATTCATATTTAAACATTTACCTATACAGCTGCTGTTGTATGAATACGAATATTATTAATGTCAAATCAAATTGAAAATATTGTTATCGCAAAATTAGTTGACACCATGTAACACCATTTGTTGTTCTTGTAATTGTGATTGTCTTTGTTTGGCTAAATTTATGCCCCCAATCAATTGAAACGATCAGGGCTCGTTTAACTATTTTGTTTATAACCTTCGACCCCATAAACTATATGTAGAGCAAAGCATATGTCGAGTTTTTTGGGCATATTATGTTTATCTGCGTAGTTTTCCAGCAACATTTACTCAGTAACTTATTTTAATTAAAAGGTCAATTTTTATAAACATTTTTTTAATATATGACTTAACAAATGTGAACAAAATTGTATTTCTGTACTTCCCTTGTTTATTGTCGAGGACTGTATTATCATAATATATCAAATTCAGTGTAATTTTTACAAAAAAAAGTTCGGTAAACTTGATATGTGTAAAAAAACAAATGAACTTTCAGACGAACAAAGAAAGCATAATTTTTACGGATGAGTCCAAATTCAAAATAAACATATCGGATGTACAAGTAAAAAAGTGTCAGTCGGTGTTGCCGACAGATATACAGGACACCGGACACCTAATTAGCACGCACCTGAAGGGAAGAGTGTTTTGAACAGCACTCGATTCATTTGGAATATTTGCAAATAATTTTTTATCACGGGAAATTTGTGATATATAATTGTATTTGTGAAAGAAGTCAAATTTGAGAGGGACACGTACTTAGCACATCTTGGAATTTTTAACTTATATGTATGAAAAATGTATGAAAAACTACTTCGTGTTAACAAATTAAGTCTGATAATTCATTTTCAGGCGAAAAAAGTTTAAAAAATTAAGTAAAATCTATTTAAAATGGCAACAATTCGTATTGTAAACCTATAATTGGAAAATTGTGTATAAAAATAAAAATGCGAATGGCCCACAAATTTATAGAATAACTAGATATCGATAAATATTTATAAAAATAAACAAAAATTCGAAATAAAAAAAGTTAGAAATTGGAGGACACCTTTGATTTCGAAAGGTTTTGAAGAAAAAACTGTATATTTTTGCAGTATGTGAGAAAATAACAAATTGTAATGACATCAGTTGCTTGGGTAGAACAACAAAGAATTTTATCGAAAAAATATCAGTCGAAACTAAATGATCATGGATATAATTCATCTTGGAATTTGTAACTTAAATGCCGACTTATCTCATAAATACCGTTATATGTCACAAATTGCTCGTGATCATTTTATGTTCTCATCGCTCGTGTACAGTACACATAAACGTTCTGAATAAAAAAAAATTGTTAAATATTCTAAACGAATCGAGTTTTGCTCAAATGGCCTGTTCCCGTACTGCAAGAATCTACTATTTTTTACTACGATAACACTTTTTTCCTTTATGATATCGGAAAAAATAGTAAAAACTCGTTGATTCTTGCAGTACAGGAACAGACCAAAAACATTTTCCCTTCAGTTGTGTAATAATTAGGTGACCGGCACTGTATACCCTCAGCATATGGTTTGCGGTGGAGGTTTTCGGAGTTACACACAGGTTTTATTATTCGTTTTATATAAGGTATATGTTGTTATCAATGATGTTTCGCATAATCAACTCGCTTATCCAAAAAAAATTTACAAGTTTTTAAAATATTGATCTTTTTTGGGGAAGGAGAGGGCAGAGGCATAGGAGAGGGCAGATGGGTCCCACCTTCGGACTTGATCTACGCTTGGTAAAGATAATAGGATGTGATAAGTTTGGTTTCAAATCGGACATTCCATTCACCTGATCTTGAATTTATTAATTTTGGCTCCTTCTGGGGGATGTAAAAGAAGGAGTGGACCAAAGGGTCCCATCTTTAAACTTGGTAAGATAATAGGTTGTGCAAAGTTTGTCATCCATAATATGAAAACTTCCCCATTTAGCGGATGAATTTGCTATAAATACGTTTATTTTATTTTTCATAAAAATAATAATTCTATAAGAAAATTAAAAAAAAAAATCTGCTTATAGGATTCAATACTACGTAAACTCTTCATTTTGTGTTGGTGTACGAATACGAATTTTGTATACTATATATATTTCATATATTTTTAAGTTCTATCATTTAATCTTTGACATTATCAATATAAATATTTAATTAAATAACTTATTCATTCCTCTATAGTAGTATAAAGCATAAAAACATGAACTCCAAACGATTACTTGTAAAAGACGGCGGATTCGGCACCCAAATTACAATACATGTTGGTGATGCAGTCGATGGAGATCCACTGTGGAGTGCACGCTTTAATGCAACAAATCCCACAGCTGTTATTAATACACATTTAGATTTTTTGCAAAGTAAGTGAATATGAAGAAAAGTATCGCTATTGTTAAATGTTACTTTTTGTTATTGGATGAATATTTTAAATAGAAATAGATTTTTTTATTAGAAGTTTGTGTTTTTTTATAAATCTACATTTACTATACAAAAATTCAACATATAATAATGCGTCTCAGTGTTCTATTCTCTATTTTTTTGAATTATATTAAAATGGTAAAATTTCTTTTTGTAGATGGTGCCGATATGATATTAACAAACACATATCAAGTTAGTGTAGAAGGCTATGTCGAATATTTGGAATTGGATGAAAAACAAAGTGTGGAACTAATAAAGAAAACTGTTCGCATGGCTCATATTGCCAAGGAAAGGTTTTTAAATGAATCATATCAGGCTGGTTTGTCGGTTAATGAAGGTAAGCAATAACACCCATATAATCAAAAGTCGTTTAACTTACTAAATACCCCCTGGATACAGGATTCCCATTGATAGTGGCATCAATTGGACCATATGGCGCACATTTACATGATGGTTCAGATTATACGGGGTCTTATGCTGATTTTCTACCGGCTAAAGTTATAACAGATTGGCATAAAACCCGAATCGATGCATGCCTCGAGGCCAATGTTGATGTTTTAGCTATCGAAACCATACCATGTCAAATCGAAGCTGAAGCTCTAACGAAAAAGCTTTGCGAAGAATATCCAGATGTAAAATTTTGGGTCTCATTTCAATGCAAAGATGATCAAACGTTGGCCCATGGGGAATATTTTGTGGATGCTGCTCTCTCTGTGTGGAATATTGTCAAGGAACATAATGCCACAGCCAATTGCTTGGGTATAGGTGTCAATTGTGGTCATCCGAAATATGTGGCATCACTATTGAAACCACTTAATGGAGATAAAAGCCGGAAGGAGCAAATACCATTGGTTGTCTATCCGAATAGTGGCGAAGTGTATGATGTCAACAAAGGATGGATGGGAAAGGAGCATTGCATACCATTAGCTGATTATGTAAAAGAATGGGTGCAATTGGGAGCAACAATTATTGGTGGTTGTTGTCGTACATATGCACGAGATATACGGCAAATAAAAGGGGTTATTGATGATTTAAATAAAGGAAAATAGATTTTATAAACAGAATATTTATAGGAGGTGATGCAAATGTGGTATACCCATTTGTTTTTAGATGGCCAAATTTTTTATCCGATTAAATTGAAAATTTACACTTAACATGCTACATGTGTTGTCTTTCCATGTATCAATTTGAAAATAATATTATTCTAACAATTTAAGAGATATTTGAGAAAATATTTGAAATCCCATAAAAAGTGATTTAAAAAAAAGTGCAGGTAATGTGGTATACCACATGATGTTAATGTGGTATAGTATAATTTTCACTTCCAATTGATATCTTATATAATTTATTGTTTTTAATGAATGCGAATTAGCTCGAGATTTATGTCTGTTAAAATTGTAAACGGATACGTTGAGTGCAACTTTAATTTTTATTATATAATAATGTCTACACATGGCAATATTTAATTTTTGTATGAAGAAGTTGTTAAAACTCATAGCCTTTGTTTTTCATCCTTGTGATTCATGGTAGACTCTCGTAGAGTACAAATGTTTCACATAGTAATGAGATTTTGTCTAGTGCTGGCCTTTTTTCATGCAGAATCAAGGTATACCACATTACCTACACTTGTGTTTATTTATTTATTTATTTATTTATATATTTCATAGTGCCCAGTCTTTCGACCTTAAGGCTGTAAGCTACATTTCACAATTAAATATAAAATTTATCGTATTAAGCGGCTTAAATGTAAAAGGGAGGGGTATTGAACTACTAATGAATATTATACCGATTAAATTACAAAAAAAAGTTTTTGATTATTATAGATTATGATTAAAAAATTTGATTAATTGGATTGGTTTACTGAAGAAATGTCTAGTTTTTTTTCCAAATTGGTGATTATGTGGTGCAATCGCGCATATTATTTGATTTTTAGTTCATACTGATTATTTTAATGCTTTAGTAATAACGATTAAAGTACATCCGCAAAACAAAAAATTATTTTTAAACTTCAACCGAAAAAAGTCAATTTCATGAAAAATTTTATTTTTGGTACTGCTATCTTATTTTTTTGAGAACAGCAAACTATAGAACATGTTTCAGTTATTCTAAAATTTTCAGTTTACAAAAAAAGTGACTATACCACATTACCAACCTATACCACATTTGCATCACTTCCACTATATGTATTTATGTATATAAGAATTTTTCCATTTTAATTGGAAACACATCAATAATGACATTTAAAGTTTAATGTAAATATTTCCTTATTAAAATTATTAATTTAAGTGAAATATCATGGATTATTCTTTTATGGAGATATTAGGCCAAATAAAATAAAAAAAATAATTATTATTTTAAACTTAACGTAAGAACTATTGTTCTCAATGAAACAAATTGTATAAAATAAATATGGTTCAGTAATACAAGGCAGGACATCTGGAGGTTAAAAACAAACACAATCAAGTAGGTTGTGGCTTTTTCTGTCTAATACGGAGAAATTCAATGTTGACGTTATCGTCACCGTATTGTTGTATTATCGATAACACGATTGTACAACCATCATTACTGGTGTTATTATTCCCGATGGAGTGCCAGAAGAAGAAGCTCTTGAAAACAATTCCATTTTCATATACAAACAAAAAAATCATTATTTTTTAAAAGTGTTTGACTTTTTTACTAAATTATTCATTTATTATGGTGATATGTTGCTTGTGTTTGAAAGATTCAAACGATATTACAGATATCTTTGCTGAGCGTGATGGTTTGCAGCCGAATGTTGCAGCTATCATAGCAAAATATTTTTGGTTTGAGGTAAAACATTGGCAAAAGTATCGAATAAACTGAAGATTGAAAATAATTACTTTCGTTTTTTAGCCTTTAAAAGATGACCCCGCATTCACATCAATCTGCATCGGATGTTGGAGGAGGTTGTACGATTTTCATGAATTCTATGAAATGGTTGAAACAGTCCATCAGCGTAACAGTAGACCTGAGGTGGTTACTGTGAAAACAGAGACACCCGTAGTGGATACGAAAGATGAACCCAATGAAGAGGCATTTGACGAAATTGATGAGTTGCCGTTTTCAGCAAATTTCATACCGACGAACAACAAATCAAGTTCCGTGTCCCTAATAGCGAACGACGTAAATTATAGTAGCCAGTTCATGGGCGACAATGATGACCGTAGTTTCGATAAAGATGATATTTGTTTTAAAGATGACTCCGAAGATTCGGATCCCTTTGATGACACTGAAATGGATGCAAAAACCGATGATATTCCGCTATCTATATTGTTGGGTAAATTATCAAAACACTCAACCAAAGGCCAGAATGCGTCTGTGAGTACAGGCGAGGAAAATATAGCTAGCAAACCAAAACGAGGAAGAAAAAAGCGTGTCGAAAAGGAATTCATAGATGATGATATTTCAAATCGCAAGCCTAGAAAATCCAAAACAAAGGAAAAATCTAGCAAGGAAAGCGAGGAGGAAAGTGCATACAAGAATAAAATGAAATCCTTTGATCAGGAAATATCACAATACATGGGTCTACATTGCGATGTTTGCAACATTGCCATCGACAACTTTGCTGGTATCAAGAGTCATATGCGTGTGGAACACAACATTGACAATGGCTATGTAAAATGTTGCGATAAAAAATTCCACAAAAGGGCTAATCTTTTGTACCACGTCCGACATCATGTTGATCCAAATTGTTATAGGTATTAAGATATTATTATTATTTCTAATCTGTTTGATATACATTTTTGTATTTGAACTGCCTTCTGCAGATGCGAGGATTGCGATCAAACATTCTCCGATTACCAATCGCTGCGTAATCATCTAAATGTTAAACATCAGAAGGAAGAGGATAAAATATACCAATGTACGGAATGCCCCAAGAAATTCGCCCGGAAGTATTTACTGGAACAACATAGGACTTTTAAACATAAAGATCACAAACAGTGTAAAATGTGTAATAGAAGGTAATAGCAAATACTTATAGGTATTTGATTTCAGCTAACAAAAGCTGACACATCCAATATTATATTTGCAGATATAAGACCATAGAAGAACTAGAAGAACACAACAAGGAGCCCTGTGCTGTGGGCATTATGTGTGATATATGCGCAAAAGTTATATTTGGGCCTGGAGCATTTAAGCGCCATCAATTGGAGCACGATAGCAGTCAGGCGCACAAAGTTCAGTGTGATATGTGTGGATCGTGGCACAGGGACAAATATGCCCTGAGGAAACACAAAAGGCGGCACTTGGAGCCGAAAACACCACATGTTTGTGATATTTGCCAAAAAGTGTCGCCCAGTCGGGAAGCTATGATTAGTCACAAGAAATATGCCCATCGTTCCGAAAGGATATTTGAATGTGAATTTTGCCATAAATGTTTTAAGCGGCCAATATCTTTGCGAGAGCACTTGACAACACATACAGGCGCAGTGTTGTATACATGTCCACATTGTCCAAAAACGTTTAATTCAAATGCCAATATGCACTCACATCGTAAAAATGCACATCCCGTAGAGTTTGAAGAGGCGCGTAAACGACGTAAACGAATTGGTTATTTGGGTGATCAGAAAACCGGTGCAATGGATGGGGAGAAGATAAACAAAGAACCAGCGGGTTCTGAGGTTACAACAAACCCCGCAGCAATAAAAACAAACGATGCTATTACCAATAGCAATAATGAACAAAATAAAGAAATATGATATTGCTAATAACATATTTTCATTTTGAAAATATTCAATTATAAGGATTATTTATTACAAATTTCCCTTGAAAATGAAAAGAATAATGCAGACATGAGTAAAGTATGAATGGGTTAAATCGTTTGGGGAGCGAACCGTCGTAACATGACAATATTTCTAACTACGCTAATCTTTCACTGTACATAAACAGCGTTATCGATAAATCATGTAATTAATCTCAAGTGAATTCTGCGAGAAGAAGCTTTAGAAAACAAGCATATGTAAACAAAATCCACACAGTGTCCGTGTGTGTGTCAACAATACGATTCTCATCCAGTCTCCATCACACCTCATTCGTAAATATTTCTTTATCCTACTTTGAATTCTTGTTTATCGGTCATTTTGCCTTCTCTCCCATTCGTTAGCAAGTGGAACGTTTTTCAATTTTCAACTTACTTATCCCTAATATACAAACAAAATTATAAAGAGAAATAAATAAATTTATTTATTAAAAAAAACATATTATGTATTAAACACATAAAAATAACAGAATCAATAACAATTTTGAAAAGATTGCTATAATGTTATGCTGTCTGTGCTTAAAGGAGTCGGAAGATGTCACAAAAATCTTCGACAATTGTGAAAATTCAGAACCAAATATTGCCAAAATTTTGGCAAAACATTTTTGGTTTGAGGTAAGTTAATTCGATATCCGGGAGGCGGGCCAAAAGTGGCACACATTAAAAAAATAATCACATTGATTTTATTCGTCTAGCCCCTCAAGGAAGATCCTGTATTTTCGGCTATATGCATGTTATGTTGGAGGAAACTATACGATTTTCACGAATTTTATGAAATGGTAGAGCATGTTCATCAGCGCTACAAGGAACCGGAAGTTATTACTGTAAAAACCGAGTCTGGCGCTTTGGAATTTTCCTCAAATAAAGATGAGCCAATTGAAGAACTTGAAGAATTCATGATGGAAGTGCCATTTACTGGAGACATGCAGCTATTAAACAAAATATCGGAAGATGTTTCCGATACAAACTATGATAGTTCTGATGACAGTGATAATTTCGACATGTTCCCTAATGAATCTCAGCATTCAGATCCTTTCGACCATGCAGACGTCAATGAGGCTACCGACACCCCATCTGAAGCGCATTCGAAGGACTTGGATTCAAAGACAGCACCAGAATCAACTGAGAATATTTCAAATACAATTAGTATTGAAGAACAAATACCGGAAAAACGTAAAAGAGGTAGAAAACCTAAAAATAAGGATTCAACTGCTGCTTCGGAGGCATGCGAAAACAAAAACAAAAAATCAAAAACAAAAGCTAAAGGAAAGGCCAATGACAAACCGGAAGAGGAAAGCGCTTACAAAATAAAAATGAAATCGTTCGATGAAGAAATCGCCCAATACATGGGTCTGCACTGCGATGTTTGTAACATAGCTGTGGACAATTTTGCTGGTATCAAAAATCACATGAGAACGGTGCATAACATCGAAAATGGTTATGTGAAATGTTGCGACAAAATGTTTTACAAAAGAGCTAATCTTTTACATCATATACGGCATCATGTTGATCCCAATTGTTATAGGTAAACCCAGAATTTCATTAATTTCCATTTACAATTGAAAATATATTCATTTATAGATGTGACGAATGTAATCAAATATTTTCCGACTATCAATCTCTGAGAAATCACAACTTCATAAAACACCAAAGGGAGGAGGATAAAATATACGCCTGCAATGAATGCCCCAAGAAATTTGCCAAAAAATATCTTTTGGAACAGCATAGGACATTTAAGCACAAAGATCGTTTCAAACAGTGTAAAACATGCAATAGAAGGTCGGTCGGTACATTGTCACCTTTGCCACTTTTAATACTACTATTAAACTCCATTTTAGATACAAAACACTGGAGGAGCTACAAGAACACAACAAGGAACCCTGTGCTGGCGGCAGGATGTGTGATATTTGTGCCAAAGTCATATTTGGACCAAGTGCTTTTTTGCGACACCAAATGGAGCATAACGGCCAGGCCAAAGTCCAATGCGATCTATGTGGTTCGTGGCATAAGGATAAATATGCCCTGAGAAAACATAAACGACGGCATATGCAACCAAAAACACCTCATGTTTGCGACATATGCAATAAGGTATCACCCAGTCGAGATGCCATGGAAAGCCATAAAAAGTATGCCCATCGAACACCAGACAAGGCGTTCCAATGTGAATTCTGTAAGAAATGTTTTAAGCGACCAAGATCGTTGAAGGAGCATTTAAGTACGCATACCGGTGAATTTCTATACACTTGCCCGCACTGCCCAAAAACGTTTAACTCGAACGCAAATATGCATTCGCATCGGAAAAATGTTCATCCCATCGAATTTGAGGAGGCACGTAAACGAAGAAAACGTGTTGGATATTTAGGAGACCAATTACCAGTAGTCGAACCACAAAAAGTGGTAACAAACAACACAAATAATGATAGCGCAGACAATAGTAATATTCTGGCGACGAATGTATCTCCCCCAACTAAAGAAAATGACATTACAATTCTCTAAAATAAACGCAAAATTCTCAAAACACTTGGATGTGAGCATTTTTTTTTTTTTTTTTTGACAGGGAAAATAAGTTATGTGGTTTTATAAAAAATAGGGAACATATTTGATGTTAGACCACAGTAACAGATTACAGATTAGCGACATCTGATACATTTGCATAGTTTTTACTTCAAATAGTATACAACAGTATTGAGGGTCGTATTAAAACTATTTTCTAATTTGTATTTACGTGAGAGTCGGGTGTATTAATGTTTTTCTATATAAAAGAATATTTTTTTGGAATAAAAAATGCACATTATGATATATTAATATGCTATTATTGTGTATAATTTGTTTAAAATTGCAAATTAAAAGCCAATTTTAAATAGATAATAAGGTTTGTATTGCATTTTTTCCGAATGAATTTGTCGCTTGTCATAATCAGCTGATTTGAAATAAGGCTGAAAAAGATAGGGTTGCAAAATATTCCTCTAAATCAATCAACAAATTAATGATATTATGAAGTCTTTTATACATATAATCATGACATGATTACACATGAAGGTATTTACGGGAATGTTCTGGCATTCACTTCAAGGGCAGAAGTGTATCGAACACACGCCGAGGTGTTCTGTAACACACTTTACACCCATTTGAGGTGTATTCTTTACACTTACATTTTCATAGTGAGAGTCGGGTGTATTCATGTTTTTCTATATAAAAGAAAATCTTTTTTGAAATAAAAAGGGCACATGATGATAGAATAATATGTTATTATTGCGTATAATTTGTTTAAAATCACAAAATTAAGCTAAAACGTCCTTAAAAACAAATTTTAAATAGATACTAAGGTTTGTGTTCCATTTTCTTCAACTGTATTGCTCGCTTGACACAAACAGCTGATTTGAAGTAAGGTCAAAGAAGACAGTGTTACCATATGATCCTCTTAATTCAATCAACAAATTAATGATATTACAGAGTCTTTCATACATATATTTTATGTTGCGAATAATAAAATATTAAAAAATAATAGCAAAATTATCGTTAGAACTAACGAAATTAGTAAAAAATTAGAGAAACCATGTTAAAAACGCATACAGTTTATAATGTATGGCAACACTATTTCTGCAAAGTACTATGTTGGCGTTTATTTTTGTCGCAGTTGAAAATTTCAATTCACGTGAGAACCAGAACAGGAGGTAGCTTCTGAGGTGAAGTGTATGTGTAAAGTGAAAAGAACACACCGTGAATTCCAGAACATACCCGAATATTATTTTTAAAATAAAAAAATGCACATGATGATAGACTAATATATTATTATTGCACATAATTTGTTTAAAATCACAAAATTAAGGTAAAACGCCATTAAACCCCAATTTTAAATAGATATTAAGGTTTGTGTTGCATTTTCTTCAACAGAATTTCTTGCTTGACATAAACAGCTGATTTGAAGTAAGGCCGATGAAAATAGGGTTACCAAATGTTCCCCTTAAATCAATAAATTATTGATATTACAGAGTCTTTCATACATATATTTTATGTTGCGAATAGTAAAAAAATAATAAAAGTAAGGTTAGAATTAACAAAATTATTAAAAAATCATAGAAACAATGTTAAAAACGAGTACCATGTTGGCGTGAGAAGCGGAACAGGAGGTAACTTCTGAAGTGTATGTGTGATGTGTAAAGAACACACCGTGAGTTCCACAACATACCCGAATGATATTACAGCGTCGTTCATACATATACTTTACGTTGCGAATACTAAAAATAATAATAAAATTATTGTTAGAATTAACTATATTACTAAAAATGATAGAAACAAAGGTTAAAAACCAATAAAATTTATATTGTATGGCAACACTAGTTCTGTAAAGTACCATGCATGGCACAATAAATATGTAATCCATTTAGTGCAGCTGATGACACGATTTACTGTCAAAGTGCGTAATTTATACTTGAATTCGATGTGCAGTGTTGTCAACCATGTAAAATATTATAAGGAACAATTTGACAGATGGCCGAGACAAAAACCAACGGTTTTTGTTTTTATACATCATCTTATTTTTGCATCATGGTGCCATGTTGACGTTTTTTTTTTTTTTTTGTGCCGAAGTTCGTAAATTTCAATTCACGCGAGAAGCAGAACGGTAGGTAACTCCTGAGGGGAAGTGTAAAAAACTCACCGTGTGTTCCAGAACATACCCGTCTGTTTTTGTTTGTTTTTCGTTTATGTAAACGTTGTATTATCCTGCAAAATGAAATATATCGAAACACAATGTTATCGGTTTTAACAAAAAAATCGATTACTTTCTTTTTTCGCATACAAAACTAATCGATAATACTTATATTCTTCAAGAAAAAAGAAAAACAATAGGGCAAATAAAAATATTAAAAAAGAAATATATATATATATGTATATTTATCAGCTAAGCTTACGGTTTGTTAGAAGTTAGTTAAAACATACAAGTTTGGATAAAACAACAAAACAAAGTTTAAAAACCAGCCAAATTACAAACGAACGAAGAAATAAACAAAAAGTGTATATTAAATGGAATAAATATTAAGAAAAGGCAAAAAGGGAGGAGACAATTGGAAAGACAGAGAGTAGGAATTGTCGTATAAAGACTGAGGTGGTCCTGGCTGGTGGCTGCTGTTAGAAATTATAATCACTGTGCCCAATCACAGTTACCATTGCCAGGTTTTGGTGCAATAATTGGTAGGTGAAAGAAATTAATTGCTTGCTTATGTGACTGTGACGACGACCTTCACCCCAATTTTCTTTTTTGTTATCGTTTGCTTTTAGGAAAACAAACAAATAAATTACTTGATATTACTTTTCCAAGTTTTATAATATGCGTTGGACGGTTCATTTGGATGGTGGACCACGCAGAGTAAATCATGCAGCCGTCTGTGTTGGAGAGTTCATTTTTTCATTTGGTGGATACTGCACAGGTAATTTATGTTTATGTGTTAATGGCCTAGAATATTCAGCTAATTTCCCCTATGCCAACATTACAGGTGATGACTATCGCTTTAGCGAATCAATCGATGTACACGTCTTAAACACACAGACGTTACGATGGACTCTATTACCACAAAGAAGAGATGAAAACGGCACGGTACTGAAATATCCGGAAGTACCATTTCAGAGGTTTTTATATTATTAATAGATTAAACTCGAAGCGTTACAAATACAAATGACATTATTTGTCTCCGAATTTTAGATACGGCCACACTGCAGTTGCTCACAAAGATAAAATTTACATATGGGGCGGACGCAATGACGAAAGTCTTTGTAATGTTCTTTACTGCTTCGATCCCAAGACTTTGAGCTGGTCAAGGCCACCAGTGACGGGTGCTGTTCCGGGAGCCAGAGATGGACATTCGGCGTGTGTCATTGACAACTGCATGTATATTTTTGGTGGTTTTGTTGAAGAAATCAATGAATTTTCCTGTGATGTGCACGCCTTGAATTTCGATACAATGGAATGGCGATATATTCAGACATTTGGCGTTCCACCATCTTTCCGTGATTTCCACACGGCTGAGCATATACATGGCCGTATGTATATTTTTGGTGGACGTGGTGATAAACATAGCCCGTATCATAGTCAAGAAGAAATGTATTGTCCGGAAATAGTGTATTTAGATCTTAAGACAAAAGTGTGGCATAGACCGTCAACAACGGGAAAAGTTCCTGTTGGTCGAAGAAGTCATTCAATGTGTAAGTTATAATTTATCCGAGGGGTGGAATTTGTGTTCAGCACACTTCTTTTTTCTTTTTTGGTTTTGTTTCAGTTATATATAACAATTTAATATATGTTTTCGGTGGATATAATGGTCTATTGGATCAGCATTTCAATGATTTATATACGTTTGATCCCAAAGCGAATTGTTGGAATCTTGTGAAGCCTCATGGGAAACCACCTACCCCACGTCGTCGACAAGTTGGTATTGTTAAAGGATCCCGTTTGTTTCTGTTCGGTGGCACTAGGTAAATATGAGAGAACAGATAAACTACAAATTTTCTAAACATACAAGTACTGACTGACCCGTCGGGGAAAATTGTTTCCATTTTTTCTCCTGTTTCTTTCTAGTCCCTATCCTCATGCAACGGCTCAAGAACAGGCATTCCTTATTGACAATAACGACACAAATGTTCTAGACTTCGAACCAACATTGAAAACTCTAGCAATACTGGCAGTAGTGGAGCATCGAATAGATACCACATGGCTGCCCAGAGAATTAAGGTATAATCAAACGAACATCAAATTGACGAACTGGCGAATTTTGAATCTGTATTGTTTTTGTATTTTTCAGACTGGAAATAAAAGCCATGACACAGCCAAATTCCATTAGCCGACCCATTAATCATGCTGGTTGAACGGAGATGTTAATTCACAGTCATCGCACATTTCTATATTAAATATAAAAAGTGTAGTATTTAGATTAAGTGAGGGCATCAAAATCCTTTTAACAAAAAGTAAGGCACATATTTTAGAGGAGTGTAAAAAGTATTAAATAAATATATACCAACTTTGCTTAATTATAAACAATGTATAAATGCAAGGACGTAATGCCGTACCTTAACCAAAAGGATTTATCCAAGACTAAATTTTTTGTATAGTTTTTTTTTTATTATGGATTTGCCCTTTGAAAACAAAAAACACAATTTCCCTTATAAGTCTGGTCACACATCGTCAAATATAGCGCAATTACACACAAATTAAAAAACGCTAGCAATTAGTTAAAAAGTCTAAAGAAAAACATTTGTTTTCAATATTATAATACAATAATTGCAAACTGCCAACAATACAATTGTTTCTCTCGATATCATTTCATGTATCATTTAATATTTTTTGTTTACTCTTTTTTTATATTTATTTTCTTTTTAACACGTAAAGTTTGCAAACGAAAAGTATTTTAGAAATATAAAATTGTATTAATAAAAAAAGAAAAATATTTTGCTATAATAAAAATATATGAATGTATAATAAACAAAAAAATAAAAATAAAGAGCAGCAATATGATCAAATAATTCCGTAAACTTGTATTCAAAAAATTGTCTGTAATAGAATTTGCCAATTACAATATAAAACAACCTGCTTGATTTATTCACCTATTAAAACTGCATTAACATTAGAACGTTTTACCGGGTTAATCTACTTTATGAGGATTTGTTTGACATATATACAATGAAATTGAGACCACGGGGTTATGAAATCCGGTAAAATGTAAACGTTTATATGTTTTTATGAATAAAAAGACTAGGCTGAAGGCAAACTAATGTTGTTTTCAATAATGGTGAATTTTATAGTCTCCAAACAAATTGAGAGCTCCACAATTTTTTGGTGGTTTCCCGTACACAAAAACCAGTAGGGGAAAGTGGGACACCTTTGAACAGCGCTCATAAAATCTCGGTTTAAAATTTTTCCGAATCGTAACCATTTTTTTAAACTCGAGTAAAAAGGGATTTGTTAATTTTTGGCTTCGTTTTCTTTAAATTTCTAATAGGTTAATAATATTACGAAACTAACTGTAATTATCATAAAATTAATTTTAGTTTTTATGCTTTAATAAGTTTCGATCTGAATTATTTAATTTTCGAACATGTTTATGTTTTAAATAAATAAATGCATTTCTGAAATGTAAATAATATATTTGAACATAATCACTGTAAAAAGCAATACCGTTCAAATATGTCAAGCCCCCAAGTGGCATGAATGACTTCGTCCATTAAAACAGTAATAAAATATTTAAATCGAACTTAAAGTATGACATATGTATATTCGGTGTAAACATTACATCTGTAACTATCAGTTAAAACATGTAAACTTGTTATAAAATAAACAAAATTGTGAGGTTTGCAAGCAAAAAGTTTTTACAAATGTCCCCACTCTCTCCTACCTAAATAGTTCTTTTTTTATATTCACCTCAATATGTCCTACCTTGTATTATTGTATCATACGGGTATGTTTTGGAACACACGGTGAGTTTTTCACACTTTACACATACACTTCCCCTCAAAAGTTACCTCTTGTTGTTGTTGCTTATCATGCGAATTGAAATTCTAGAACTTCTGCAAAACAAAAATGAACGTCAACATGGGACTTTGCAGAAATAGTGTTGCCATACAATACAAATTGTATTGGTTTTTAAAAGTATTTCTGAAATTTTTAGCAATTTCGTTAATTCTACCGATAACTCGATTATTATTTTTTAATATTTTATTATTCACAACATAAATTATCAGCCTTATTCTGGATTTCAACTCCATGTGAATTTACTCGCTCTTGCCCTTCGACTTATTCTGAACAACATTTCACAATGAATTCTTTCGTTTGTCCCTTCGCCTTATTCTGAATAAAGTTCGAAAGCGAAAAAATCCGCTTTGAAGAAAAATTAGTTTTTCTGGATTACAAGGAGTGAGAAAATGTGATGATATTTTGTGTGAAATTTTTCGGTAATAAAATATGAAATATGATTTGAAGGACAAAATGAAGGAGAAGGAGCTAAAATAAGTTGCCACTTAAAGAATTTGGAGAGATAAAATATTGTATTTAAATTAAACGCACACAATTATGTAGTGAAATAATAAACTGCGACTGTAAACTGTATATGTATAAAAGACTCTGTAATATCATTAGACTGTTGATTGATTTAAGAGGAACATTTGGTAACGCTATCATGTACGATGTTATTTCCAATCAGCTGATTATGACAAGCGACAGATTCATTCGGGAAAAAATAAACACAAACCATAGTATATATTTAAAATTGGACTTTAATGGCGTTTAATCATAATTTTGTGATTTTAAACAAATTATACAACAGAAAAACATGAATTCCCCCGACACTCACTACGAAAATGTAAGTGTAAAGAATGTGCGATACACTTCTACCCTTGAAGTAAATGCCAGAAAATGTCCGATAGTATTTTATATAAATAATAATATAATTTTTCGTTATTTCACTGAGAACAATAGTTTTTATGTAGGATTAAAATAATAATTAATTTGTTTATGTGAAACTTCAAAGATTTGGCGTATTTGAATAATATTTTTACCAGATTCCCAATTTATCGATCGCACAAGCGTTTGAACGCAGTTCTACAGTACCTTTTTTCAGTTTTTAATTTGAACTATAATGAGCAACACATACTGACCACGTTCATGCACTCTTTTCAGGGAATCGTTCTATTAAACTAGACCATTCGTACTCAGTTTTGCTTCAATTCTATGTTATCAGTTATTTTTTGAGCCTTATTTATTTTCATTTCAAACAAATCAAAACGCCGTTATGCATTGCTTTCATTCGTAAACAAAGCTGCTTGTTGTTCTTCTTCTTCAGACATACGTTGTCATATTTTAATTCCACCATGATTAGGGGAGGAATTATAAAGTGACACGAGACGCTTGGTCTATATTGCCACTTTCACGGGTATTAATATATATTTTTGGGAATATTGTAAATTTGGTCTTTTTCACGGGTAAAATTGTAGATATGAATTGTTTTTTAATTTTAAGATTTTGATGTCTGCATCTTTATAATATTTCCATAAAGCGAACAAAGCTGCTTGTTTCAATTTCGTTATCACCTATTTTTTACTTCCCCCTATTCTTTGCAAGTGGAACTAATTTTAATTAGATTGGTTTTGTTCAGTAAAATCTGTTGATGCAGCTACCTTTTTAAATCGGCCTTGGCGTTATGGCAGATTTAAAAAGGTAACTGGATCAGCATTTTTTTAACAAACAACTGTTGTAGTACAACGATATGTCAAAAATGTTTTGGAAAAAACCGATTCATAAGATTGTTTTATACAAATTCATTTAGAAAGTAATAAATGAGTGAAAAAAGTACATAAAATTTATAGATTTTCGTTTGGTTTTATATTTACAACATTTTTGACATTTATCTGTACCAACAGCTGTTCTAATGCGTCTACCTTATTAAACCTGCCTTGGCAAGCAAAACGCAATAGAAAACGAAACGAAAACCAAAACATTTCTTTGTCCAATTCGTTTGTTTCGTATTCGCGTGTTAATTTTAGAAGAATTCATTATTAAATCAATTAAATTCGTTTCGTTAATAGTTTCCCTCATGTAGTAGATGTTGTTATAATGGATTCGATAAAGGTAACTAAAATTGTCTGAAGTATAGCAATGCTATATTTAGAATTTCTGGTGCCTAATTACTGTTGACATTTGTCTGTCTGTCTGTAGAGCATATCGCTGGGATTTTTATATGGACTATGGGACAGTATAAAGGGCATGACTCTAGTTTTCTACATTGATGCCGAGATACACAGGTTAAATGCGGAAAAGGAGGCTGAGCGTCAGCAACGGTTGCAAGAATGTCAGCGCATGATGCGTCGCAGCCCTTCGCCAATTCCTTCATCAGCGTCTGCCATGTACGATGAAGAACGTATTCGTGAAATGACAGCAGCCAGGGACGAAAATCCAGATGAGCGACGTTTAGACAGTTTGCCGAAAAAACAAAAGTCGGAGCCATCAATACCATTTAAGTATGTGGTTAGCTGTTGTGTTCGATGGAGATTCTGTTTGTAATTAAATATTCCAATTTCAGGCAGAAGAAAATAGCCAAAAAGGTTTTAAAGTCCTGTGCCCTAAATGGTGGTTTCACCTGGATGAGCATCATCCTATTTGAACGAATTCTACTACCAACATTGAAATTCATATTGACTCTGTGTTATGGCGACAAGTCACAGGATCTCCACATGATATGGGGCTGGCTTCAATCAATCCTATCAATTATTTTCGGAATGATGTGGGTTCTGCCGATTTTCCTCTTAAGCAAAATCGTATCATCGCTGTGGTTCGCCGACATTGCCAATGAAGCCTACAAGGTGCGCAAGGGCAAACCCAATCTTATACCCAGTATAAGCAAATTGGTTGCTGATTTCCTTTTCAATTTGGTGGTACAGGCGCTATTCTTAATTCAAAGCATGCTAGTCAATTTGCTGCCCCTACCGTATATTGGGGGATTTTTATGCTTCATACATCTTTGCCTACTGTACTCGTTGTATTCATTCGAATATAAGTGGTTCAATATGGGCTGGGAATTGCACAGACGCTTGAATTATATCGAAATCAATTGGCCATATTTTTTGGGATTCGGTGTACCCCTAACAGTACTGACCAACATGTCGTCATCCATCATTGTGAGCAGTTGTATATTTTCGATATTTTTCCCACTATTCATATTGAGCGGCAATGAGGCCAAGCCCATTGTTGGAACGACGTAAGTTTAATTCAACTTCATACTTTCTGGTCCAAGTATTTTATTTATTATTAATTGCATTTCAGTGAAACCCCTCTGCGCCTCTTTTCGCCCGTAATATTTGTTTCTAATTTAATATTTGGAGGACGTAAAGCGGCCAAAATAACTGCCAACGCTAAAAACGCACAAAGCAAACATACAATGTCGCAATATCAACAACGACAACCGTACCACCAACCAGCAGCACATCATCGACACCAAGCTCAAGAAGAGACCACAAAGCGCAGAGTCGTCGCCGACATTCGTAATCAACAACCCCAATTTCGCTATCCCCAGCCACCGTCGCGTATCAGTCCAGCTCGTTTGACACCTACACCGGAACGTCAGATTAGGTACGCCGATGGCAGTCGTATTCTATTGCCAACACCCGCTCCAGGAGTTGTGAAAAGTGTTCCACCAACAAGAGAAGGCAAAGGTGGTCAACGAAGGTAATTCGGAACGTAATTCTCTAGCTATCAGCAACTGACGACGACTGAGTATAATTAACATTAACAATAAAATAAAAATAATATGCTGTGCTTTGAACATTAATTAGCTAGAATTTAATTTTTTGTATATACTTTTACGTGCATATTTTCATTTCATCAGGCATATATAACCTTTTTTTGAAGAAGAATATTAAGAATTATGACAAAGATTTTATGATTATTTATACGCTTAGGGAGAACTACAACTTATTTCTAAATATACTAGAATTAGTAATTTTTAATTTTTTTATATATATATATTTAAATATAATTTGACAAAAATATTTTATGTTCAATGTGTTTTAATCAACGCCGAGTGCCATTGAGAAATGTATTGTTTATGGTCAGGTGTTGCTGTGGTTTTGCCATACTATTTACAGGAGGCGTATTTATTCCCTTATTTTCCATTGCTGTCAAGTTTTTTTATCGCGAGAAACCAATAGTGGAATCCAAGAGGCATACGTTGAAACCAAAATATTTTTTGTTTTTACTTCATACAACGAAAACTTCAGGAGGCCTTATCAGGTAACCTTATAAATAATCCCTACAACACACCTTAGTTTAAGTCAAACAACTCATCTGGTGGTTCATCCTTAATTTCCGGCATCGTATGATATGCTGACATTGTAATGAGTGACAACGCTTCGAATGACATTGTGGGATCCTTTTCCTCCGGAATATTGGTCTGCCCGGGCGATTCGTTCTTATTTAAAAACTCTTTAAAATTTGTACATAACTTAAATGAAGGATCCAGTCTCAAAAGTGATTGTACAATACTATTCGACAGTCCAAAGAATTTCTCTCCTTGTACATTCATAGGTACCCGTGTGCCTTCAGACAGTGATCTTCTCAGGGTCTCCAGGAGAGTACGATGACATATATCAGCAGTTTCGCCAAAGAATACACTATCCAGATCGTTGTCTGGTATGATTTGAAATTGTGGATAGCCGGCATTATTTAAAATCTTGCAAGTAAAGACGCATTTTCTTTGCGGATCTTTGGGATGAGCATATATACGTGTGGCAACATAACCCACGGGATAGATCCAATTCGAATTATGGAAATTCGGATTTGAAGGGAGAATTTCACCCAATGAGTGTATCAATACATTGGATAAGTTAATGGGCATTTTGGGTTTTCCCTGTGCATCGACATCGACTTTATCTTCGCACATGAGTTTCAGCTTTTCAATATCATCCACATTACTGCCATAATTTAAAGTAACGCGTTTCTTTGGACCCCTTTTCTTTGGGACGTTATTTAGTTTCTGTGAAGTAGTGCTAGTGGCATCGGCAACTTTGTCCGTGGTTTCATCAAATCCCTCATGGCGCATCAGTCGTTTTATAAGGAATCTTCTTTCCTCACGTGCTATTTTCAGGTCCAGTTGAATCTGAGACACTTCATCACATAATGAAGCATTTTCCTAGAATGGAATGTAGCGACATAGAGAATCATTAGGGGAATTATTGTTGTTGTAGTGGCAGGTGCTACTTACAAAAACCAGCTGCTTTATTTGTCTCTTGATTTTTTTATATTTCGATTTATATTTTAAATTCATTACCCTTGAGTGTTGGGTATTCTGATACTGGTAGCGTATAGAAGACGACATTGGAATGATTGCTGTTGATTCGATCCTGGACGAAGAAGTAGATGAAAATAAACTAGAACGTAAAATAAAACGAAGGGAACTATGTATTTCCAAGTGATACGAATACAAGAAAGAAAGGGAATGGACAATAAAAAATGAGCACAATGTTTACGAATGTGTGTGAAAGGTAATGGCGGCTTATGTTGGATTTATACGTTGCAGTTGAGTAAAGACATTTTCTGTTCACCCTAGGTAATCTTGTAGCGCATTTACATACGCACTTTATATTATGTGGATTTACGAAATCCTGAAAATAAATTAAGGTTATTTTACGCTGGCATTGAGGTCATTTCAGATGACTGTCAGCTGGTATTTGTTTACATATACACATGGCATAATTACACAAGGTAGTCTCATGCAAACATGTGAATCCAATTTTTTTCATAATTTTGCTTTTGACAACATTCAGCTTCCAAAATTTAAATGAAAATATCCTCCTTCGAAATTACATTGTACCGGATTTCGTCAACCCAGTGGGTTTCAATTGTCAATTCCATTGTATACATGTCAAATAAAACCTCATAGAGTAGGTTAACCCGGTAAAAAGCTCTAATGTAAATGCCATTTTAAGGTTTATTTAAATATTCTCTGTCAACAAATATTTTTTATTTTTAATCTCAATTAAATAATGAGTAAACAAATTGTATTTTATATTAAGGGAACCACCCCCCTCCCCCTTTCACGATTTTAATTTTCCAAGATTTTCATTGTTAAGGTTTGTAACTTTGCACATATATAATTGAAGATTTTAAAGAGAAGAAAAATAATTTACAAACAATTTTGTTATTGTTTTGTTGTTGTTTTTTGTAATTAAAGAAAAGTCCTTATTTTTGATGGCGGGCATGATAACTCCTCACTGGAACATCGGAATTCGAAAATTCCAACGGTGTTAGAAAGAGTACATGTCTGGCTCTCGTATGAACTAGGATTATTGACTTCGCTCTAAAATTAACAAAATGGTGGATCTTTGAAAAAATATTTTTGGAAAGTCGCCGATTTTTTACCAAAAACCAAGTTAAAAAATAAGGAAGATCTTCACCGATTGGCTTTATCCTAGTTCATACGAGAGCTATACACTTCCAGAGAAACGTTGCAAAATTAGGAACCGATTGGATTATTAGTTTTTGAGTTATCGTGTCCGCATTCGCAAAAAAAAAGGTTTAGAGAAAAACGCGTTTAAAGTTTGAGAAGCCCTTCAGCCGTCACTTGATGCTGACACAATAAATCGGCCATATCTTCAAGAGTTCTTGAGATTTTCACTTGAAATTTTGTTGAGACATTCTTTAATCAGTGTAGATTCGAATTATATGACCCCGAGAATGGGGGGTCCTCTTAAACGAATGGTCTGTTCCCGTACTGCAAGAATAAACTCGAATTTACTATTTTCTTCGATACCATACATAGTACAATTATAAAAGGTAACAGCAAATCCCAGCTGATTTGATTCCAACGTAATACTAATGTCAATATGAATTTGACAAATTATGTTTTTAAAAATCACCCAACCGGAAAATTGGAAACGTATACAATTTGAAATTGTTCTTTATTAAATGTGCTCCCGTATTTGAATTCGACAAATTATGTTTTTAAAAATCACCCAACAGGAAAATTGGGAACGTATACAATTTGAAATTGTTCTTTATTAAATGTGCTGCCGTATTCAATTTACTCAGTCTGCCTAATGGTAACGTTTGAGGAAGCAAATCTTTCTTCATGGAATAACTCGCTATTCCCTGCATTTTCATACGTGTTACACATATAAGTGGCAATGGCTTAATTATGGGAAAGATGTTGAAACGATAGAAAAATAAATTTGATAGATGTTCATTCATGTTTTTCAAATTTTATTTTGAGGATTCAAAAATATTTCATTTTCAAAATAAATATAATTTGTTGATAATTTATTTTGTTTGTTTACATTTTTCTGTCAAAAGACATTGACACTAGCAAAACTTACAACAACAAATTTTCATGTGGTTGTTGTATCGTTTGTTGTACAACAACTCTTTCTGTTACTTTCTTTTATTATACCATGGATACCATAAAGGAAAATTCGTTATTGTAGTAAAAAGTAGTATATTCTTGCAGTACGGGAACAGACCAAAAGTTTGGCAGCCTTGCACACCAGCGTTGATGCGTTCTCTTTACATTTTTTGTTGAAAAACGAAAATAAACATTAACGACGATTTTTTATGTTAAAAATGTAAAATATTCAAAATTCCGATGAATAATCCCTGTTTTTATTTTCCGTTACAATTTGTTAAGAGAGTTTTTTGGTCGAGTAAATTGCATGCAACAGTGTGCACGTCTAAATGCTGTCAATGTCTGTAATAACAAAACATTTTATCGATAACTTTTTTGCTTGCATCTCAAACAAATGGAAATCGATTTTTATTGTTATTATTCTCTGACTTCATACAGAGAATAACTGGATTTTTTAGTGAATTTAGAAAGAATTATATATTTTTTAGGGGTTTGCAAAAAAGTATATTAATTAGTGCAGTTGAAGTGAACTCCCTTGGTAAGTGATTTTATAAATAAAGTTGTACTGAATGTGCATGTGTGGCTTTTGTATATTTATTGAACTGTTTTGTTTAGTAATAAGTTTACACATACATCCACCATATGTATATTTGTTTGCAGTTTTCTTTAAAGAAACGATAAAATGTTTTAATTGAAGTATATATATTAATGTGTATATAAATACTTAATTATATGCGTTTTGTTGTTTCGTGTTTTTAACAAAAGATGTTTCTTATCTAAATGCAATTTCTTTGTTTATAAAAAAATAGAAACTTGTGTACATATATTAGAGCATATTGGTAATTTAGTTGGCGACTGGAATAATGACTTGTTGCATTGTATCTGTTGTATATATTTATGCATTATGTATACATGCCAAAGAAATGGCGTATAATAATAATCCATATATATAAATGCGAGTGTGTGTGTTTTTTGCGAATTCATCCGATTCAAAATTTGGAAACAATGGATAACAACTAACTTTCTTTATAATAATTTCCAACGAACATTTTAAAAAGCTGTGTGAAAATGTGTTAATTAAAAACATTCATTTGCTAATTGTATTATAAACGTATTTGCATTTCAAAACATTATTGACATTTTGAAAAATATAATTTGAAATTTTATTTTTAGATAAAATTTATAGTTACTCTATATTTTTCATAATGAAGATCCTATATGAGAGTTGCTTGTAAATAATTATGCCATGACTGTGATTGTACAATTGCATTTTGTTTAGCAAGACTCTAGTGGTGATTAATCTACGCTTTGTCTGTCTGACACTCTCATATCACATGTTAATTTCATTATAATCCATTGTAATTCAATACAAACTTTGTCCATAAAACTAAGCAACAAGTACTTGAATTTAAAACCACTCTTAACAGATGACATTAATTTCATATGTATTTGTGTTCCATTTATAATATTTATTATATTTTCAATATTGTTTTTGTTTTTTTACTAATCCATCAATATTATCTATTAGTTTTAGGTACGCGCGAACTATTCAATGAGGCCTACCTACAGCAGTGTGTAACTAACATCAAGTCGATTTGAAACGAATTAGCATCTGATGCGGGCATATTAAACATCGATAAGCTACAACAACAATTAAATGAACAAAGACAAACTAAACTAATCAAGTGATAAGGAAATTTGAATGGAAAAATTTGTATTGTTGTCCTGAATAGAAGATACAAAGAGAGATAATTTCAATTTGAAGAAACCAACTCTCGGTTTTATCTCTACTCTGGTTGTTGTGTGTGTAACTTTCAACGCTGTGCGGGCACAGAGATAAATTTATCTGTGAGAAAGCATAAAACGCCCTCAAATCAACGACATAACCACCATACAACAAATCAGTTGCTTTATTATTATTGTAGAACGCTGCTGATAAACTGCAACTACTGCTGCATTGAAGTTGGAACAGAATTTTGTGCCAGTTATATTTGAAATATCGGCGAACAAAGTTCTTAGCTACTCTGGTAATTGGTGGTCGAGATTAAATAAATTTCCAAGAGTTTTTCAAAATGGGCGATGATCGTTTACCCATAGTTGAGAATGAGGAGCATTCGCCCACCACAACTCGTCTTGGACCACACGATAATGAATTAGATCCGGAACCGGTCGGATGTGGTGCATCGGCCTGTTGTAATCCCAATAGTGGATTTCATCGGTTTCTTGCCTTGATATTCATGTGTCTCTTGGGTTTTGGTAAGAATGAGTCAAACATTAACATCTTGTTTTCCCATAGCAAAATAATTAATTTATTAATAAGATAAAAAATATAATATCTTAAAAAAAAGTGTATTATATATAATAATCTACTTTCTTATATGAGTGAAACATTTGCTTATGTCCGTGTTTTCTTATATAAGATGTTCTTATATCAATTGTCTACTGTAGTAATATTTAATACTATTTTGATGAAATAATATTAAATACAATAAAATAAACATTACCAGTAACAAGGCAGGACATCAACTAAATATGATTCACATGTATATATGTAACTGTAAACACTATTGTTTTTCTCCATTTTTTCAGGTTCATACTTTTGCTATGATAACCCCGGTGCCCTACAAGAAGTTTTCAAAGAAGATCTCAATATAACTAGCACACAATTTTCTATGATATACTCGATATATTCATGGCCAAATGTGGTTCTTTGTTTTGTTGGTGGCTTTCTAATTGATCGTGTCTTTGGAATACGTCTTGGAACAATTATTTACCTGTTTATATTACTAATTGGTCAATTACTATTTGCCACTGGCGGTCTATTGAACACATTTTGGATTATGATTGTTGGCCGTTTCATATTTGGCATTGGAGCCGAATCATTGGCCGTGGCTCAAAACAACTATGCCGTACTATGGTTCAAAGGAAAGGAATTAAATATGGTGTTTGGATTGCAATTGTCGGTGGCTCGGTTCGGTAGCACTGTCAACTTTTGGGTAATGCAACCCCTGTATAATTATGTTCACGAGATCTATAAGGAACATAACGCTCTGGGTGTAGTATTGTTATTGGCAGCTGGCACGTGTGTTCTATCGTTAATGTGTGCTTTAGTATTGGGTAAGTGATGGTGAAGATATATTTGTCCAATGGTGTAGTTAATAATAAAAATTTCCCAACAGGTTGGATGGATAAAAGAGCCGAACGAATTTTACAGCGTAATACAAATCCCTCGGGCGAAATAGCCAAGCTAAGTGATGTAGTCACATTCAAGGTTACCTTTTGGATGGTATCAGTAATATGCGTGGCCTATTATGTAGCCATTTTCCCATTTATTGCATTGGGCAAGTAAGTATTTAGGCGAATACTTTTATTGCTTTGTTCAAAAAGTTAACCAACTTTTCCTCTTTCTGTTCTGAAGGAGCTTCTTTATGAAGAAATTTCATTTTGAACCCGACCAAGCCAATAATGTGAATTCGATTGTTTACCTTATATCTGCCGTGGCATCGCCATTGTTTGGTTTTCTGATTGATGTAACTGGCCGTAATGTATCGTGGATTTGCTTGGCTACTTGTTCAACAATTGGAGCACATTCCTTATTAGCATTTACTATGGTAAATCCATATGTTGGCATGGTTCTAATGGGTTTGTCGTACTCAATGTTGGCTGCAAGCCTGTGGCCTCTGGTGGCATTGATTATTCCCGAATATCAACTTGGAACCGCATATGGATTGTGAGTATAGAGAAACGGGCGATTTTTCAAAATTAATTATTTTTTAACATCCTTCTCAGCTGCCAATCAGTACAAAACTTGGGACTGGCTGTAATAACAATTATTGCTGGTATGATCATTGACAAGAGTCACGGAGATTACACTTGGCTGGAATTGTTCTTCTTGGGCTGGCTAACAAGTATGCTATTTTAAATGGTATTTTTTGTAATAATTATAATGTAAAATATAATTTTTTTGCAGTTGCTTTGATTGCCACTTGCGTCATATTTGCATATGATCGTAAAACTAAAGGAAATCTCAACATGTCACCAGCACAGCGTGTGCAGTATGCCAATCAAATGTATGCCAATTTCTAAATATGTCATCATTATTATTATTTTTTTATTATTCAAAATTTATCAGAATTATCTTTGATAGAAAAGAAACCAACAAATTTGTAGAAACAATTTTAATGTAACTAACACGAGTAGTCTTTACACACATTTCCAACTAACACCACTACTACTTCCTAACACAACTTAAACACATCTTTTCTTGTGTATTTTTCATAGAGCTGCACAAAGAATGTTGACTCCGGGTGATGGGGCTAACGCCGATGAATACGCCAGCGATCAAGAGCCATTGTTAAACAACTAGGCTACAAAAACATGTATTCAACTGGTCTGTACTATATATCTCTGTATTATAACGAACTAAAATGACATTTCACACCGCCGCTCATTGTTAAAACATATCACCACCAGAAAGAAAGCTTTACATTTTTTAACATTTCCATTTACACGTTCATTTTTAACCTTTATATCGTTTATATTTTTTATTTTATTTTGAATATATACATTGTTTATTATTGCCGGCCTAGAATGATTTTTTATTTTAATTTTTATACTTCGTTTTTATTTTTTATGTATATTTTTTATCTCATTTACATTATAACATTTAGTAAAGTAAGGCAACAAATTATATGTATATTTAAGAATATTATTGTACCGCAAAAATTATTATGTCGGAAAAGAAGGCTAAATTTGTTGAAAATATCACTGTATTTATTAAATTGTTGTGGCTTTTACATTATACGCTATAGAAATTTGTGAACATACAATTTCAATAAAAACAAATCTTCTCAAATTACTTATATCTACATATAAAAGAAAAAATTCTATGTGTACAATAAATATTGAAGAATATCCAAATATTTGGTGATTTATTAAATAAAAGTAAATAAAATTTATATAAATATTAAAACAAATGTTTATATTGGGAATATATTTTGCTTTCATAGAAGGAGTTTATTTATGATAAAAACTCATAGACAACAACAATGTAATTGCTCCTTTCCAAAACTACAGATTGGGATAAGGTGCATCAGGAAAAACCCCCAAAAAATATTTTGCAAAGATAACTACTGTATTTTTATTTTGACTGTATGAACTTGAGGAAAACATTAAAAAATGCAAATATTTATTTCGTCCATAACAAAGTACTTCTAGACGAAAGCGGTAAAAACATTTTCATTTTATTTAAATTGAAAAAAGGAGTAAATCACTTACCAAAAATATGTATTGCAGAAGATCTAACCGCTTTTTTGTTGCTGCAGCACTCGATATTTTCCGTAAAATAGTTTACAACAGAAAAATTTCCAAAAAAAAAAAATATATCTATATCGATTTCTTCAACTGATTAATATTTATTATTTACAATTTCAGAATTATGTGTCACTTTTTTGCGCTAAAGCTTGAATTTATTTTTATTCCGGCAGAACTTCGATATTATTAAGAAAAAAATTTGCATTCTGGCACATAAATTCATTAAACGCACAATTTAAAAAAAAGAGACAACCGCGAATTTAATAAATAATACAAACTTTCGAAATTCGAACTGGATATCGCCGCGCAAACGAATAAACAATTTTATCAATAAACTAAAGATATATTTTTTATCGAAAAACAATAGTAACAAATTTTAGATTATTGCTATTCTGAAACAGGGCAATCGTAAAACAACAAATCAATTAAATATCAATTACCACACCTTCACAATTCTAACAAAAAAATTTTCTCAATTTTTTGTCTTTTTTTATTTTATGTATTTTGGCCACTTTCGGGAGCAGTGGCCAAAATACATAAAAACTATCACCGAAATTCGAGAACATCTAAAATATAAATCAAATATCTTGTCGCTTCTGTGGTATTTTGGAAACAAGATTTCTTCTTCGATCATTTGAATATGATTACATACAAATATCACTTTGATTTTACACTTTGTATTTTTGCATAGGAAGCACAATTGATATTACCGGAACAACAATATATTTCGGCACTTATGTATGTATATTCATTTACGACTGCAAGGAATCACACAATTTCTTCAACAAACAAATTTGCACACTCCTTTTCCTTAACATACGCGAATGTGTTAAATGGACGCCCGAACACATTTACAATGAACCGAATTTCCGCATCACCAAGGATTTCAAAGATGCTTTCCACAAGAGCAACTTGCATTTCCAAAAAATTTAGCTTTGTTTGGAAAAATTCTATTAACATTTGTTTCAATGAAAATTGTGGAATTGATTTTTAACAACTTATTTCACTTAACAACAAATTTCACAAAGATCGGTCACCGAACATTCACAAACCGTTAACTTTGATAGAGTTGCCACAGTGCCAAATTGCAATAGACATTTAAATTCCGGGATTAATAGATCGATAAATGTTGAAGAATAATTCATTTGCTGTAATGATTTATAAGCTTTTACATGAAGATCTAATAACGTTATAATTTATCATATTGACATACAATTGAAGAAAATAACATTTAAATTCATATATCAAAATAAAGATAAACATTGACGATAGAAAGTAATACAAAATGCCATTCCAATTAAAAATATATATAAAAAAATGGAAAGTCGATCATAAAAAGTCACCTTAGCGATTTTCCCCATGATCAAAAATCGACTTCGACTTTTAAGGCATAAGCAGATTGGATCCGTTGTGTTATTTGTAATCGATAAAGGCATTGTACATACGACATTATTTATGTATATCAAAATTTATACTTTTTATGTATCTTTTTCTTTTATGTTCAAAGGTTTTTTTTTTAACATGGTGGAAGGAAAACGATGTTAAACGTCGTGTACAGTACTCACATATGTAGAATGAATTGGTAGTCCATTTAGCGCAGCTGATGTCTTGATTAACTGTCAAAGCGTGGTTTTATATTTGTCGGGATCGGGATCGGTGTTGAGAGTTTCTCTCCCTTGAGAGAGTAATTAGAGTTGCGCTATTTTTATTATTATTATTATTATTTCATTTCTTTATTCATAATACAAAAGCCTCCTGGGCCTATTTACTGTATTAATAGTATTATTAAAAACCTGATAGTTTAAAATTCATTTTTATTTACAACATTGGCTCCCCAGCCTAATTTACTTTAACAGTAATATTATTTAAAAAAACATACAAATGTCCATTAGCAACGTACGTAGTACGAAGATCATAAAACACGAATGAACTAATTCTCTGAAAGATTTAAATGAAGTTTAAGTTTTAAACGAAACGCATTATTCGAATGCGAAAAAATTCGCAATACAATAGGTAGGTAGTTCCAAAACCTCGCAACACGAACAACATACGATTTCTCATATAAGGAGCTATGAATTAAAGGTATATTAATCTGTGGGTTTCTGCTAGAATGTGAAAATGTAAACAACGCACGTAACGACCTAGGTATACCAGTTTTAATAATTCTATAAAAATAAAAAGTATTACGAAAATCGACAAATTTGCGAAACGAGGTGCCTAAAAAGTTAACAACAAACTGTGATATATGCTCACGAACTCTTACATTATAAACAAATCTAGCAATCATATTTATAATTTGCTGTAACTTATGAAAATTATATTCCGAAGTTCCAGATATAACTTCCAATACATACAACACATGTGGCATCATCAGTGAACAGGCAATTTTCGTCCTAACATGCAAAGGTAGATAAATACTGGTGGAATACAATTTACGTAACACTGAATAAATTTTACTGTGTATACTGTCAATATGGGATCCAAAATTTAACTTGTTATCCAAGATAACACCTAAACACTTGTGTTTCTCAACAACGTCAATCCTTGAATTACCTATACATATCCCAAGATCTTGAACATGAGAACCAAACATAATAATTTTTGTTTTCAGTGGGTTTATTTGTAAACAGTTAGCGTTGGTCCATCTCAGTAAATTCCCCAAACAAGAATTCATTGCCTCTTTTAAATAATCAATGGAATTTGTTTCAGATTTGAATAAAAGCATAACGTCATCAGCAAATATAAACAATGAGCATACATCAAGATTAATATATTCTGGCAAATCATTTATGTATAGAATAAACAGCAAGGGGCCCAAGACCGAACCTTGAGGTACCCCTGAAGAAAGAAAAGCACTCCCAGATCTAACACCACCCATCTCAACATATTGTGATCTACCGCTAACATACGACATTATCATTTTGCAGGCTGAAAAGGAAAAATTGAATTGATTTTTAAGTTTATATATAAGCGTACTATAGGAAATCGAATTAAAAGCCTTGGATATATCCAATGAAATAAGTGAGCACATTTGCTTATTATTAAGATCACTCCTGATAGATTCTGTTAGGTGTAACAGCAGAGAAGTTGTGCTCCGGCCACGTCGAAATGCATGCTGCCCATCAAAAATTTCGGAATTAGTGTGCGATAGAATTTGGTCTTTTAATATATGTTCACACATTTTCGACAATGCCGGGAGTATTGAGATTGGTCGTAAGTCCTCAGGACCCCGGACTATAGTAGATTTAGGAATTGGTACAACTCGAGCCATTTTCCATAACAGTGGAAAATTTGAGGTAGTTAAAATTGTATTTATTAAGTCCAAAATCAAATGAGAGGTATGAGGCCAAATTAGTTTCAAAAATTCAATAGATATTCTATCTACACCAACCGACTTTGATTTAACTTTGCCAATAGCAACATCAATATCATAGATTGTAACACATGAGAAAGAAAATGAATTGTCAGCATCAAGAAAAGGTTCAATGTCAACACTATCATGTCCATCCGATGTCACATTAGAAGCAAAGAAATCATTAACAGATTCAGCATCACAACCATACACAGCATCATTATCCCCAGTACAACCATGTCTTCTAAGTATCCTCCAGAAACTCTTGGGATCAAGGTTACGAAATTGCTTTGTGTAATAATTGTATCGTTCAGTGCGCATAACTCTCTTTGCCCTATTTCGGTATTTGCAATAAACTCTCCACCTTAACTGACATCTGTTTTCTAGATATGCCCTGTAAGAACAATCCCTTAAAGACTTAGCATTTGCAACATTTTTGGCATTAATCCAATTATCAGGCTGTAATGTAAGATATCTCTTTACAACTGGAACATTGGAGTAAAGGTTTTTAAATAAATTGTTAATAATCTGGCACTTATCATCAGAATTATTGGCCTGATAATAATGCGTATGATCAAAATCTGATAAACATTCGAAGATACCATTCCAATCAATGTTTTTAAAATCATGATATTCAATTCTATCATCCACGGCATTCATACTTAAATCAAAACATGCAATTATAAGTGCATGATGCGAAATCGAAGGACAGTGAACTTGTCCTGAATAGCACGTCGAATCAATATCACTAAGCAACATGAAATCTATTAGGCTGCTACTACTATGCGCAACATCGAAATGGGTCGGTCTTATGTTATGCAAAACTGATAGATTTAACCTTAAACACATAGATCTTAATAATATTGCACGGGTGGGATTAAATAGATCACAATTAAAATCTCCAGCAACTATTATATTAGTATATTTCATAAATAAATTGTGATGCTGTTGCTCAAATGTTAAAATGTCTCCTACTGGAGGTAAATAAACCACACCGAACAAAATTGTTACATTGCCGGAATACAGTTCTAAAAATATGGACTCACATTTTCCCATTATTGACGTTTTAAAAACAACTTTATGTTTGAACTTTTTAGATGCATAAATAGCTACACCACCCCCTCTCAGACATCGTCGGTCATTTCTGTACATTTTGTAACCGGGAACCTCAACTGCACGATTAGATACCACAGGTTTGAGCCATGTCTCGGAAATGCCAATCGCATCTAATTGTGATCCTAACAAAATTGATTTAAAATCGTCAAATTTAAATGAATTAACCGAAGGTCTTATACTTTGGCAATTTATATGTCCAATTCTGAATTTTCCATTAAATGCTGTTAAAACAGACTTCAAATACGCACTATTGCTAACTACCGGACCAATGTCTAAATTAAAAGACATCAAAAACGAATAAAGTAAATATAGAGGGGAACCAATTTACAATAACCAAAAAATATATTATTCTCCACATTAATATTTCAATTCAACAACTAACCATATTACCAATATCAATATTATTTCTCATAAATCAAAGAGTATTTATATATATATATTACAAGCACATAATAAGCATATTTGAAAAGGTTTAAATCAAAATTAGAAAACAAGATATAACCAATTTCAATCTACGACCACCATTCCAGAATAAACTATGTTATTTACGGACTAATAAAATTTTGTTTGCATTCATAAGTGTACATAAAAATTTCAAATCATTTAAATGAATTAATTGGGGGTAATAAAAATCGGACGGACAAAAAAGATATTTTAATTACACTTTTGCCTTTAGTTATGGGCATACATCAGAAAATAAGCATAATCAACCCTAAATGGACAGACAGATAAATGATTCAAATATCATACTATCATCAAGAACGGTGGTGTAGTGAAAAAAGTAAATTTACTTGACAATTTATTAAAATCCACTAATAGTTAAATTTTAAAACGTATTCTCATTGTTGAGAAGCGCCGAACATTCATCAAACTCACGAGTCACCTTCTTCCCATCCGCAAGTATTAGTATCGCTTTGGGTTTATCATAATTTAGAATTTTAAATTTCGATACCAACTTTTTATCTCGTAGCTTCCTGCAAACTGCGTTCAATTCTGAAGCTATCGGAGGGTAATGATCATTCAGGTATAAGCGTTTCTCAATATCAGATCCAACACCTTTAATAATATCCGACACTTTAAGCTGGCGTTCTTTAAAATATTCCTTCATTATAGCATCTCTTGTCTGCACGGAGTTAAATTTTATAAGTAACATCTTTCGTTTATACATATAACAAACGTGGTTAATATCATATGTGGAAATAGGAACCTTATAAAATTCAGCCAAACCAATAGCAATGCTAACGAGATCAGTCATATTTTCAGGTAATCCACTAATTAGTATGTCCCCACGATTTAGCCTTCGATGCAGGATATTATTTTCCACTTGCAAGTCAGAGATCTTTGACGAATAAGATTCAATGTCATCAATTCTTTTATTGCATTCAATTATGTCTTTTTTCATGTCAATAAGACAGGTGGCCATTTCAGTTTTGATTTCCTCGAGTACTCTTCTGATTTCATTTTGCTCGGTTTGATTAGACGTGATGAAATTGTCAAATTTCATATTAAGGGAACGAATATCATCAGAGGTATGACTTCTTTCTAATCCATCATCCAGATTACTATCGCACTTGGCACAAATATATACAGATTTTTTAATTGCTTTTAATGCAGCCAGATCTTTTTCCGAAATATTTGCACAGGCTATATGAAACCACTCCGAACATATTCTACACCTTATGCATCCATTCTTGCCTATTGCAGCATTACAGGATCCACATACAATTTTCGAAGCAGCAGGCATTTCCAATCAGCATACAAGAACAGCAGGAACAAAACAAATCAGCGATCAGAAAAGCGAATAGCCAACAACAGTTAATTTTCAATCCAACAAGAGATTACACCTTTTACAGCAGCACGTTTATCATTCAAGCAAACCAATGAATAAAATTCCAATTATAAAGAAATTATATGGCATTCACGTTGAATTTCATATAAATGAAAAATTTTCAGTAATAAACAATATGTTTAAATACTTCTATGATTTATAAAGTTACGTTTAGCGCTTTAATTTAATAAAATGGTCAGCCGCGAATTCTCACACTTCTATTCAGGCATAGCGTTGCCTATTTTTAATTTTGTAACAAGCGTACTTTTTGTTCACAAAAGGTACGAATTGACATAAACGTACCAAAACAAAAATTAGATTTTTTTATTATTCGTGAATACATTTACGCTTAAATTATAACATATATTATTTACGCATATAACAGGTATAAATATTGACCAATATTTCTCGGTAATTATGATTTATTATCATTTGAAGTAGAATTTTAGGTATCTTTTCGTACTTTTTTGTTCCTACCTGTGTTAATGTTTTCCAACACAATTCACAATTTACCACTGAGAGTGAGAGAAACTCTCAACACCGATCCCGATCCCGGCAAATATAAAACCACGCAAAGTGGGTAATTTTTACTTGAATTCGATGTGCAGTGTTGCCAGCCATTTGAAATATTATATGGAAAATTTTGAAAGACAATCGAGACAAAAACAAAGTTTTTTGTTTTGATACATCACCTTATTATTGCATCATGCCTTAATACAACAACGAATAGAGAGAGAGAACAACTCCCGTCTGTACATGGTATTAGAGATTCATTTCTTAGTTTATAAAGTGAACTACATAAACTGCAAACTAGTTCATGTGCTCTCTTCTGTGAATCGTTCAATTGAACTCTCTACTCTCTAGAGGAGGTGTTCCATGGAATCAAGCTCTCATTTTTTTTATAATCATTGAAAGCCAACAAACAATTACATTTACAATACCTACAATATATTTTTGGAATTTATGGAATATCAATGACCATTTAACGAGACTAAAAAGAAAAGAATTACTCGGCAATTACCAACAAAATGGATGAATCTTCAAGCAAATCTTCGTCAACAAATTGGAATATGGATGAACTACCTTATTTTGCCGAAAAATATCCGGGTAAATGCTGTTGTCTATGCAATTTAGGAGAAAAGTCAGCACTCGGACAGGGAGATATGCTAAGAATCCCTGTAAATGCCGAGATTTTTAAGCCCTATATGAAGACAGCAGAAGCCATAAAAAGTTCCGATACTGGCGGCGGTGTAACTTCAACTGAGGAGAGTCCTTCCCGAAAGAAATCAATCGCAAAACCTAAAGTGACTATTAATAATGAGATTATCAATGAGCTGGATGTAGTGGGGCACGAAGAAATGCCCTCACTCGAAGAAGCCCTAACAGCTGCCGATGGTTGTTACTTGTATATTCATTCGATGTGTGCCATGTGGTGTCTACAAATAAAGCGAATCGAGGAAGATGCCACTCCGAACTTTGAAGACATGGTAGTGAAGAGTCTACAAAGGAAATGTTCGTACTGCTTGCGCTATGGAGCCAGTATAAATTGTCGTATGAGTTGCCAAAAGAATTACCATTTACCCTGTGCAGCCGCTGCAGGTTGTTTTCTTATTATCGAATCGTTTCAAGCATTCTGTGTGGAGCATGTTAGTCAAGTACCGTATATAGGTAAATTACTACCAAAGTTTGTCGGTTTGATATCGCGTTCAGATTTGAACATAATGTGAGTTTCCTTTCTTTACAGCTGTTGATACAAATATTGAATGCAGGCAATGTTTCGGTTTGGGTGATATTTCAAAACTTCTTATGTGTTCAACGTGTGGCGCCCATTATCACAATTACTGTGTTGGTTTGGCAAATTTTCCAGGTAATTTACACCAAAGAAAAGGGAACATACCACACCTAGCAAAATATATATAAATATTATTTTTCGGACAGATTCTCGTTCGGGCTGGAATTGCCAGCAGTGCTGCAAATGCTTGATATGCCGCCAGTCGGATAGTGGCGAAAATCGTTCAGTGAAATGTGAACAATGTCAAAAACTGTACCACACCAATTGTTTGAGGCCAATAATATCATCAGTACCGAAATATGGATGGAAATGTAACGTACGTATTCATATTTGTTGTTTATTTGTGCTTGTTTGGTATGCATACAACCTCGTCCTACACCATGTATCATTATTGTATAGCGTTGCCGTGTTTGCACCGATTGTGGATCTCGAACACCCGGAGCTGGTTCTTCATCTAGATGGCACTGTCATTACACCATATGTGATTCGTGTTATCAACAACGCAATAAAGGATTTTCATGTCCCATTTGTCACAAGGCATACCGAGCACCTTCTCATAAAGAAATGGTCAAGTGTAACAATTGTAATCGGTGAGTCCTCCATATTGCATTATGCATTTTTCTAATGTTTATTCCGGTTTGCTATTTCAGTTTTGTTCACAGCGGCTGTGACGGCGAGGCAGACTTGAGTGCTTACCACCTCAAAAAAGAATCAAATCCCGATTATGATTATGTTTGTCCTCCGTGTAAATCAGGGAAAAAACTAATGGGCACAGTGGATCCAATATCAGGATCTAGTGACGGCTTTCCTCGCGATTTAGAATCGGAATTTTATGATAAGGATGCTCTGGAAATTAGCAACGCCGTAGACCCCCTAAAAATATCCAAGAAACGTTTGAATTTGAAAGAGTTTGGACGAGGAGGAAAGGTGGGAAGACTTTATATGGGCAAAGGTGGCCTTCTTAGCCAGATCAATCGCAAACGCAGTGCAAGGGGCAAGGGTAGACCACTTGCAATGTTAAATTCGTCTTCAATGCAATCTATTTCTAGCAATGAGCTGAACAACACACAATGCTCCGAGGATGACATGTCTCTGGAAAAGAAAATTATATTATGCTCTGCCAAGGACAAATTTATTTTGATGCAAGATATTTGCGTAATGTGTGGTGCTTTGGGAACCGATCAGGAAGCTTGTCTCATATCATGTGCCCAATGCGGCCAATGCTATCATCCGTACTGTGCCAATGTGACGCTCTCAAAAACCATGTTGCAGAAGGGATGGCGTTGTCTAGATTGCACAGTGTGCGAGGGATGTGGACAGAAAAATGACGAAAGTCGGCTATTGTTGTGTGATGAATGTGATATCTCATATCACATCTATTGTATGAACCCGCCGCTTGATGCTGTACCCAATGGCAACTGGAAGTGTAATTTATGTGCTGTGTGTCAGAAATGTGGGCGCAATTCTCCAGGAAAAAATTCCCAATGGTTTAATGGCTTTCTGGAGTGTGGGCCTTGTGCCAGCCAAGCGAAGTGTTTCATATGCTCCCAAGGCTATAATGAGAACGAATTGATCGTACAATGTAACAGTTGTGAAAGGTGGTCGCATGGCATGTGCGATAGCATTAAGAGCGAAGAAGAGCTGTTGAAAGAAGTTGAATATCAATGTAAGCTTTGTCGCAAAGAGGAAACCCCTTCAAAGACGTCGTCAAACAAGACATCGCTGGGAGAGTCAGCAAATAACTCCACAAAAGGCCAGCCATCCACCCCACAACAATCGTCGAATCACGAAAGCTCTGCGAATAATTCTAGTGCAACGCCGTCTTCAGCGGCAACGGCAAACGAAACCTTTGATAATACCGACAATACGTTCTGGATCGATGGGGTGTGTGTCAGTGAACACGGTTTCAATATGATACGCACTCTGACAACAGAAATAAAAAAGAAACGCAAATTAAAGTCGGATGCCAATCAAAAGGATTCGGGTATAATGTCGGCCATAGATTCTGTGGTGGCCGGAAATGCTAATGCCGCCGATGGCAGCGCTGTAGGCGAGGGCAATACTACACCCACCTACAAAGATGGCATGGTGTGGTTAGGTGAAGATGGTAGTCAGCCGGAAGGCTTTTCCATTTCCACGAATGAGGAGGGCGTCAATATTCTACGCAAGAAGCGACAACGTAATTTGCAAAAACTTGGCATTGGTGGATTTAATGTGCGCATGCGGGGTATACGCAAGGAAAGCGAAGACATATATATGGGTACATTAGAGAATCCCTCCCTTACCGATGAAAAGAAAAAGAAAATCATCAAGAAGAAAATGAAATCGAAAATTTGCGAATCTTATCCGTCGTATTTGCAAGAGGCATTCTTTGGGAAATCATTATTGGAAAATAAATCATCATCAATTGATTTTGGTGATGAGTCGGAATCATCGGACGATTGCGGCATAACAACACAAGCACAATCGTACATAATGCAGCAAGCTAAATCAAGTAGTAACGAGGCGACAACATCGGCAAACACGTCAATGGATGCTGCCGCACCATTGGATGCGATCAAAACCGAAGTAGGCATACAACAACAGCCTCAACCGCAGCAACAACAACATGGAATTCAAAACAATAACCATAACAATGACCTGCTGAGTGGCCAAGTTGAAGAGAAACATTTGAATACAACACATTCGGAAAGTAATACAACAACTAAGGTAGGAGGCTACACATGGTTTTATGGTTTTGATTTGACACGAAATACGAAAACATTTTGCTTTTTTATTATTTCTAGATTATGAATGACACCTGTATCGGTATAAATTCCAATAGTGAAATGATGGATTTAAATTCCATAAAAATGGAAATCGGGTAAGATATTCAAATCTACATTTTTTACTTTTCCCTCAAATTATTGTAAATGTTTACCACTTTAAACAGGCAATGCAATAATATGCCCATGGTACAGAGCAACAATGTTGTTGTCCAACAAACCCAAGCTAATCAAATCTCACAGCAAAGTTTTCTACAAAATACTGTAAACAACAACAGCAACAACATCATGAATGTGAGCAATAATCCGATGCAGAAAATGCAACAACAACAGCAGCACCACCACCATCAGCAACAGCCACCAAATATTTTAACATATCAAACATCATACGATCCAATGCAGCAGCAGGGTATGCAACAATCGACCAATAAAAATGCGGCACAATTCTTGACACAAAAATCCGAAGATCCAATGTTGAGTCAAATCAAAATCGAACGGGACATGATGTTGTCCCAAGTTGTAAATGTAAACGAACAAATGGCAACAGATGCAACAACAACACCAGTCGATATACAAATGCCAATTGAAGAACCCGCAAAAGAAGCAGCTGTGGCTGGAACACAAAAAACTGCCGAGAAAATGCGCAAGGATGAAGGTATAACTTGAGTTTTGTTTGCATCATTGCTTTGAATTGCATTATATTGACGATGATTTCAGATTTGGGCGAAATGGCCACAATATCCGCCGTTTTGTATGCCAACACCCAACATCCCGAGCTAAAACATTTGTATCCCAATTGGAACGAGCGATGTAAGCAGATACTGAAAAAATGGAGATCATTGTCGACGGAAATGAAGGCACCATTCTTGCAGCATGCTAAAGATAATCGTTCGGTGCTAAGACTGAGGAGAACACAACAGGTATGCTTGTATTTGTATTTGTTGTCCCAATACAAAATTTATATATGTATATTTTTTCAAATAAAAAGGAACCAGAAAAATTATATTTCCAACAAAAATCCCTCAAAGAACAGGAACAGGAACGAGTATGGAAACAACATCAAGCTAAGAATAAAGAAACATATGGTAATAAATTCAATAAAAACGGTAGGTATTCAACGTATAACTCGAACAAGAATTATTTTCAAAATGTTTATTTGTTTTATACAGCTTTTGTTGGTGATTATAATCGGACCGAGGCGCCACCACCACCTAACGCCGCCATCAATCAAAAACTGCAGCAGCAACAACAGCAAACCCAACAATCAATGTATGATTTGAATATTCTAAATGATCATTCAAAGAACAAGCTGCCAAAACAGCTGCAACATTCCAACACAGAGCAACAGCAAATGAATCCCATAAATATTGCCGAGTGCAGTCAACCATCTCTGTCGCAAATAATGCAACCACATCAACAACAACTTCAGCAGCAGCCGCAACAACATCAACAAGAGCCGCAATCGCCATTCCTGACAACCTTAAATCACCAGATACAAACTCAAACCAACACCGTTGCACAACAACAACAGCAGCAGCAACAACTTCATACAACTTCTGCTTCCGCACTGGACGATTTAACCAAGTCATATGCCACCAATAAACCAGATGCTGCAACAGCTGCTGCACAGCTTTGTGAACGCAATGATATATTCTTAACGGACAAGAATTGGCCGGGTGTCAGCAAATTGGGCGATCCCAAAGATAACGTGGCTGATAAGTTGGTGGAGAACGACGAAGCGGGAGCTTTTGGCGACATTTTAGGTGGCTTTGGAGAGGGTGATGATGATGATATCTTAAAATCGTTGACTGCTGAAATCGGCGACGATTTCAATATCTTGGAATATGCCGATCCGGAACTTGATGAGATAAATGGCAGTCAAAATCTCTTAAACAAATTAGATTTCGATGAAAATCAAAAGCCAATTTAATAACATATTCACACACACACGCGCACGCGCTCACTTATTGACAAAAGCCTTAAAGTTAAAAACAATAGATCTGTTAAGTTTTCTAAGAGAATGAATACAAGATTCACAAATTCCTTGTTGACAGCTTAAAGAATAAATTATAAGAATTCAACACAGTTAAATTTGTTTTAATTGTTCGTATATTTGTTTTTAACTATTAATACATTAAAAAAGGGAAATGAACTAAAAACAAAAACTCTATTCGAAGCCAAACTCGGAAAGTTGCATTAAAAATAAAATAAGTTTTAGGTAGATTTGGGTGAAACCTAAATCATTTCTCCCGCCCTCACACGTGATGGCGGTGAAACATTCTCATTTCTCCCTCCTTCCCTCGTGAACTCACTTTTCTATCACATGAAACGTTCGTGAGTCGTTTCGACTAGCGAGTTTTTCATGAAGAAACCAGAAATTTACCTTTAGTACGTGATTGTGTTCACATCGACTCCTCGTGCGTTCTTTTTCTACCCACCAGCAATCTATTCTTTGGCGTGCAATTTTCGGGTTTAAGGCGTGTTAATATCACATTATAGCCAGCGTTCTCTGCTTGTAATTTTCTATCCGTATCCACTATGTCCATGCATAGCTGACCCTGCCTCGTGGTCTCTTCGGAGCAATTTAATGTTCCCAATGCATGTGCCTGATCAGCAGTATGGGCAATATACATGTACTCATTCTCCGATAAGGCTGATCGAAATTCCTTACTCAGGGGATATTTGATGTGGGGCATCGGTTGCAGAGACCCATAGCAACAAGGACAGCACACAAAATTGGCATTTGCTCGACGACATTGTGCCAATACAATGTCCGTTCCTGTTCCACAAGCATGCAGTGAACAGCCAATATCGAATTTACCCTCGAAATAATCTATATTCGATTGGTAGAATATAACGTTCTTCAGTTGCAGCTCAAGAACTCGGCACTTGGCCCTTTGCAATGATATTGACTTATTTTCCAACAGAATCACGGTACATAGGGGAAGTTGCAAGGCCAACAGAATGCCTAAATGGCCGGTCCCGCTACAAAAGTCAACAATACGATCACCTGGGTTGGCAAGCGACACAACAGCATTTGCCAAATTTTCCAATTGTTGTCGTTTCCTAGCCAGTCTTTTTTCAGGCAATGCTGAACTTTTGGCGTGTGAAGGCTCAATGCATTGCCAGTCAATGGTGAATTTGTCATATGTACATGTCGATGTACTACTAAAATGAATGTCCAAATTTTGGAGTTTGTCGAGGGCGGCATCGACCTCTTTTTGTTCAGTATAAATGCGATTTCGTGGTTTATATCTTTTGGGGTCACTTTTGTAAAAACTTGCGGCTGGGCATTGTGGTATTTTCAGCTCGTTGTCAACTTTGCGGAGCCCGTCCAATGAAGATAGCATACAAGTGTCATTAAGGATCTGCAGACATTTGGAATCATAATTGTCTACCTGTAACAAAAGAACAGGGTATTAGCACATTTTAATGCTTAGAATCTTCCAAAAACACAAATACTTACATTAGCAAACCAATTCTTTGTCAATGGGAAACTATCAAGCAATGATAGCCCACATCCAATAAAGAGAAGACGTACACATGGATAAAGTATTAAATCGCCAATCGTAAACTGCACACCTTCAACAAATGTATGCTCAATCGACAATTGATCCTTGGGTGTGGTACATTCTATTGTCACTTTCTTCTTCGATTCGACATTGGCCTTTTCACGTGCCAGCTTATAAATATTATGCATGCGCACAGGTTCGCCCATGTGATTCTCAAATCGAACACACTCAACAGGCAACTCAGTAAGGCAGCATTTGCCTTCAATCGACTTTAGGACATCGGATAGTCCAGCTACTATATTCACCTCACAGAAGCGGGTCCATATGGAGGCTTCCGTCGTTGCCAGCAGACAACTTTCTTTGAAACCCAATAACTTGCGACTCGCTTCGGTGCCATATTTTAGGACTATCTCGCGACACACAGCGCACATTCCCGCAATATAGGTATCATTGTCTTTGTTGTAAATTGGCAAATGCAAATCCCACAGAGGCTCCTCCACGGCAGTATCCTTGTGAATAATCCGTTCATCATTTAAACTCAGCTTAAGGTAATCTCTGTTCAGGGGTATTTTTCCATTGCTGGCCTGTGCTGTGGTTAGCACAAAATGCAGCTTTATATTCTGAGGTTGCTCCAAGTACAAGTACACATAAAGAGCCACATAGGACTTTATGCTGGTGAAGATACTTCCTTCTTCCGCGTGAATTTCGATGTACAGGTGATCCATGGTATGTTGTGTGACATGAGGCTATGCCACCGGCCAAACATAGAAACGTTCCAATTGACACGAAAAATAAAGACAAAAGTTAATGGTCGATAAAGGGCAAGCACAAAACAGTAATAGCTAGTTTACACATAATTGGCGATATATATACGTTTTTCTCTTCGATGAAACAAACAATAAAAGAAGGTAGCCACATCAGCAATTTATTACACAAATAACTGTTGATGTATCAAAATTTTTAGCCTTATTCTGGATATTCGCTAGGGAGATATCTCACATGTAAAAAATGTTCGCTTTCACATTCTCGCCTTATTCCAAATGAATAGGGATACGCAAAAATGAGAGATGCGGATTCGAGTTTTCGAAAATAGTGGTTAAAAATTGTTACTTTTTATTTTTATTGAAACTTTATAAAAATGCAAATGTGAAATATCAAGAATCCGATGTATAACTGCTTGTAATTAAAAGAAAACAAATTAAAGTTTGAAAATATGGCAACATACAATACGGCATGTGAAACAGCTGTTTATTGGTTTGATGTAATTTGGTACAACAACTACAACTGTTCACGTAGCGAACATGGTTTTTAAATAATAAAGATAGTGAATGTCTTGCTGTGTAGAAGAGAGAATATTTAGTTAAACAGGGATCTATATTTGTATACAGTCCACTTGAGATAAGAGATTATTTTGGTTGAATATTTGTACACAATAATAAGATAGGAGTTTTCTATTGCCACATGTGATATGTTTGGGTGAGATTACGGGGAGTAATCTTCGCTACAGACTGATAAGCATGTGTAGCGTGCTTGCCACATGTGAGATAAAGAATTGTGTGTGTCCACTCCATGTGTTATGGTAGATGCACTCTCTCTCTCCCTCTCTTTTACACATTAGTCTAAGATAGGTTAAGTCATATTGTACAACTTAGTTCTTAAGGATTACTTTCTATATTAATAAATTAGTGTGTAAATGCACAGTATCCGCGTAAGATCCCTAGTTTTTCATTGGTCCTTCGTGCCGGATCAGTGACCGATTGTGGAGGAAATTGATGCTGGAGAATTTGCCTTAAAGGTCAAGAAAATTCTCTCAGCTTGGAGGAAATCCAAATAGAAAAAAAAAATAATTGAAAACAGAATGCCGAGTCAAAAGGAGACTGCGGTGACGGCGAGACATTTAGCCAGTGAAGCTTCAAGTCTGAGCATAGCGGCTACAGATGAAGATAAGCTAGGCAGAGCCTCGGCACCGACCCTGGAGTGGGAGATAAAAAATCTTCCAAATAATAATATGTTCGCAGAGAATATCGATCGACTAGATGCGACTGTGGTACCGAACCTATATGACTTTATAGAAAGTCTAGTGAGGGACGCATCCGATGAAGTAAAACGCGATCCGGTGGTGCGGGATCGGTGGATGGAGATATTGGAGAAGAAATCCAACATGGCAGGAGGTTTTAGGCCAGTCCAAGAACAAATGGGCAGCCTTCAAAGAGTATTGGAGGAGAAAAGCCGTGACGTGGCGGAGTTACGGGCAAGGAATAATGAGCTAGAAGTTGCTCTAAAAAGATCGGAAGACGCCAATGGTTGCCTTAAAGAAAGAGCACAGGAAAGTTATAGAAAGGCTAGAGATAGATACCTTGAATTGTACTTTCAAGATCTCAAGCTTAAAGGTGAATTGGTTGCGGCTGCAGAGAAAGCCCAGGCAGCAGAAAAATCCTGGGAAGAAGAGAAAAAGAAGCTTTTGAAAGAACTGGATCTTTCGGAGAAGGCGCGAGAAGCAGCAGAGGCCGAACGTGACCAGTTGGCCATACGAATGGTTGTCAATGACAAAAAGGAGCGGAAAGTAAGTAATATTCCATTTGCTCAAAGTAATATTCTATTTGCGCAGAAATTATCTAAAGCCGAGTTGGCCATGAAAAAGAGCGATGCGGTGGCTGGTAAAGGAAGACTTGCTGTGAACTGTGCGTCGCCAGTAGATACTTGTTTTGCCGATATGAAGGTAAAGCCGACGGACAATGACTGTTACCCGACAGCAACAATTGATTGGGGCTGTGAGCAAAAGCCGGTGGTTATTAATATTCCGACGAGGAAAATTACCGCTAGAAAGGCAGACATGAAGATGAAGCAGGCGGACAATTGCGATAAACCAACAATACAAGATGATTGGAACGGTAAGCGAAAGCCGAAAATTATGAATCTTCCGGCCAGGAAGATTGTCGAAATAAATCGTGGAAAGGCGGCCGGGAAGTTGGATCCAGCAGTCACAGGCAGTACGCAGCCAACGTTAGATGGGGCACCACGGAATAAAGAGGACGTTATGCCGAAGAGGAACGAATTGGGTGCCAAGAAAGATGGTGAAGCAGAAGGGGTAGGTGTTCCCACCAAAACGAAGTCTGCGGTCAGAAGCGGGAACAATCTGAAGAATGAAGCCGCGGTTATTATGAGGTTTACAAATGGCACCTGGAGAATGATGCTGCCGGCCAAAGATGCGGACAAGCCACTTGGAAGCCGTATGATCGAGAAGCTGACGAAGACTATGGCCAAGGGTTCAGGCTGGAAGAATAAGCCGGCGGACAAAGGTGGAAGTGTCAACATGAGAAGCTGGTTGGAAAGAGGGTGGTGGTATCTAGAGGCGATCACCTAGCTGTTTTTTGATTTCTTTTAAATTTTTGATATTTTATAATTTTTGTATCTTGGAATAGTTTATATTTTATATTCATTTTCTGGCCCGCAAGATGTTCACGTAGCGAACATGGTTTTTAAATAATAAAGATAGTGAATGTCTTGCTGTGTAGAGGAGAGAATATTTTGCTAAACAGGGATCTATTTTTGTATACAGTCCACTTGAGATAAGAGATTATTTTGGTTGAATATTTGTACACAATAATAAGATAGGAGTTTTCTATTACCACATGTGGTTTGTTTGGGTGAGATTACGGGGAGTAATCGTCACTACAGACTGATAAGCATGTGTAGCGTGCTTGCCACATGTGAGATAAAGAATTGTGTGTGTCCACTCCATGTGTTATGGCAGATGCACTCTCTCTCTTACACATTAGTCTAAGATAGGTTAAGTCATATTGTACATAGTATCCGCGTAAGATCCCTAGTTTTTCAACAACCGATTACAAAAAAGAAATTTTTTGTGATGGCAAAAACCGCATAGAACGCTGGCAAAGAAACAAGGAATAATGGAAGAAATCTGCGATTAAATAAAATTAATTCGCAGTTTATTATTTCACTACTTAATTGTGTACCGTTTTATTTAATTTCAATATTTTATCTCTCCAAATTCTTAAAGTGCAAATTATTTTATGATATGCTCCTTCCCTTTTATTTTGTCCTTCAAAATGTATTCATTCGGCTATGTGCTTTTTCCATAATATTTCTTTTTATTTTCTTGAGAAACAGATCCTCACCTAAAATATCAGTATTTCGCCTCCACAATGCATCAAACTCGGCTTAAATTTTCCTTATTGCCTTTATACATTCCGTGGCAATATTTGGTTGAGCAGGCATCGTTGTCAATAGGATTTCCAATGATATTTTTGTTCTGTTCCCGTACTGCAAGAATTTCCTAGTTTTTACTACGATAACAATTTTTTCTTTATGATATCGAAAATGTGGTCAAAATGAGTAGGCTATTGCAGTACGGGAACAGGCCATTTATTTGTTGTTTTCGAGTCATGGTACAATTATAAAAGGTAACAGCAAATCCCAGCTGATTTGATTTCAACGTAATACTAGTGTCAATATAAATTTGACAAATTATGTTTTTAAAAATCACCCAACAGGAAAATTGGGAACGCATACAATTTGAAATTGTTCTTTATTAATGTGCTCCCGTATTCAATTTACTCAATCTGCCTGCTGGGAAAGTTTGAGGAAGCAAATATTTCTTGAAGGAATTACTCGCTATTCCCAGCATGGTCATATGTGTTACACATAAATATGGCAATGACTCAATTAAAGGAAAGATGTGGAAGCGATAGAAAAATAAATTGGATAGATTTTCATTCATGTTTTTCAATTTTTATTTTGAGGATTCGAAAATATTCCATTTTCAAAATAAAAATAATTTGATGATAATTTGTTTGTTTGTTTACATTTTTCTGTCAAATGAGTTGACACTAGTAGAACATACAACAACAAATTTCCATGTGGTTGTTGTATCGTTTTTTGTACAACAACACTTGCTGTTACCTTTTATTATTATACCATGTTTTCGAGTAAAAAATTTGTATACAATCATTTATAATATTCTAAATCGTAATAGAATAAGTATTGTGTAAATATTTTTCATAAAAATATTTAATACGTATGTTTTTGTAGTCAGCTCCCTTTGAATTTATTAGTGGAATGTCGCAAACATGTCATCTCATTCTCCTTCTCCCTGTAATCCAGAATAAAGGGGAAAACACATAAGAGGATTTCCTGGCTTGGCATGTTAAGTTTGTTTCTTTTGTTGTAAAAGAATAAAGGAGAACGGTGTCCAAATTCCTCTTTGACACTGATGTTCCCTTATAAATTGACAATTCATACGAAGCCAACTTAACAGAGCAGGCCTGAATCCTCCTATGTGTTTCCCCCTTAACTAAGTCCTGATTTAGATTAGGCGAGTTTACTTGCGGCAATTCTTATCGTTCTCTTTTGAACTTGCTTCATGCGTCTAAACAAGCCAATTCGGTTTCAAAAATATTTTTTTTACATTTTGTGACAATGTTCTGGATTGGTATTTCAAATTACTGACACTAAAAAACAAAATACACAAAACGAATTGCCAGAAAATTGTCGGTACGGGCAATTTTTTTCAAGACTTGCCGCAAGTGAACTTGCCCAATCGAAATTGAGACTAATTTTTCCCCAAAACGGATTTTTTCGCTTTCGAACTTCATTCAGAATAAGGCGAAAGCGAGAATGCGAAAAATTCAATATTATTTTACACAAATTCATTCAGGAAATATTAATACAACAGCTATGCTGCTGAAACGGCTACCTTATTAAA